AATCCTGACCAAAGATTTGCTAATTCTCACCAGCTTATCTCTATCCGGAGATGCTAGTGCTGTCTGTTGTCTGCTGTCTGCTGCCAGTGCGTGCTGTCTAGGCTTGAGGTATATCCGCGAACGGTTACCGTCATGTCTTGGCTTGCAGAAAGAGGCTTGACTGGGGTTCGTAAAGAGACCGACATATTACGGACTGTGGTGAGATTATAAGATCGTGACTATTGATTTGGAAAGCATTTTCTGTTTTTAGCTTGTTCTTCGGCTTGCTGTGCAGTAGCTTCGTTCCGGTAGGATGGTATAGATGAATTCCGGTTTCATTGTTGGGACTCGGTGTTCTAGTTTGATGGCCGACAAGAGATTAGATGATTTATTCTTCCCAAGACTATAGATCCTGGGATATCGACTCCAATTTTGTTTTGACCTGTGTAAATGATTGGGGTAGCAATGACCTAAAGGGGATTGGGCACGGCTGACGTCTGCTCCACTCAGCCCTTAGAAATCACTGCTAATCCTGAATAATCTGTAGTCTAAAGGTTCTTTAGTCTCACGTCGCAGTGCCTGGAGAAAATAATTGAGACTGTTCTTAGATCCCTCCAACCTTGCTGGTACTAAAAAAAAAGAGGGTGACCACGTTGCTGGTGGCTTTGCAAAATTCCGGATAAATGACTTACTGAAAGCCGCTGCAGCACGAGTCATAGTCACACCGCATTGGCATGTTCTGGTTGAATTCCAGTCTGTAGGTTACTCGCTTCCTGTCCCAGTTATCACAGTTACCCTGATCTGCAAATTTGACAATACTAGCTCCTGACTAGCGAAGACCCACAAAACCATAACTTATCTAATGTTAAGATCCTGATCCATATTCCCCTTTAGTGACTGTCGGCAATTTGATTATGGTGCATATTGACCGGCACTACACAGGAGGCGCTCCGAGAAATACAGATTGGAGAAAACTAGCCGGGGCTCCATGTGCTGATTTTGGGATAAAGGCCGCTCCTATGGACACGGAATAAGCCACTGGATCCGTAAATGCAAGGCAGGTCTTTAATTAAAGCACAAATGGTTGGGGCCGAATATTGCGGGGCCGGAGTTTCAGAGTGGAAGGTATTCTCACAACAGGCCGGAAGTGAACATAGTAGGTATAACGGTTAAGGTGAAGTAGGTCTTTGCATGTATTGCACTCAAAGGGTAGACTGGGCTGCCGGAATAGCGGCGTGACTTGAACATGCACTTTCGCAGGGATTGTGCATAATTACGAACCATTGCAAAATTTCAATGTCCTGTCATATTCTCACGTCAGCTACCTTTGATGAGTGGTTAATTACATCCCAAGCGTTCCTGGATCTCCACTCTCCAGGAGAAAAACAGGCAACACGTCCAGGACATATGATGGGCTTCAATATACAAATTGGGGGCCAAAAGCAACGGGGCTCTCAGGGCCCATCAGGTAAACCCTGCTGATTGCAAATTTAATTAACCGGACCTGCCACAGTGGACCATGAAGCCATCGCTCGGCTCGGCAAACCCGAAGGAACCCGCCATCTGCAGGGCCGATATTTAGCGTTATTTAGCGTCTTACAAACCGCAGACTAATCTGCCTGTCAGCCTGAAGCGTCGGGCTAAACATGCACCCACACTGTCTTGCGCTTAGCCAACACCCTTTTCCAGGAATCAAGTCGCGCCTTTCAAGCCCTGAAACTCTGATTGAAGCGTGTCATCTCCAAAACAGCTGCCGAGTCATGCACACAAGAATAGGATACCAGAACTTGTAATTTTTCTCTCCGCATATCGCCTTCTCATTCATTGCCAACGATAACGTAGCCACTGTGGAGATCTCGTGCCTGGTTGCTAGGTCTCATAGGATGTAGCTAGTTTCGGAACCGGAAACTCGATCTAAATCTGAGACCCTGTGGTCGGGTCTGCTTACGGGCTTCTTAGGCATGCCTTGGCGTGTTGCAACATATCACATGAAATATAAACGAAGTCATTTGAACCTAGGTTTTACTATGGAGTACTCGGCGGTCACTTTTCAGTCCAGGTGAGACAAAGAGTGACCAGTCTTCCCGCCCCTGATGATTTTGAAATCCATTCAGAATCACCTTGGCAACCAGGCTAACGTGTGGTAAAATATTCCTGTTTTGGACTAGATAATAGGAAAGATGCTGTGGCGAATCTGGAGTGATAAGCGACGACTATTTGCACTCAAGTAGGCAATATAGGGCATAGTGAGCCTTAAATCGTTCCTCCTCTCCCTTTCAAATGGCAGTCGCAGTCGCCTTATCTAACTCTTCAAATGTAAGACTAAGCATCATTAAGCGAACCGCGAATAAAGTCTCATTCTAGTATTTTTCTACTAATTCACACTCAATAGTTTAGTCACCACAGCTATCATAGTTTACACGTTTATTGCTCTTAAACATATCACGCTGCGATTATCAGAAAACTCGATATATAAACAGACTGGGCGTTGAGCTGAGAGCAAGCGTCAGATATGCTTCATCAGGTGGAAAGTTCTTGTGACTGAGAAGAGCCGCACCCAGGTAATTAGTTACACTACGCCCACTTACTCGGAATGTTGTCAGAATTAAAATTATGTACAGCTGACTGACATTTACTTGTATGGGGAGGCTGACCAACAGCCGATCTCTTATTGACCAAATTCAAAAGCTAGCTATCAAAAGACCGAGATACGTTCGTTGCAGGGACCCGCGCTTGCTCACTTGCCGCCAAGTGGATCTTCTCATCCCTGAGACTCCGCTGTTCTGGTAATCCTGTATCAGGGATTGTGGTATGGACAACCTGAAATCTTTCAACATCCACTTTCAGAAGAAGCGGATCCTAACAACACCGGTAGAGATCATGTGCTGCTGTTCGTATCTGATCTAGACCCCAAATATATATCATCTTGGAGGTTAACTGTAGCCGTATTTATAACCCCTTAGTAACTACTATGGGCGTCTATTTTGGAAGCAAATGCGGCTCTCCTTGCCTTGTATTTCTTATACTCGCAGTTTACATAAAATCGCTCCGAACACACGCATAACATGCTGATTCATCCAGGTAACCTATCTAATTTTTTTATTTTTTCACGTAAGGTTTAAATTTTGAAGCTATACGGCTATAGAAAATTGGAAGACTGGTGGATGATATATCTGCAGGCCGCCTTAATAGGCTACGATCATTAGATGAGGGAAAAGTAGAAGTGGGGATAGGAGTTGTAGAAATATATATCTGCACCAGGCAATACATGTGCGTGGTCGTACTCCGTGGCTCCTTGCTGACGCAAAACCCTGCCCTTCCCACTACATCGCGAATGAGACCAGCGGAAGGCACTGCAGTGTAATACTAGGTTCTTGAATTGAAAGATCATTCACCGTGGAGAGGCCTAGATGACGCTCGACTATATTGCGAAGCACAGTGAGCCAATACGTAGTACTACCAGCACCGATGTCGACGTGAAGCCAGCTTCTACTAGCGAGTCATCAGTAGCAAGGGGATAAGGAACTATCGAGGGAAATCTAAAGGATCAGCAGACCTATGGGAACCTCTGTCTTTCCACATTTTGATGTTTTCCCTAGCAGGTCGGATGTTCATCAATGACCTCAAGACCCTCGCATGTTGCAAATTCCAAAAGAGATATCTCCGCGCACCCTCCGAACAGCCATCTACAACTCTACTCCGGCAACTGATAGCGGCCTGCGAGATCTTGCCGTCCAGTTTACTATAGAGAACATCAAGATATTGCGGAGCGAGGGAGCACAGCAGGAATAAGGAACGAAGGCGCCGGACGGGGGAGACTAAGCTCTGACGAACAGCCTCTTGAAGTTTGTTTCACAATTCGCATACGACTTACTCGTGACTACACTGGATAAAGCCGGGTGACAGGGGAATTTCTCCCAACATTTGCAAGCTGAAATGGGATGACTGCTATGAACCACCACCTTGTTTCTTTTAATGCTGCTGCAATATTGTACCCATGTCATTAGGGAAGAGGGGAGAGGAAGACAGGAGGAGGGTGGAAGGAATTGACATTTTGCTTATATTTCATGATTTCATCTCCTAGAAAGTGCTTGCTCTTCAGAAGTCCACTTTGCAAAGAGATGAGATCCCAAAGTTCGAGATATTGGAATATAGTGAGGCGCGTCCAAGGTTGACGTAAGAGGTATTTCGCATATCCACGATATATCTTATGATCACATATGTGCCTGCATATTATTCTTTGAGCATGCTGTGATGGAGCTTGATTCCCTCATAAAGCACATACAACCTCAAACCCCAGATGGCGGCCGCTGGTAATTACACTGTATCTTCTTCCAGACCATAGCACCTACCAAGTCCCTGAATTCAGGCTACGTGCCTCTGAGAGAAATTTCCAAGGCGACTGAGAACACTGACTATCACTAATTTCCTAGACACATCAGCTTTCAGACTCGCAGCCTAGATTTTGTCAAGGCGTAATGTAATGCTAGGAGAGAATATCGAACTTTTTACCGGCAAAATTGATGAAGGCATCGGCAACGTGGGTGATGAGCTGGACGACGGAGTATTTTCACTGGTTTTAATGAGATGTGAAGTTCCGAATTTAAACAAATTACATGTACGAGACTTACATAGCGTTAGTTACAGTATCCGATCTCTGAAAGAAGGAAAAAGCAAGTAAAGGAGATCCAGTGGGCCCAATCGGGTCCGATCACTACAATAACAAATAGAAGAACGAATAGCAGCACAAAACAGTAACGAGTAAACGAGTAAACGAGTAAAGTAAATAAATGCAGATCGTCAGAGTCATCAACCAATCTGGAGTCGGTCGATCCAGAAATGGCGCCATCCGAGCTAAATTGTTCTCACGGGAAGCGGTCAAGAACTGGGGAAGCTGGGGTTGATATCCTCTTCCCCCTTTTCCTCTTCTTCCACTTCTCTGTTCCTCTTCTTCATCGTTGCCACCTTGGGTACCATGAGATCCCATACTACGGAACTCATTCACCACATCTGTGACCAGTCTAGACCTTCACGGCGAAAGACTTCAGGTACAGGTAGTCGGCCATGGTGTCATCCACAGTCTGGCGGATGAGGGCAGCATTCTTCTCGCCGTACTTCTTGCGCCACTCAGCGTCAAATTCTGCCTCAGTCTTGGTAGCACGTTTCTAAAAGCCAAGGTCAGTCAAACCACTCTCCCACATCTTTACCAGTACAAGAACTCACGTGCTCCCGCTGCTCCAAAGCCTTCGACTCAATAGCATCATTATGGAAGCCACGCCACTTCTCAAAAGCAGCCCGGGCAACCGCATGGTCAGCCTCAGTATCCCACTTGAGCATCTCAGGACTGTAAGGCAGGCCCACACTATTACAAAACGCCTCCATAGTCTTAGCAGGCTCATCAAGCATATCATCTGCATCAATAACGCAAATCTCAACAGCACCGGGAGCAACCTCCTCGCCAGAGCTAAGCTCCGGTCGAGTCGAAACACGCGGCCCAACGAGCCCGGCTTCGCGCAGGTAGTCGAAGTGGCGGCGCAGCTCGTCGTACCCGGCTTCGGTGGGGTCATAGTTGTGGAACCCGGTTACGTCGTCCAGTGGGGGAATCGTGCAACGCAGATACGACGGCACGCTGTAATGCGGGTCGCGGATTAGGAATGCCCAGTGGAACTTCTCTTGCAGTTCGCGGGGCATCACTGTTGGGTTGCCTGGTTCTGCGGGAGTGTTGTACGGATAGGGCTCTTTGTTGCTGTGGCCGTTGCTGAGGCCGTTCGAGTGACCACTTGTCTCACCGTTAGTCACACCGTTGGTACCATTGGTGTGGCCGTTGGTGTGGCCATTGGTGTGGGTGCCGTCGACACCATTCACGCCGTTGGCCTGGGGGCCCTCGCCATTGGTCTCGTCAGTCCCGACGCCGCGCTTCAGGCGCAGCAGGGATGGAGCCAGGCTGGCTGGCTTTCCACTCGGTGGGAGCAGGTAGTGGTCGATATCCTTGATGAAGATTCTCTTTCCCTGTTATACGGTAAGTATCCCCTCGACAGAAGTGCAATTTTTCTATTCCGCATTGCGGATATCCAGAGTCATCCGAGGATTCGGAGCTCGATTTTGGTTTACATGTGTGTAGAGGGGAGGGTATATCGACACAAAGCCAGCACACTAGGTGCAAAACAAGAAACGCAGAAGATGTAGACATAGTAGGGTATCTTCCCTCGTGTTCGATCCACAGACGGAGAACATGAGGAGCATTAAGGGGATATGGCAGAACGCAATGAAGGAGAATCTCGCAAAAGAAGGGTCGGACCTGTGTAGCTTCTCGTTCGAGTCTGTCCATCACGGTGCTATACGTGGATTCGCTGAATCCACTCTCGAGACGAGCTTGTTCATCGTCTGCAAATCGGCCCGAGAGACGCTCTGGGCCGTAGTAGAAAGCGTCGCCGAACGGCTCGTGAACACACTGAATGGTGTCACGCTGAGTCATGAAGACCTGTGAAATGTCAGTTGCAACTCAAGCATCATATTTCGACGTCTCCACTCACGCGCTCAAAGGCCGTCGAGCATGCTCGCGGATGCGTAGCCACAAAGATCGGCTTGTTCGACATCCTGATATGTGAGATGAATCGGGTAATGGTGACTGCAGTCTGCAGGGTTATCCCAGAAGAAAAAAAAATAGTCAAGTGTAAATAAACTTGAGGTGGATCAAGTTGATCAATTACAGCGTGGGTAAATGAAATCTCGGCCGTTAAGGCTGCGCGAGAAATCTCTGATTTCACTAGTGGTCAAAAGTATCCAGTCAAGGCTCTCAACAAATGTGAGTGCAGCTTGATGATATCAGAATATGCAATATGGCGTGAGAATAATGAAGGATGCAGAGATGGGGCCCGGGCAAACTCTTTATATGTCTACATCCACTGGGGTTTCCAAGAATAAACCAGGTTTTTCTTTTTCTGGAGCCTCGGGAGGCGGAGAGCTTACCATTGCCTACCATGGAAAATAAAAAGAATTATGGAGATGTGAATTTTATGGATACATGTATTTCCGTTATTGAGGGTATTAGGATCTACTACGGATGAGGGTACTCATGGGGTATAGGGTATAGCCATAGCCCCCTCCTCACACAGTAGTATATGTGGTAGCGCATGGAAAGGTTAGTCTCGAACCCCCCATGCCCAGCATTAGCTCACGCCCAGCTGGAGGTGACTGGAGTCAAGAGGCAAATCATAAAACACATAAAGTATTTTGCCCCTCTCCTCCGCTTGCCCCGCCGAACTTTTCCGCATCTACTTTTCCCTGCCCCTCTCCAAGCGCCTCCAAGACAAGTCAGGGCAAAGGCAAAGTCCAAGGTAAAACATATCAGGAGGGAATCCACCTGGAAAGCCAATAGGAAACCGACTAGTGGACAGCCCGAGGGATTGATCTCCATGTCTGGATGCATCGTTTCGAAAATGCCCCACGGCCACTCCCCCTCCGAGGCAGAGTGTGATCTCGATATCCGATGGAGGGTTGGCATGCATGTCAAGGCAGATATCAACACGGTCGAAGTCACTGGGGGTCTGATCCCAGTCAAGGTTCACCCAATGCTTACTCGGATGCTCATTGCTCTAGATCGCCCGCTTTGACGTCATTGACTGGGCTATTTTCCGTCGGCTATCGTGGAACACGAGTTAAGTGTTAAGGCATGGCAGCCGTGTGTTAACCAGGCCCCTCGTGAAGAATCGGAGTTGTACCTGGGCTGGCGTCAGTGGCACATCGTAAGATCTTGAGCCTTGATTTTCAACCCAGAGCCACCTCGTTTCGATGCTCCACTGCAAGGCACGCCGGTACGCAAGCTCCAACGGAGAACCCACCAACAAAGTCATCAGGGTCGAATCATCTCTCGAACGTGGGGAGCTTGGAGATCCAACCCTGGATAGTCGCCGGTTTTGCGCGATTTATTGGGTCACGTGGTAATACAACAGTCACGTGAGACACCTGTCTCACGTGGGTAGGCGGTGCTCGCTGGCAGATTGTTTGCTATGTTTGCAATAAAGTATCATTAAGAAATGTACATTACTCTCCTGGTCAAACATTTACATGCTTCCGTAACTTAATGTCATCCAGTGTGCCCTCTCATTGCCTACATCTATTTCTTATCTGTTGCCATAAGTGTTGACATCATCTACCAATATGCAAAGTGGGACATGTACGTAGTCGGTGAGCCCATTGACAGGTCGCCTACCAAGTCATCAGTCTGGGTCGGGTAGCTTCTGGAAGGCGGTGGAAGCTGGTGGTGGCGTCATGGACCTTCGAAGTAGCTTCGGGCAACCCACGCGCTATGGAGTATATGAACTTGCTTCCTCCTTGAAATATCGGTACATTCCATAATTTACCTACTCACATACCAAATCCAGCATATTTCCTGACCTCACAGTCCATTTTCAGCTGCCATCCACACCCTCGCTGATCTCACTCCACTATTCCGTTCAACATGAACGGCGCCCAATTTACAGATCGGGCCAACAAGGCCTTGCTCGACTCCAGCGGCCTGTGTGAACAGTACGCCCACTCCCAAATTCTGCCTCTACACCTGGCAGTCGCTCTCCTCAACCCATCCCCAGGTGAATCTGAAGACCAGCAGCCCGTGGGCCATGCATCTCATGATGGGGCTACCGCACCCTCTTTCGCCAAGTCATCGAACGCGCCCACGGTGACTCCCAACTCCTCGATCGAGCGCTCATGAAATTGCTCGTCCGTCTCCCGAGCCAAGATCCTCCACCAGAGAACCCCAGTGTTTCTCCTCAACTCGCGAAAGTCATCCGATCTGCCACCGATTTGTCCAAAACACAAAAAGACAGCTTTGTCGCCGTTGACCACCTGATCCAGTCGGTGTGTCAAGATTCACAGGTTCAGCGTGCTCTGGGCGATGCCAATATTCCAAACCTGAAGTTAATAGACACTGCCATCCAGCAAATCCGTGGTACGCGCCGCGTCGACTCCAAGACTGCCGACGCGGAGAGCGAGAATGAGAACCTCAAGAAATTCACCATCGACATGACCTCATTGGCTCGTGAGGGTAAGATCGACCCCGTCATTGGTCGTGAGGAGGAGATCCGACGAGTTATTCGCATTCTTAGCCGACGAACAAAGAACAACCCTGTGCTGATTGGTGAGCCTGGAGTTGGTAAGACCACCATTGTTGAAGGTCTGGCCCGCCGCATTGTCAATGCCGATATTCCTGCAAACCTGGCCCAATGCCGTCTCCTCTCTCTTGATGTCGGCTCCCTTGTTGCTGGCAGCAAGTACCGTGGAGAATTCGAAGAGCGCATGAAGGGTGTTCTCAAGGAGATTGAGGATTCCAAGGACACCATCGTTCTTTTCGTCGATGAGATCCACCTACTTATGGGTGCCGGTTCCAGCGGCGAGGGCGGCATGGACGCTGCCAACCTCCTCAAGCCCATGCTGGCTCGTGGTCAGTTGCACTGCATTGGTGCTACCACTCTCGGCGAGTACCGCAAGTATATCGAGAAGGATCAGGCCTTTGAGCGTCGTTTCCAACAAGTTCTGGTCAAGGAACCCTCTGTCGCAGAGACGATCTCCATTCTCCGTGGTCTAAAGGAAAAGTACGAAGTCCACCACGGTGTCAACATTCTTGACGGTGCCATCGTCACTGCCGCCACTCTCGCTTCACGTTATCTGACAGCCCGCCGACTTCCCGACTCCGCTGTCGATCTTATTGACGAGGCAGCAGCAGCCGTCCGCGTCACCCGTGAGTCCGAGCCAGAAGCACTTGACACCCTTGAGAGAAAGGCTCGCCAGCTCCAAATCGAAATCCATGCACTGGAGCGCGAACAAGACGACGCATCCAAGGCTCGTCTTGAGGCTGCCAAGCAGGAAGCTGCTAATGTTGCGGAGGAGCTCCGGCCCATGCGCGAGAAGTATGAAAGCGAAAAGCAGCGCAGCCGAGAAGTTCAGGACGCCAAGATCAAGCTTGACTCTCTGAAGGTCAAGCGTGACGAAGCCGAACGCTCAGGCGACACCCAAACAGCTGCCGATCTCGAGTACTATGCCATTCCAGAGACCAAGACCCTCATTGAGCGTCTTGAATCTGACCGCGCCAGGGCTGATGCCGAACGCCGCGCCAACTCCGGCGATGCCGGCGAGGCACTGCTTGCTGATGCTGTTGGCCCCGATCAGATCAATGAAATCGTCGGTCGGTGGACTGGTATTCCCGTCACCAGACTCAAGACTACCGAGAAGGACAAGCTGCTCCACATGGAGAAGTCCCTCGGTAAGCTCGTTGTCGGCCAAAAGGAGGCTGTTACTTCTGTTTCCAACGCCATTCGACTCCAACGCTCTGGTCTCAGTAACCCCAACTCGCCTCCAAGCTTCTTGTTCTGCGGTCCCTCTGGTACTGGTAAGACACTGCTCACCAAAGCCCTTGCCGAATTCCTCTTCGACGACCCCAAGGCCATGATCCGCTTCGACATGTCCGAATACCAAGAGCGACACTCCTTGAGTCGCATGATCGGTGCACCTCCCGGATACGTTGGTCATGATGCTGGCGGTCAGCTGACAGAGAGTCTGCGCCGTCGCCCCTTCTCCATCTTGCTCTTCGACGAGGTCGAGAAGGCCGCCAAGGAAGTTCTCACTGTCCTCCTCCAACTTATGGACGATGGCCGTATCACCGATGGCCAAGGCCGCATCGTTGACGCAAAGAACTGCATCGTCGTCATGACCTCCAACCTGGGCGCCGAGTTCCTCGCCCGCCCTACCACCACGGACGGCCGCATCGACCCACAGACCCGCGAGATGGTCATGGGCGCTCTCCGCGACTATTTCCTGCCCGAATTCCTCAACCGTATCTCCAGCACAGTCATCTTCAACCGCCTCACCAAGCGCGAGATCCGCAAGATCGTCGACCTCCGCCTCGCCGAAGTCCAGAAGCGTCTCGAGCACAACGGCCGCAATGTCTACATCGATTGTTCCGAGGAAGTCAAGGACTACCTTGGTGCAGCTGGTTACTCTCCCGCCTACGGTGCCCGTCCTCTTGGTCGTCTCATCGAACGTGAGGTCCTCAACCGTCTCGCTGTTCTCATACTTCGCGGAAGTATACAAGATGGCGAGAACGCTCGTGTCGTCATGCGCGACGGTCGCATCGAGGTCCTGCCTAACCACGAGCTAGGTGAAAGCAGTGATAGCGATGATGACATGATGGACTCGGATGACCTCGCAGCCGAAATGGAGACTGACATGCCCGATCTGTACGATGATTAAATGGAATGTTCAATCTTCCACTTATGTTGTTGAAACACAAGCAAGGAAAAAAGAGTTGAGCATATTGAGCTTCGGGATGATTCACGATTTTCCTTTTTAATGACTTTCTCTTTTCTTTTCTTTTCTTTTCTTTTTTTTTTTTTTTTTTTCCCTCCTTCCATCTTTTGGCATGGCGTTGGTCCTAGCATTTCGTATTCTATATTTTTCTTGTCTTATATCTATCCTGTTTTGATTTTGTGACTTTCTGCTTGTTGCCTTTGGGCACATAATACTCGGTGGTCACTTTGGCCATGTTAATTTAAAACATATAGCATTTGTGCATAGCATTGACGCTATATATTAATAGTCTCTCTGTGAATACAATATGTAAGTAAAACAAAAGTTTATAAGGCATTCCTACTGAATGCTGCTCAATTGATTCGCTTATTACAATCAGCATCGACAGTCTTAGCATATACTCACATAGAAATTGGATAACATGATTGCACCATCCAATTCAAATCAAACGGTCGTTATGATCTTCTCTGCCTAGGGTGTCTTGCCTGATCGTCTCCTGAAAAGTCTGTGTAGAACTCCTCCACAGGCGTGAAGAGTTCGAATGAGTAGCGTGGGCTTATAATGGCAGACACGAAATAGTATAAGGTTGCGGCCGCCGCGATATTGAAACAAATGTAAACCCACCCAAGGCCCCAATTGCGCCATCTTTCATCATAATCTGAATCACAGGTTAAGTTAGAACGGGGTTTTACCACAAATAGGTGAAGACGTTCGACGGTGTATTCTCTTGGGAGAAGAGGGCATAACATACATATATCACTCAAGGCCATGCACTGGTCTGCATTCGTGAATGCACAATATTGGCAGTTTTGTGTAGCGAACGGGTTGTACAATTGCCCGGGAGCGACCATCAGCCAGTCTGTAAGATATTGACCGCACGTCTGGCCTTGAGGTGGGCTGAATACAGTTAGCTCCGCTTGGGAGCAATGTACAGCTTGAGAGTGTAGTCACATTTCCGCATATGCCTGCAATCAAGTATGTCAACGGCGAAACGCGGTACATGAAAATCCAGAACCCGGGGAGTGCAGTTGGGGTCTGCATTACTCCATTAAATGTCAAGATGAGAGCAAATGCCAATGTTGCGACAGTTCCTGTTAGTTTTGAGAACAAGATCAGCAGCTGTTCCTAAAGGTTCATATTAGAGGGACTGCGTCATCATACCTCCTGTTTCAGCATCTGGCAATGCTGAGATGACAAGCTCGGCAAATGTTGAGGTAAACACAAAGAATTGAATCACGAAAAGAAGCATCATTCCCTGCACTTGAGAGCTCTGATTCGCCCCATAGATGGGGTAATAGTAACTGGCCCAGACCAAAAGCCCTAGCAACACCTGGTATGGTATCTCGACCAATATGTTCGAGACAATGAATGCTACCCAAGAGTATGTCTCCCAGGGGCGCTCACAAACTTCATACAACGAGCGTCGAGTGACGAACTTGGGCATGATCCTAGTAAATAGTGTTGTCAGCGGGAACGTGCACATATACCTATACTGAAATAAGGGTGGGGACATACTGTTGGACTAGGGTTGAGAAGATTGATGTAAGCATGAACGAACTGAAGAGGTGATTTTGTATCCCCTGTATAGAGCTTCCAGGCTTGAAGTAGGAGAAAGCAATAAACAAAGCCGAAACAATACCAAGCATGAACTTTGCCCCAATATAGGAAGGTTCACGCCAGTACTGCCGGAAGACCCGGTGTCTGACACACCAAATCTGATCGAGGTACGGCATAGCAAATTCACTCTGTTCGTTATAACCAGTACCAAAACTTTCGTTGGAATGGGCGTTAGCAGCAGCTCCACTTGCGTGTATACGCTGAAATTCGGCCTCCACCTCCCGCGCCTCGGGGCTGTCTTTCCAGACTACTGGCCAGTCCAGAACAGAGTAGCCGGCAGCGCCGGCGCCAATGATTTCCGACATGTATTCTGCAGGCTTTTTGTTCCCAAATTGAAGATTTGTCAGCAAAACGTTCTTACAAATAGATCAGTGTGATCGATGCTGGACTTACGTTTTCAGACGCATCGCATTTTCTAGCGCCATTGCGTTCGAAATGGTCAAGCAAAGTTTGTGGCTGTTCCCCTAGGTTACCAAAGTAGACTGTCTTTCCACCCTTTCCCAAGAAAAGAAGCCGGTCAAACTGCTGGAACAAGACCGCGCTAGGCTGGTGAATAGTTGAGAGAACGGCCTGTCCGCTATCTGCTAGCTTTCTAAGAAATGCACAGATAGACCATGCAGTTTGAGAGTCCAGTCCACTGGTAGGTTCATCAAGGAACAGAAGAAGTCCCGGGTTTGCTGCAAGCTCAACACCGCGTTTTTGCTTAGGTGACCAGCTTACGAATACTGCATGAAACCGGGTCGATAGATGATCCGTCGGCATAGCTTATGTAACTAGAATGAACCCATAAATAGTGAGAAATAGGGGTAATGAAATACAGAGTCATTTACATCTCCAATTGGCCGGATACAGGACAAATCGTGACATTATGAAGCTTAACTAGAACTTTTTCTAGTATCGATCTGGGGGTCGCAAACTAATAGCAAACACATGTGATAGAATTAGAACTGGATATTCAATCAACCGTTAACGATCCACTTTTTGTAGTGAACATTAGATGGAATTTTCCAGTGATTTCGGTGCCCACTCTCTCACCATTGACGAGGAATGTCGATTTAATTGAAAACCCATAATTATTTCAGGGAAAATACACCTTTTCGAGTGATTTTAAACAGTAAACATGACCGATATTCTTCAATTGAAAGTGGTCCTAAGTGGAGGAAATGGAATGAGATAGACCTCACAAAAATAAGGGACCCGATGGGAGGAAGTTCGGCCCTTTCGGATTACCACGGCCTGGCAACTAGTCCAAATTTGACGTGGTTTGGCTTGTCAGCTTTGGTCCCAGGTCGGATCAGCTATACCCCCGTGATCAATACACAGCAGAAGACTGTTAGGCAATCCCCTCTAAGCTACAAGCAAGAAGCTATTTTTGGACATCTCCAGCAATCAATTCCCTACTCTCGATAACTATTCTTTGAGATATGATGCTACGGTTGTCTACTAGATTCGCTCTCTATTTTCATGATTGGTCATAAAAGATACTTATATGATGAGTATATATTCAAAGCACTTGCGTGTTGAGGAATACAAAGTAGAAGTTTTCAATGAAACTCGTCTATCCTGGTATCCCAAGACTTTCTATAATGATCATTTTGCACATATCCGAGATCATGTTCTGGGTTAAAATATAGAGATCGCTCAGCCGTAGCCATTTTTTCGGCCATCCAGCCCCGTAGCCTGCTGATATCACGGCAGGTATGCAAGACATCAAAATTTCCAACCTTGGAATTCACACTATCAAAGTACATAACAGGCACCGGTGTCAAATCCATGTGGCATTGAATACTTTGACGTATGTGGTTTAGACAATGGTCTGAAAAGAGAAGGGGTTTAGCTCGAAGTTCTCTTATAGGAGGTCAGGGAAACAAAAACCACATACCACCATGTATTCTGTCTCCACGGGGTAAATTGATTAAACTGGAATTATAGTAATATTCGCTGTCAAGAAGTTTTCGAATGTAATTCTGGAACCATCAGTCATTTTCTCAATTCAATTTAACAAAAGAGAGAATGTTGCTAACCACACAGTGCAAAGTATGAAGGACATCCGGTCTGCATACCTTTTCCATTAGCCCTGACAGGAAATACTCAAACTCGAATTCAAGTTCCTAGATAACTGCAGGATGCAAGGTTTACTCACCCGACATTTGTAGGATATAAGAGAGGTTTCAATGACTCTCGATTTAATGCTTCCGACTCCTGGATAGTCGTGCCGACTTGAAAATGCTCTAAATCAAGAATTAGATCGGAAAATATCGCTCAAACCCAAAATCCTACAAGGAACTCACTCCCAATAAGTTCATGCCACGCTTGATCCACCTCTGGGCCAGGCTCTCCAAAATATCGCACGCCATCAGGGCCTAAGTCAATATAAAGGTGACCGGTATCGTTGTAACTCAATGTTCCACTGAATCGAACTTTTGTGATGCTTATAGTTGACCGAAATGGCTCTTTGAAAAAGTGAAATAATAAGTAAGAAGGGGGTGCCAGTCTTTTGTTACGGATTCTATAGATCTTGAGAACTAACCGAACTCCGTCCCAAACCTAACTTCGTATGTGTCATTTTGTAATTTTATATGACTGAGTATCTGAAGTCCTAGAAGAATGCCGGTTGAGATGATCCAAGGAAGAGGGTGCAAAAAGACATAGACCCATCCGCCCCTTTTCCTACTATATGTAGTGGTTTCGTCCGAAAGTCCGAGGCCTGCACTGGGAATCTTTTGGTATCTAAAAGACATAGTTTAACATGGATGAGTTCGATGTTAGTAGCAATGAGTAGTATATCGGCAAGGTCCGTATGAGAAGCGATATATGCACATGTGAGTTCTGTTTATTGTCTACATGTATGGGGTTGCACAAAACTTGAATGCGAAGATTCCAATATCGAGTAACTAACCCAAGTCACGTAAATTACGTGAGCCATGAGTCCATGACTCGGTACACGTTAGTGTGTCGAAATATGACGTGCGTCTCAGAATTATTTGAATCTTCTGAGGCATAGTGTATACTACGTAATGGAAATTTTTTAACTAATCTCAACCATCATTCCTTAGTCGAAAGCAGGTTTCCCCGAGGTCCTCCAGGGCTGTATCACGCTTTCCGCATTCAAGGAAGACGAAATATAACTAGATCCAGTTCTACCTTATATTCTTTTTTTTTTTTTTAGAAAAAAAAAATCCACCAAATCCTAATCCATTCCACCCAGAATGCATTTTTTCAAAGTATTCGTTGCGACCCTTGCAACCACGGCAAACATTGCTATGGCGGCCCCTGTAAGTGGTGTCGCCTAACTCGAGGCGCGGCATCCCGAGCCGCAGCCTGAGCGCATTGCCCAAGTCTATTCGGACAAGATAAGTAAGATCAGAAATATGTTTTGTCCCAGGTTTGACAACTTTTAACACGAATTATAGAAAGAGAGCCACAGCGTGATGGCCAGGTTTACTCGGACAAGATAAGTAAGATCAGGGATACATTTTGTTCCAGGTTTGACAACATTTAACACGAATTCTAGAGCGAGAGCCACAGCGTGATGGCCAGGGTTACTCACGATTGGACGAGTAGTAATCTGTATTTAGAAAGGGGCGCTCAGCGTGTGATCTGTGCGCCGCTTGGACCAGGTCTATAGGTGGACTGATGAATGCTAGCCAGTGCCACAACCTTAGAATAACTAGGAATCAGTAATCACATTTTGTTTACTGGAAGGAGCTAGTTCTGAGTTAATTGGCAATATGTAATTCCATTGGCCTAGATTACTCTTTGGTCTTACTCCAACTTGAAATTAGTACTCCAGCTCATAATCTGTTTCTTTAATGTTATACCTTCTGTTAGTAGTGAAGATGATGGATTTCCATTTCAATGGGCTATGCTTGTTGATGATATCTTTCAAGTAAATTAATTACGTGGTAAATTTCTAAGAGTCGTCCTGCAGGCGTTTCATGGCTTACTATTCCGAGTCTGACATAAATAACGAGCTTTAGTTACGTGAGAAAATTATGCGTAGGGCTAGGGGTGGTGGTTGACCTAACGATTAGACTTAGCTAACTAATAACTATTACCAATGCAATTCAAGTTCATATTCCTTAACTAAATGGATCCAAAATAATCAGAATTGGGGGTTTATTTCCTATGATATGTGTTCAACAAGATCGCCTTTCTTGACATCTTCGAGACTTGACAATGTTCCAAAATTGGTTATCAAAGACAGTATTTTTTTCGAAACAGCCTCACCTTGATCAACGCAAGAATGGCGAAATCCTGGATAAGGATCCTGTTGATGGAGATGAACTTCTCCTAGACTCTACTAGTAGAGTTCACTGGGTAGACGATGAACGCGTAAAACCACACTCTTGTTTTTCAACTTATCGTCGCTCTAAACCATACTCTACTCTACTACTCTGGTGGAGCGTGTTTAATGCTAGGCTACTAGTCATTATAATGGGGCTCGCGACCCGGCACACGATGAATATTTCACGGACGAATCTCTACGACTCCATTATGACCGATGACGGTAAATCTTTTCCTTCCGGACAATTGAGCTGGTCGCAAAGATTCACACCGTTGCCCTGTGGCAAATCTCCATCGGAGGCCATAGCTCGAGGCTGTCACTTCGATATAATTGCTACCGCGTGGCTGCCCCCTAAATATATCGACTATGAACTGGCCGCTGAATTTACGGCGTTGCATCCATGGCAGTATTTTCGAAACCCGAATGGCACTGATCCAATATCCCATGACCCTGATGTACTGGGTTCCCAAAGTGGACTTATCTAGACTACACATCGTTGGCATTCGGCGCATTGTGTATTTATGTGGAAGAAACTGAATCGGGCACTGGTAAAGGGGTGGCCAACAGATGGAGAATGTATCAAGCAGGAACACATTGATCATTGCTCCAAACATGTCTTGGGGGAGCATGATTTGGATTCTATCGGAAGTATCGTGGAGATTATTTATCCCCCTTGCTGAAGATATCCTTGAATATGTGTCTAGCGGAAAATCAGTCAATTCAAGTTGTTTGATGGTGATGGGCAAAGATAGTACCTTCCATTTATCACCAATATGAGATTCAACCTTAGAACGTTTGAGATATTTGTTCCCAGCCCCGGAGGGCTGCTAAATATGGATTATGTGTTCTGTAGTTTAATCAATCGTTTCAAGTTTAAGTTCCACACATGTCACGGTGCATACATATGTCTGTGCAAGGTCAACCGTTCAACCTTGGAACATGGATTTGAACTGAAAGGTTGAATGTTTTAGATGTCAATTTCAACCTTAAACTTCCAAGGTTACCTCCGGATGTCAAGTGCTCTCACTGGCTATTATAAAGGCCGGCGCGCATATCCAGATGTCCTGATGTGACTGTATCCATTGATGGATTGTTTTGATATATTGATATATGGTAGTGAGAACATTTGGAAGGAGATAAAACCAGCCCTCGAGTTAAAACCGGTCTTAATATGAGCCTAATCTACTATGAATATACTTCTATTGACTATCAGTTCCTTCTTATTGTAGTCTGAGCGCCTCTTGATTGCCAAGTCATGAATCACTTCAAAGTTTCTACATGTGTGCATAGTGTCAGTGCTTAGAATGAGTTTATTGCTAGTCAAAGTCTATTCCATCGGGGTGAGGTCGGCGTGACATTGGATGGCTTGGCGTAAATGATTGATACAGTGGCCTCCTTTCGATTAGTGAAAATCCCAGTAACATTTGAATATTGAATTTTTGGAAGAACCAACCTATATGATGCTCACGGGGAGGGTTATTTGGATCGTTGAAGATATTGTAATAGTTGGGATATAGTGCTTGGCGGAGGCGATTCTTTGCTTTGTCTTAAAACTTGTGGAACTTGAAGGCTTGCAGATTGATTTATAGGACTTACTAGACAATGCAGAGAATGAAATACCTCAAGCCTATTCTATCCGTTAGTATATAATGTATTTTGAGGCTTGACGTAGAGTTGAAATCAATCTCACCTAGTAAAATAATGTCCTGAGTCAGGCCATTAGAAGGTTCTCCTATGAAGGTGATCAGCCTCATGACCCTCAAGGTCCATGTTTAAACCTTGCATCAAGATTAATAATTGTTTTGACTTATCTTCAGCGTAAAACTAACCTAATAGAAGATGCGCCTAGGCCTCGTCGATTTCCCGCGAGGGAGATCCGACGTATTTAGGGGTAGTTTGTTCCATCTCAAAGTCCCCGTTCTCTGTTATTTTGACTCCACTAGTAAAGTGGTATTGAGACAGCTCTATTTTCGATTTGACTGAGTCTGGGGGTCTTTGTTAGCGATCACCACAGAAATATTGCTTATCTAAACTGTACTGTTTATTACCTAAATCTGTTTCGAATCTATATTCGTAAGACTGCGGGCGTTTATAGCCGAAATCGATACTAAGAAGAAAGATATTCAGTAAAACAGAAAATAGCAAGAGAAAATTTAGGATTCCCTTTATTCTTCCGCTCCTAGCTGAAACTTCTTTCCCGAGTTGCCCTAATAGGCTGTTGGATTCTGCATCGCCCTGTTCCTCTTGCTCGAGCATCATGATTATTCAGATTCTTTGTTCCGATAAAGAGAATTCAGAACTATCTGACAGAGAAATCGAAGTAATGCAGCATTACAAACTCCCTCATGTATAGCAACGCCAAGGCCGTGCCGCAATATCCCTGAATGACAGTCTCTATATGAATTCTTACGTAGGGCTAGTATTGGAAAAGGGTTTTCTATGATATTTGCCCTGTCGTATCATCACATAATAGTGGCTTTTCAAGGTGCGGAATGTACCGTGAATTCCTTGGGGGTATTTGGGTTAGTCAGGGGTATGAATTACGTGAATGCATGAATCTAACGTAATCTACTAACCCAACTACATAAGCTTAGAAACGTTGTTTGTTTATTGAAAAAAGTCTCTAGAAAAATTGATTTAGATAATTGAAAAGATACTTAATTCATGCCACTTACGTGAGAACTTCCTCTATGTACTCACTCAGCCTAGGTGGTTTCTTAGGATATCAACACTATGACAACATTGAAACTTGGTATTCCGAGCTTCAAACGTGGTATTTTACACAACAGACACCTGGTTCCTGCAATCTAACAACCTATCATGTTTTCCGAGGATGAGTGCGATGTATTCCTGAAAGAATCTCAATATACCACGCAAGACGAACTCAACGATTCACCAGTCGTGAAGAAAAGATTTCGCCTTTTCCGGGCTGTTCAACATTGGGTGGAAAGCAGAAAAAGATCAATTCCATTTTTCACCTACCTGCTCGTGTTTTTGATCACGTCCGTGATTTGGGGGGATCTCTTCTTTTCTTTACGCTCCTATCCCCGTATAGTCACAAATCGGTTGGACGAGTCGGCCACTCTCTAGATGATGCGCCCTTATTTTCCGGAGCCAAGTACTCGTATTGCGGAAGATCAGCTCCAGAGGCGAGGGCCTTGGGCTGTCAATACGACATCCTTAGTAACCATTGGGTGCCAGGCAAATGCATAGATCAGAGGCGCTGTGGAGGAATATCAATCGGATGAATCATGGTACGGATATGCCGACGAGAATCGGATAGAGGTTTTGAGCATAGATGCTATGTCAGAAATTTCTTTTTACTACACCAACGAACGAGACCATATTGTTCATTGTGCGATGCTGTGGAGGAAGCAATACAGGGCATTTGCTAAGGGTCGAACTACATATGATTCTATAATCGCAGACTCTAGGCATACAAATCATTGCTCTGAATATTTGATAAACATGACCACTTGGGGAATTGACTTTAGGACTATGCCAATCAAAGTGTTTGTGGGGTATGCTGGTTGTTACGACAGGGGCGAAATTACGGATTAACAAGTCCCTACATCTTAGTTAGCTCAAATGGATTGAAAATGTTAGAACTTGAATGTGATAAGGCTAGTCAATCCAAGGGGAAAGAGTCTATTCAACAAGATAACTAAAGCTAGAGAAAGAAGAGAAGAGGAGAAGGAGACAGGAGGGGATAACAATATAAGGACCCTCAGTTCTCAGGCCTCAGGCACCAGCTCTCAGACACCAGGCTTCAGCATATGATTCATCACATTGAACTTCACGCAATTTCCATACCTTCATACTGACTCAATACTACTATCCACGTGTGTGTACTAGCATTTTCAACATTGAATAATTCAACATTTGAATGCTCTTCTTGGTGTTTAAATTACGCGTCAGGTCAATCTAATATATGAGTGGAAGGCGACTGAGAGCTAATCTGGTAGAGACTATCAAATAGAAACAGAAGACTTTAGCCGTTCTATGACTTTATTGATGATTAAAAAAATAGGAGATATGCTTGTTAGCGATTAAAAGTCAAGCCAGACCGAGTTCTTTGAAAAATGCCTCTCTGCTTGGTTCACGACCTAAGAACTTAGTCAGGGTCTTCATCCCATCCTGGCTGTCACCCTTCTCAAGAACAAGGTGTCGATATCTTCGGCCTTCTTTGGCATTGAGAGGGTCAGACCGGATACCGAGTCGAACATATCAAGGGCATATACTTCCGACCTTCATATAGGTGTTAGTGACAGATCAATTATCTTCAGGTAATAAGTTCTTACCATAGGTAACTGTAAAAGCCCGCATCATACGTGCCTATCTAGTGTGGAATGATTCCCTCGCCATGTCCCCACGCATAACCCTGGCCAAGTGTCTCAGGTCTATCAGTTAGTCTGATTGCCTTTCGTAGGCTGTTGAATTTCGATGAGATATCCAAATCTATGATCTCTTAGTGAGTTCTAGGTGTATGGACTTTCAAATCAAAAACACTAAGAAATACCCGAAACAGGTTATACAATCCCGTTTTCTAATTGCGTGATTGGATAAGCCCTGTAATCATCTCATCGGGGATTTGTTCAGAGGGCATTGACTTAGGTTAACGTTCTCCTTTCCCTAGACTGCAGCTTTCTGCTGATAGAGTTGAGTAGTGTCGACTCAGCGACTTTAGTTGTGAAGGTACCTAGCACCAGTTCTCAAGTATCTGGCTAGGCGCTTCTGCAAAGTCTTCCGTTGATTTTGTACCATAAAAAGTTGAGTAAGTAGTCTTTGCCATAAGGTCATGGATAGCGTGTCCCAGTTCATGAAATATCGTTACAACGTTATCATGTCTGAGAAGACTGGGTTTATCAGGGCTAGGCTTAGGGAACTAGCATAATAAAGCTGTGGACGGATAGGAGCGTGTCTTGTCTTATCGAATAAAGCCCTAAATATAGTCAGCTCTGAACGAAGTCATCAATAGAAAAAGTAAAGTGGCAGTATCAAGTCACTATTCGGGAAAGACTTTTCTTAAACTAGCAACTAGGACAAGAGATAGTACGTACTAGCTGGAGATTCCAATCCGATGGGTTTGGATATTTACCGTCTCGTGAGAACAGGTCTATGTAGAGGTAGCTAACGAATCCACTTCCTAGGTCTTTATCGTCCTAAACATTAAAAACCAGCACATCTTCATGCCAAACAATGTCACTGCCTTTGTCGACAACCATTTCCTTAAAGACGAGACCAAACAATCTCTCAAAAATCCCTAGCATACCTTGGACAGTGGTTTGCAAAGGGAAATACTCTGCAATCTTCTCCTAGTCGATTGATAACTCTTTTTGATTCATTAAACGACTATAAAATGAATAGTCCCAGAGATAAAAGCCGTTGAATAGTTCTCCATGAGACTCTAGATCTGCCTTTTTCAACTACGTTTGCTAGGCAAGCTCTTTTTGACCACTGCTCATCAACTTAGACCATAAGTCATCTAAGAAAATCTCCACTGTCTTAGAGTCTTTGGCCATCTTCTCTTCTATTCTGAACGATGCGTGATTTGAATATCTAAGCAGCCGAGTAGCTTCATCGCGAAGCACCACAGCCTCCTTAAGGATAGACGCATTCTATGAGCATTTATTCTCATTAGCAATGAAGATCTTCTTTCGGGTTTCTTCATTTTTTGCAGATTTCAGTGCTATGGAGATATCCGATCCCTTGAAACTAAGCCAAACTTTGCCCGAATGATTTTCATCCGTTTTTCTGTTCTGCAAGCTGGATATAAATTCCGTAGGTACTCTATTCAATTCCTGCAGAGTAAGCCAGATGCCCCCATTTTCGCTGTTCAGAATCTTTTTATAGTCGATTCTCAGCTGACTGAGATGTTTCTGGATTTCTTTGAAGCGACCACGCTAAGACTCGGGCAGTCCCAATCCCTTCCGGTAATAATCTTTGTATTTCTTCTCTAACAGTCGACGTGATTCCGGATCTAGTTTATCAATGTTGCTTTTGTGGAAAACCGACTTGACTAGGTTGTAAAGGTCTTCCCGGGTCTCCGTCTCAAAAACAAATTCATTAAAAAGCTTCTTAGCCTCCCCTAATGCATCACGTAGTTCCGGGTCGGTCGACACAGATTGATAGAATTTAAGAATTTCAAATTCATGAGCCAATAAATTTTCATCGTTTGCGAGTGGTACTAGAACATTCGCAAAAGTTGCGCCTTCTAGCGGCACATGTGCCATAAGCTCATCTTTCGCCTTTCGAGAGCGCTCTATTAGATCCTTAGCCTTGCTGAGAACCGTTGACGGCGTGTCACTGAATCTTGGAGGAGCTTGAGGTGGCTCTTGAATCTTGTTTAAGGACATTTTCGTATCTGGTGACGCTTTAAGATATCGCAATTGCAGGATGGAAGGAGAACTGAATAAGAGAGCATGGGAAGAAAAAGGGAGAGGGCGCCAGCGAAGTTAGTGATACTTCTACGGGGATTAGGTGACTACGTGACTACGGTGGTCCGATCTCCCACAGCAAGGGAACAAAGAGAAGAGCCATGTTACTCCGGAGTCCCAGGTACCCCCTAGTGGTGGTTGCATTACTCTCTACTACTCCGTACATATTACATGTTAATGGAACCAAGTGCCGCTGACGTGGCCTAGTGGGGCTATGTATTATACCTGTCATTACGTGTTTTGTTTTTCTTATGTCATATTCCGTTATTGCACATAGAATATTGCCAGTTCCAAGGTTCTTACAGTTTTGGAATACACACTTTCTCCACATGCTGTCTCCAAGTGTACCCCTACGGGTCTTCCCGTTGTCCAAAAAACTCGAAGCGTGGTTGTGATTTGGTCCATTGAAGCTCAATCGACCCGTACATCTTTAGCGTGCACGGCTTAGAGCGATCCCCTCTTCACTGGGGTATTGTATAGAGTCCAATTATACAGCCAGAAAGAGAACACATACTAACTTAATCGGTAAGCGAGCTGGCCATGTAAGCCAGCTGGCCACCCCAAAACACATAGTAAATGTATTAAATTACAACTCTATTTCTCAACAACCACAAGTTAGAATAGATTCTTATGACAGTGTGGTATTTGAAAATTTCTAGAGAATAATAGCTCAAAAATATAGATTTAAAGCAAATCGATGAAAAATGGACAGTATTTTGGTAATCATGATAAACACTTATTTAAACGGCCCTAAAGTTCGGAGTATGACTAGAAATAAGGTTAATAGCCTAATCTATAAGTTTTAACCGAATTCAACTTTCAGTTGTTGAGAAATAGAGTTGTGATTTACTACATTTACTATGTGTTTTGGGGTGGCCAGCTCGCTTACCGAATACGTTAAATTTCGCCGAAGGCTTACGAAGGAATCAAGAATATGATCACCCGTTGCCAGTGATTGGTTAGGGAGATTTCCATGGCGTACACTACTTAGCTGCATATAGATAGCTTCATCCACATAGATAAGCGATTATGTATGCACCTTGTCAACTTTGGAACCTATCCAATGGTAACGAGCCTTCTAGATAATTAGCATTTGAGGATTACCTAGGGCTACCTCGGTGTTAGTAGTAGTTATTTGTCAACGGAGAATGACGCCTAAAAAGGCACTATTTCTACGATTACCAGAAGCCCCATAACTTGAAGGGATCCCTTCTAATGTTCGGTGGCTCAATGATGAAAACCCCACTGTTGGTATGATAAGCCTATCATAGTGACCCTTAGACTAGCACCGTGACGTTACTCATTAACCGACTTCCTCATTGATTACCAGTCTTTATATCTAGGGATATGTATTATATCATCCTTAGGGAAGTTGGGATTTAATAGTATACCGAACAATTAGTGTACACCAATTCTCACCTAATATAGTACGTAGCTAGGATTTCCGACTCGATTATGAGTTAGTAGTATACGGACCAATAAGGAAGAATTGAGCTGTTGAACGACATTTCCAGATAAATGTGCTCTAGCACGTTAACAGTATCTTACGTTAGATTTATGCACATGTGTGTATTCTACACTGAATCTTGTCTACTATCCTCCCCTGACTATAATTCATGTTCATCTACTTCTCTAGTCTAAGAACGTCTGTTGTGTAACAACAGTGTTAAGAAACTGGAGATAGAAACCTTTTCTCAAGTCACGGTGCTGGTATGTCGATCATTCTTCAAAAGATTTAAAGTCAAACTCTCTAATAAAATGTCTAGCTTCGAGAAAATTTGGGTATTCCTTTCGCACACAATTTACTTCAAGTTCTAGAAGTATGTTTTCGAGATAGAAACTGTCCTACAGCAGACTTGGGTCAGATAACGTCCACAGCGACTTAGGTCAAAAGTCAGTTGCTAAGGAACATATGAAAGACGAACAAGACCTATCTCCAGCGCCTAGAAAAAGGACGACGGCCGTTTTTATTGCTATAATTTGCGGAATCGCCATATTGGCGTTCATCGGTCTCTTGACAAATGCGAAGTTCCACAATAATGTCGACCAAGTTCTTCCCTGCGGAAATTCATCTGCCCAGGCGTGGGCGCGTGGATGCTCATTCGATCAATTGATGTGGTCGTGGTATCCTAAACACTGCCCACACTACGCAAATGACGAATATCTCAACGTTCAACACTAGAAATTCTACTCTGATCCATATGCCAAGGAAGTTGTTGATGGTACCGATTGGACCAAAGTATTAGACAACGAAATATTGGTATACGGTGAACGAGGAGAACACTTGACCCATTGCATTTACATGTTCCTCAGTCTTGCACAAATCCTTCACGATAGTGGTAGGTATACCCAACGCTATGTAGACTATCCGCATATAGAGCATTGCGCTGGCATTCTTTTAGAAGCTATCTAAAAGGATATTCACTAGCATGATATCGAAACCTTTGCAGGCCGTGTTGTTTATGATCAGAACTGTTAAATACCCCGAGCTTATTCACCACGAAAGATAATTTAGTTCTTAATACGGGGTGCAGGCAATAGTAATTGGTATTATCCTAATATCAGAGATTTCTTCCCAAATATCCATAAATGGTAGGTATTCCTCCATATCGAACATACTCGCGCATACTATCGGATAAATTTTGTTTAACGCAACGTCAATCTTTAACTCTATGCCTCAATATCAGCCACATGGAAGAGAAGAAGGCTTGTCAGAGACAATGACCCGCAATCCACGGCTAAATGCAATGCAACCTCCCCATATGAGTCCCTCATATTAACATCAATAGATGCCTCTAAAAGCAGCTTTGCAACATTCTCATTATCACTCTGGACTGCTGAGAATAATGCAGTTCGTCCTAGGGAGTCCTTGACATTTAAGTCTATCTTCACTCCAAGCAATATACGGACTAGAGGCTCATCTTCACTTTCCACGGCCAGATGCAGTGCAGTTTTCCCGTTGCCGTCTTGTCTCCCAACATCAGCTCCTCGCTCTAAAAGAAGACGCGTAATCGATTCATTCCCCGCGCAAATTGCACGGTGAAGTGCGGGCTGGTCCCCATTTTGTTTAGTTCTTGGGATGGGAAGCTCAGGTAGGACGGAGTCGCTCTGAGTAAACTAAAAGATATTAATTCTGAGTCTCATATTGCCCAAGTTTGATGATATGGTCTTTTCAACTACCTTGTTTCTTAGAATGTCGATCTATGAGCCAGGCAGACTCAGAGGAGTGAAACTCGAGTTTGTGGTCACAGCCTCATTATATGGGAAAGACCAAAATTCATCATGTTTGGGGGGTTCATGAGGGATGGCTAATTCGCTATTGTTCACTAGGCATTGTCCAACGGCTTCCTCTAGAGCTCGAAGACGTTGCTTTTGATTGTATCCTTCGTAACTCCGTTAGAAGTCATTCTCTAGCTGACCTAATGAACGGGGCTGTCTCACTGTAGGTACGCTGAGCAATACGGTTCTGATTCCGTTTTCGCTCTTTTGAATCTTCGGGTCTTGTGCTGCTCACTTGGCAGTGCTGTGGGGTTACGACCTTGTCGCTAACGACGTTACTCATGCTGTCACTCGCTGGACCGGCCATAGGTAAAAGTAAGATTATATTCAAGGTCGACCAATTTGCAAAGTAGTATCAACCCTTCGATTGAAGGCAAACCCCTGGTCTTCTTATAACGACGGACTCCAGGGCGATCCCCGCCTTTTTGCATCTTTCAGTGGATTAGCACCTATTCGATACCATGAATGTCTTTGATGCGAGCATGCTAGCATGTACTACACGATTTATGCTTGCGCACCAGCGGAGCCCATTACGCGTACTAAGTTAATCGTCCAATAAGCTGGCTTTGGCTTGTTAAGCCCAAAGCTTGATACTGGTCTCCCGTCGGTTCTCCGCCACCGCCCTTTATTTTAATCCGATTGAAAACCTTTGGGCGTTAATGAAGCAGGAAATTTATAGGCTATATCCTGAGCTTGAGCAAGCTCGTGATAACGCGTAAAGGCTCGAGGCATTAAAATCTGCTGCTAAGGAGGCATGGGAGAATATTAGGGACGAGGTACTAGTGCGTCTTATCACAGGCGATGCCGTATCCTGTGCAAGCAGTAGCTACTTATTAGTTTCAGCGGTCGGCTAATGTTTGGATGTTTTATCAGCTAAGGAAAAGAAAAAGAGCCTATAGTCATAAACAATACTTAAGACAGTAATTTCTCCTATAAAAATGGAAAAATTCCGATTGGCCGCACGTGTTGATTTTGAAATCCCGGACCGTTCCAAGGGAAAAGCGAAACCTCTGTCGGAATGCGATTTGTCGACCCCCGTTCCACCCAGTTTCCCAAGATCGGCCATATCACTTCCGGTAAACTCTCTTATGAGCCTGTATCCCCTATCTCCAAAATTCTAATCCTGTTCGCTTATAATCCCGCCCTAGCGGAACTTAGGCAGGCTGGCTGACTGCCGGGATCCTTAACCCACTGAAAATGCTACGCTTTTCGAGGGATGTACAGTGCCATGAGATTAGTTTTTGACAAGCACTAAATTTTAGCGCATCACGCTAGATTGAAACAGGAAAACGCGGTATTAAATCGACTATCTATTACATACAGTTACCGTAATATTTTGTGAACCAACCAACCATATGCCTCGATTACATTAGAGATTATATCCTCAGAAAGCTCTAGTCAGTAATCTATCACGAAAGCTCGGAGCTATTTTAGATAATTGTCTCGTAATCCTATATTTCCCCCCGTTAGGGCTAAGCCATCGGACCCTAGGATGGCCAAACTGATACGGCGTGCATGAAGCAGTGGATTTATAGAAACCACCCAGAGATAAAATCACCAACTTTGAGCTACTTAGGAGAGCGTTAGGCGAGATAAACTGTAAAACCTATTAGAGATGATGCCTCAAAGGATACAAGCAGTTAAGTGTTGATATAGGGGGTTATACCAAGCACCGAATTTCGGTATAAGTATGGCAGAGATTATATTGGAGAGAGCGTAGAATCTAGACACCAAGCTGTATTGATCTATCATAAAGACCGCTAAAATTTAATATAGGGCTGCGGAGTAAAGTGGGTCGCTCAAAAAGCTTGTCATGGTAGATAGGTGACATTGTTTGAAAGGTGCATAGGTAACAGATTAGTTACAGTAAAGGGCACAAAGGTGGCATCAAAAGACCTTTTCATGCTAAATTCGATAAGTTCGTGCTATTTTGTTGCTATAGGTAGTTCTGAACGGGGCTACGCCATTGACCACGTTGGCTCTCCCGAGGGTATTAGTATGCAATCCGGCGAACAGACATCCGTGAGCCTATGGTAACGGGCACGGTAAAGGTCACCGCTTACGAGTGGGGGTGGGCCTAGCTCTACGCCACTATCTCGCTCCCCATGTGGCGTAGGCATCTGCAAGTGACTATGCAAGCTGCCGCAGCTGTTAGATAGCCAGCCGTGTCGTACAAGCGGTGAAATTTACATCGGCGGCTCAGAAATGTGGGCACATGTAGAACAGAAAGCTCGCTACAGCCTTAGTATTCCAAGGTTTCATTTTGCCTGTCACCTAGAATAGCCCCTTATTCCATTACTAACGAGAGATATAGATTACGTGGGTTCACTACCCACAGATAATATTGTGTTGGCACTGGTAGTTTTGTCTAGGTAGTTCTGAATCTTAGGTGAGGTACTATATGTCTCCGAGTCATTGATTATTTTATTTCAATGTCGCATTCATTTCCTTTCCAAGATTCACGTATAATTGTCACTCGCTCCGTCTTGCTTGGTCAGCACACCACTAGTGGTCAAAGCGAGTGACAATTACAATCTTGCTATTAGTACTGATTTTTCTATGTCATAATGATTATATTCAAATGTTCACTCTTCATTCAATTTCAAATGTTGCTTTACCTACACTCGTACTAGTAATTTGTAAGACCGAATACTAACTCGGAGCATCATGATATAATCCTCGCTAGATTGTATCCGCAATTTCTCTCCTCAGGTCCTTTGCTTCTAACCCACACCTTAGATACCAAGGTGTATGTCGTGACATGATACTCTCGCTTTCTCGCTTTTCCCTTATCAATAAATCAGGTCCGTAGTGTGCTGCTAATGCATAACTTGCCGACCACTCCTCCAATAGCCAATTTCTCATCGCCGCTCTTTGCACCTTTTGCCATCCATATATGCATGAAACTAGATAATGCTCCCATGTTGCGAACACTTCATCGCCATTTATAAGGAGCTCAGAATCTGTAGCGGATGTTGCGCCTAGCGCATAGTTTTCTATTGTCGAAAAAGACAGCGGGGTGTACTTTGATGGAAGTGCAGAGCTAGAACTAGAAAGGGTGTAGAATGCTGGACAACCTTCTAGCTAGGAGTTCAAAGTCGTCAGGCTCTCATTATAAAGTTGCAAGTCCGTACATTCTGGCGGAGTCCATCCAAATAGGAAAATGTCGAAGAAGCAATAAGCTGCGATGGCTTCAGCAGGCGTACGTCCGCAAGATGTGATATCTATACGAGTTTGATTGATAGCCGTTTTCTCTAAATTTTTCCCGTTCAAGTTTTGGTATGAACCTTGATTTTTGAGGATCCATGCTAGGAGCAGAACAATCGCGAGGTATGTGATAACTTGCACAAAGAGGATAAAAATCACTGTCCTAACGCCAAAATTTCGAAGGTGGTCATATTTCGTCCATCCTTCAGCGGCAACAGAGTCGTTGTCGCTGGATTGCGAGTCCTCCCCGAGGATCTTCTTATACTCGGCCATGGTTGCACTTAGGGTAGCTATCTACTAGTTAAATTATCTTCAATAAGTATTGATATACAATGAGATTACATAGTTCAGTATGGGGCAGGACGATATACCGCGACTTCAATCCCTAGAAGCTCTAAGACTGATGTAAGTCCAGCTTGCAATTTTTTGGTTACGCCCAAGAGAAACATTTGAAACTACTGAAGCATTAATTTGTACCTAGTTAGTATGGAAATGAAATTATTGAATGGTCGATTTAGTAATATTCCAGATTATTATATCTCACCTCATGGCTTACGAGGGTCTACGGGTTGCAATGGTCTAAAATTTACCAGAGCAATCCAAAAAGCTCATGTTGACCGTAAAAGTTTTTTATTGGGCCGCTATGAGCAAATACATAAACCGTAAGTGGATATAGCTTTGAGCCGCCACGGTGCAAGATCCAATGATTTCTTTAACAAATTCTTTTTTAATATTCAAGTCGTGACTGCGGCCGCTAGTTAGGGCCTCAGGCAGTCAATCGGGGCTCTGTGTAGATATCGGTATACTCAAAGATCTGCAAATTTGAGGGGTTTTCATAAATCTAACTTAGAATTACATATGCAATGAAGTTTCCAGCAATCAAAGTAGAATTATTAAGCACTTACAACACAAGAATTCCGGCCTAAATGAACGTGAATAGGGATACCTGATCTCGTATTGGTTAAAGACTTTAGACTAGCCCAAGTAAATTGGGGGTTTAGAGCAACATTTGAATCTAAGCTAATTTCCGGGTAATGCGACCTCATCTATAACCCGAGCTTACGAGATATAACCCTAACCTTACCCCTAGATGATTTGCAGAAACCTCGCACATATGCAAATATCAGTTGTTTCAAATGTTCCTTCCCTGAAAAATCCCTTTACTTTGGATAGGAAAACTGTCAACCTAACATGGCAAAATTCACAAAATCAAGTGAATATAATCGAGAATCTGAAGAAAGTCTGCTTACAGAATTTCGTCCGACACAGGAGAAGGAGCCAACACGAAACCATCATTACTATGCGATAATCATACCTTAGGTTTTATGCTTGATACTTTCTATCTTATTAACAGCTAGTCTGGGATTGAGATCGGAACCCTGTATTCCAAAGAATTTTTGGGCACCTACAGAGATCGGTACGTCCGCCGGATTAATGTTCTTCTTATCCACAGACCAATCTTGATTAAACTCATCTTCACAAGAACCTATAACAAGAGAGCTTCCCGCGACCACTAAAGAAACGCTTTTTACTGCCGCACTAAAGTATAACGAGGCGCACGAACTGTATCGGCCTGTCAACCCAAATGGACCCAAATATGTCGGTATACCGAGTCCAGAAATTGATGCCGCCTGGGATGATCTCATCGGAGGCAAGTCCTGCCTTGCAGCCTTGATTAGCATTGAATGACATCCCTATAGAACCAAGCTGACTGGAAGTTAAAAACTCAGCGGTCAACATTTTTGTATCGGAAGAGGAAGCCAAATTGCTGGGAGGAGGTTTATATCTTGATCCTGCTAGTGGTTTGTACATGGCCGAGTAAACGATCCCATTGTTGTCTTTGTCGGAACATTTTTTGAAACGGAAAAGAGCTTGTCACTAACTTGGAAGTATCAAGGGTCACTGTATTCCATGACCTGCATTGTCTAGTAAGTCTCAATAATCGAATTTGATATGAAGGGTCAAAATAAATCTCATTCTTTTCCCCTAAAACAAGAACATGATACGCCAATCTTTGCGTTTAGACTACTATACCCCGGAGAAGAATATGACAGCATGGCCATCTCATTTAGGTATGTTGGCTTCTTCTGCAATCCCCAATCTATCATGATACGGAATTGATCAACTTTCCACAGACAATTGCATTGATAGCCTTAGACAGAGTCTGATGTGTACCGGGGACATAACTCTTTCACCGATAATATGGACGACAAATAGAAATAGATTTATACCAAACTTTGAAGTGATTCATACCTGCCGGGATTATGAGTCATTGAAAGTTTAGGCAAATAATCGAGATTCTGCGGATCCAGATCACTGGGAAGAGAATGCAGCAAGGTTTCGTGCTTCTTTAAAGGGAGGAAGTTCAATTCCTGGACCTTTGGGAATTTCCAATGTTTTGTGTGATTAGTTAGACTTTGCCTCGAATAGATCATACTCTGATTTCTATTTGCATCTTCTTGACATCTCCTTTAACGCCAGCTCCATCTTCAAATGCTTACAAAACTAAGCAGGGTTTGACTCTAAGCCCTTTAGCTTATTGACTCACATTTTTGTACTTCGACTAAGTCTTCGTGAAATATTTCAAGTTGACGGGTCCTTGATTTTTTCATCAAAACATTATATAAGCCGCAGCTAGTCAGGGAGTGTATTTTATTGCCAACATCTATAATACGAATAGTCCGACTGCTCCACCAGAATATGACAGCGGGTATTAGATTCTCTAGAATACATGCCAGTGATAAACACGCATTCCGAGCTGCGTATTACCTGTCAGCCTTCTCAGATAGCCTAATATCTGTAGCATTCTATGAAGAGTAAGCCTTTAAGTTGCGAGAGCGAAGTACCTAGGCACTTGCATGTGGCCAGGGGAGAGACAGTTTTTCATAGTCTCCATATATAGCATGATGTATGTTCAAGCTAATTCCACTCGCTTCCCTTGGTCCCAAATCGATACATCTCTTCTGCTGTCAATCCGCAAGAACCAAAAAGAAGGTTAGCGGTCGTACCGGCTGTTTCATTTCGGTGGGTTTTGTATTTTTGTAACAGTTCATGAGAGTAGTGATAGGAGTGCTCAAATCTCGAAAGCTTTATATCTAGAGGCCTCTCGTTGGCAAGAGCACGAATCAGCCGGTGCCATTCGTATGTGCAATGTAAATCATGAAACTGTCCAGATATTGGACGAAGGTGGATATAGGATCCTGTAAGAACCTCGGCGGCCGTTACTGGAGTATAGTCCATTATTCTCCAATCAATCTCATGGCTGTGGACGCGGAAGAATTCGTTATGTAGCTCCTTGTCCCAGCATGGTACTGGATACCATGCAAAGGAAAACATGTCAAAACGACAATCCAATGCTTTAGCCTCAGCTGGAGTTGAACCGCAGTGAAGGATGTCTGCTGGCGCAACTGGAGGAGAAATAAGATAGGCATGGGCTGTAAGTAAAAGATAGATGACCAATATCAAGGCTCCGTAAGTCATTTTCGAGGAATAATTGACTATAACGAATATGGACGGAGATTCGCTATTTCCTGCGAGAAGAACTGCATTGACTATGAAATATGACAATCTGCTTCGAATTAATAAACGTAACAAAGTCTGTAAATAAATTACCTAGGTATACTCCAGGGCTTCTTCAAATCTTCGTATATTTTAAGGATTACGTGATGAGGAACCTTGAACCCTTCCAAGCTTGGAAGTCGGTTTTTCTTGTAATACGTAAGTAAAAGCTTTATAATAAATCTCAAAGATAAAATCTAGCTAGTAATCTTATATCAACTCTATCATCAAGGGATCATAGGGATTGTCCATGATTCACCACTGGTATAATAGCAGAAGAGTACTAGATTATAATTAATTAATCTAGGGGAGATAAATAGTCATAACTAATTACTTGAGGAGGTCTTAAGACTTAGTTTTAAATCCAATCTAATATATTATTTTGGATGATAAAAATTTAATTGAAGTAAAGAGATGAGTCAAAGACGAATGCAATCAAAATTACTATGAACCATCAATCAAAAGGTCGGAACAACTATGACGGAGTTCTGTTCCGGTAGCTCTAAATAATCGCGACAAAAAAGGTATGCTTTAATGAAATAGTCAACAACCCAACCATGGCTCCGCCATCTGTGTCCAATTAAAAAAACAAAGCAAGGGCCTCAAAGATCGGAAAAGTAGAATCTGACGGTCATGTTCGAAGGCCATGGACACCCTCGGCATGCCTCCGCAAGTGCATCTCGTGTAGGACAGACAAATCGCAAAAATTACATTTCCGGTCCGTCAAATGTGATGTCCTGAAATGCCTCTTAACTCCATTATAGTCGCAGTATGTCTTAGGGCATTGGAAGCATGTGAATGTTTGCTCTGCATTCGGTATGTTTCCCGCCAGAGGTACGTCCCTTCTCCCACGACGTAGTCGGCGGCGTATAGGTCTTTATCTTTCGAGCTGGCGGAGAGGGAACTGCATCGTCACTATTGGACGGCGTAGAGCGCTTCCGTCGTCCCCGAAGAGGCCCACCCTCCTGAAAGCTGCAATATTGTATTCCAGCAGCAACAGCTTTGTTGCGCCGCGTCCACTCGTCTTCTAATGAATCGGTGGTGGGATAAGTAAAGAACGTCTCCACGAGAAGAATCTGGTCCGATGGCATTTCAAACTCCTTCCATAATACCTCACGCGTAGGCTCATCACTGACAGCTCCACTAGTTAGCTATCTTTCAATGTCAATCACCGCCTGTTTCCGACTAAAACGCGGTGTGTTTCTTTCCGCCGTTTTTCTTGCAGACGCCGGCGTAGATTATGGACTTAACGCTTCTGGTCCTCCAGCATCGCCCGTAATGCTGGGTTGTGAGAGCGATCAGCGCACTAGGTCTCTAAATCGACTTGCTAGTGTATGGCTGATTGCAGTTCTGGGTCTTTTTCCACTAATTCCCGAATCGTTAGTATGGATAGAAGAGCATGTCAAACAGAGAACCGCAAGTCAACTAACTTTATGCACAGCTGCAGGGCCACGTACGAAGCGGTTGAACTGACGAAGCCTCTGCTTCTCGTTTGGATAGTTGGCCTTCAACTTCTTGTAGAAAACGTAGAGACATCTTCGACTCTTTCTTGGTCAAATATCACATTGAAGGGAAAGCCGTCTGGATCCACGATAGTCACCATCTGACCTCCTCCCGGGGCTTCAGATAATTTTTGGACTGGGGATGCTCCTGGTACATTCAAGGCCCTATAAGTAAATTAGTCACGTATGATTAGCATTTGGCGAGAGTTGCTCTTACTTCTCGAATTCCTCTTCCGACTCAACTGCGAATACTCCTCCTAAGAACTTCTTCGGTCCTTTGGTTGCGTAATAAACATACTGATCGACTCCATAACCTCGGAACCAGACTTCGTTTTCGGTTCTTTTTGCTACCTCCGTTCCGAAATCTAGAAGGTTTAGTTTGCATTCGACACATGAGGCAACCGCGTGACACAAACTTAGCATGAAATCGGATAATACGTCCAAATCTGGATGCTGATATCGCATATGGGAGAGCCTGCCCAAACGAGCACGGTCTTCAGCCTTATGACCCTGGACTGGAGCCAATGCGCTTGAGACATTGGCTCTCGAGAGGCGCTCGTGTCGGGCACAGAGTCTCCGTGGTTGGCCTTGACCGAAAATTCCGTAACTGCCATTGTGAGGATAGGTAAGACGCTGATAGGTAAGACGCTGAGATGCCAAATTGGAAAGGTCGAGAAAGCCTAAAGGTGATGTGCACTGTTGCATGAAACTAATAGGGGCCGATTGATAGATGTGATTGAACATTGAACACTCTATTATACTGTACCCAGTCAAAGGCCCCACATCCTCTTCGCCACAAGGGCGCGGTGGGACCTATGTTGCGGAGGCTTGAAGTGCCTCAGTCTGGATATAAATTCAATGTCGCGTAATTACACCCAGTTTGCCATTTTTTCAGAAGAATTACAAACCTTGTGCTCAGGCGCAATTGCAATCTCTAATATAAAACTGCATTTCTTACGCTCCACGTATCCATAAACGAAATGGTCTTCAAGCGACTGGTCCGTTTCGCCATAGGAGACCGTATCTCCTTTGGCGATCTTCTCAGCGTCAATGGCGACACATACAAAGTCAGACGATTGACTGGTGACCCTTTCACTATGTTGATGACCACTGAGGATATTGTACAAGTCGATGAGGTAGGTCTTGCATCAAACAAGTTCCCGTCTTCCCCTTTAACAACCATCCAGCTACTCTGTCCCATTGATCATACTCCGTTCATCATCTTCGTTAAGCCGGCCCATGCGCTAGCTGGTCCTTTTGATACCATTGAAATTCACCCCGACGCTCGTGAAATGCTCGACTACGAAGGCGAGTTGACCGTCGTTGTGGGCCGAGATGCGAAGAATATTTCCGAAAATGAGGCATTGGACTATGTCCTGGGTTATACGGCCGGAAATGACCTGTCTGCGCGGAATTTCCAGCTCCCCGAGGCCTCTGGGATGCAATTTGGCTATTCCAAATCATTTGATCAATTTGGACCTATTGGACATACCATTGTTGCGGCCAGTGAGATTCCCGATCCTCAGGATCTCCGTCTGGTTACCAGGGTCAACGGGCAGGTCAAGCAGCAGACCAGTACAATTGACATGATCTGGAGCGTCCGGCAGATTATCAGCCACCTCTCACGGGGCATAACTCTTCGGAAGGGAACCGTGATCATGACTGGCACACCAGCTGGCGTGGGATTTTTCAACCGGGAATTTCTCAAGGTTGGGGATGTGGTGGAGGTGGAGATCGAAGGCGTGGCGTCCGTCAAAATGAAATCCGGTATACTTGATATCGCTGTGGAGACAACATTGCATACTATCTACTATCTGATATGGAGAGAACAATATTATCCTAAAAAGTTATGCGCCAGATCTCGGCGGACGGAAGTTGCCACAATCCGTAGTTCGCCCCTTCCCGTTACCATAACGCATCATCATCTTCCTAACATCACATCACTACCAGCATCATCATTCACACATCAACAGCTGGCTCAGACTCACGTACTTGTGTACTGATAATGCAATCTGGTGCTCTCTCTCGACCAGTAGGCCGTCGGCGACCCAAGACGTCCAAGCAGGAACGCGTGTGCCCGTTATGTTCTAAGGAGTTCTCCAAGGCGGAACATTTGGCCAGGCATTATAGATCCCACACGAAGGAAAAGCCGTTCCTTTGCGCGGACTGCGGAAGGGGTTATAGCAGACAGTGAGTGTAGCTCTTCACCGGGTTGACCAAATCAAAAGAAAAAGGAATTGATTAGGATGTTCATCCTTTCATTAAGGGACACATTGCTTCGCCATACGCGGTCCCATTACCGCAGAGATGGATCGGGGGACGTTCTGCATTCACAGGAGGGAATGGGCGTCCCTCATGTCACTCCTCCCACGACTGAGTGTGGTCTGGAAGTGCTTGCCGCGACAACATGCCATCCATTGTCGCCGTCACATTCGTCACCATCTACGAGTAATATTGCAACGATAGGGACGCCTTCAAATGACGCAATAGAACGTGTAGAGCCGGCAACTGTGTCTGGGGACGCTGATACAAATGACTCGTTGGCATTGGATTTCCCTATCTCGTTTTCACAGGATCCAAGTAGTGATTTCCAGGTTAACGAAACCCTGAATTTGTCGGATATACTCAACGTCGAGCTAGAGTCAGGATGGAATTCTTGGCTGATGGACGACAACTTCGACTTGGATGCCTTGAACTCGTCCTTATTGCAAGCCACTACTGGAGACTTCATGACTGTTGATCGGATGCCGGATGAGGGTCCGCTTGCCACTGGATCATTTAGCGTTGACCAACAGGCAACGAACGCGGCATTGGCGCCTAGTGGGGATGAAATAACAGAGAAATGGCACACCTACTGTGGGCAGGCCACGTCGGGCGTCATATCCCCAGATCCAGCGAATGACTGCAATCAAATTGACGAGTCTTATCGCCACGAGCTCGCTAAGCGTCTTCAGCAACGTTTGCAAGCCGGTATTCTTCCTTCAACCACTTTCCTAGTAAGATCTACTACTTTCATTCTTTGTGTGCCATCACCCGGTCTCCGAAAGTGGTACAAAGGCGGAAGGAGGGAAATTTTAAGGAATTAGGCGCTGACTGATATGTAGCATCTCTGCCTGCAGGCGTATTTCTCCCATTTTCATCCCATATTTCCTGTCATCCATGAGTCATCCTTCCTGCCCTCTAAGCAGAATGCCGTTCTTCCTCTGTCCGTTTGCTCTGTAGGGAGTCTCTTTCTCAGCTCCCAACGAGCAATCGAGCACAGAATTAGCTTATTTGAAAGACTCCAAAAAGCAGTTTTATCTTCAGTGAGTCAGGAGGCCCGTCCGTTTCGCGGAGTCAATCGGTCTTGAGCAGCAACATTAATCGAGAGTCTGGCAATACAGTGGGACGTTATGATCACTCAACGTTCAGCTTCAAAAATTGTGGCCATTCAGTCGGCCTTACTAGGACAGACATTCGGTCTTCTTATGGGAGTACGTTCTTTGCCAGCCACAGGATTCTCTTACTCTGTTATTTGAATCATGTACTATGTGCAAAGGCTAACTTATTACCTCTGCTTTCTTTCTGCAGAAGCCCAAAGATCTGGCGGGAATCGAAGCTTTTCATGGAAGTATAATTGCAGTGAGTTTTGGCAAACCGTCTTGTCTCGACAAGAGACGCTTGGAAATGCTGACTATGGCAAAGTTGGCTCGTAAAGTCCGACTACTTTGGCATACAGAATCACTAGAACTACCCACAAACCTTTCAAGCCTCCCGAATGACAAATTGCAATCCTCGTGGAAGCATTGGGTCTCCCTAGAGGAGAGAAAACGGTGAACCTACCATTTTTACCCGGTCGATATAACCTCACTAATATCCTACAGCGCTGTGCTCGGAATATTTATACTTGATGCTGAGTTAGCGAAGACTCATCATCATGAGCCATGCCTACGTCCTTCCATTGAGCGTCTACCGGTCATCTCCTCAGATGAGATGTTTGCTGCAAGCAATGCAAATGCATGGAGGGAGCTGGTTCTGCAACAGGTCGATGAAGGATCGAATTCTTCGAGTGACGAGTGAATTCCAACTCTGTGCCACTCTTGAGTCCATCAGTGCTATGGCCTGCGAGTGCCAGGAACCTTTCTCGACTACAACCCATGCAGCCGAGAAGTGCCAGGAAATGCTTCTATCATGGTACAAGACGCATCTATCTGCTGCTGCTCCTGGTGAGGCCTGGGCATATCCATTAAGGATTCTCTGGCATGCCATTTTCATCCTCTTATACTCGGATATCGGTGCGCTTGAGCGAGCCTGTGGTAGAGACGGCCCTGAAGCAGCTCGAGAAGCCATTGGATACGCTCGAGAGTGGGCAAATTCCCAGGACGCGATCAGATCTCTAATACATGCTGTCTGCATCAGAAAACACTTCGAGTCAATGTCCATTGGGTCTGAGTGTCCACTACAGATCCCCACCTGCCTTTACCATTGTGGTATCATCTGGTTTTGCTTTGGGCATATCGGGAATAGCAGCAACGGAGCTATCATGGAACGCAACTTTCCAGAATTAGATCTGGCTGGAGTGCATGTTGGCGAACTCGGTGCAGCAGAATTGAGGAACACTCAAGTCGAGCGGAAGGCTGCGAATCAGGTCTTCGGGATAATCGGCCTCCTGAAGAGCATACGGTATTGGAAGTTATCTTTAAGCCTCGCTTCAGCCTTGCTTGCGCTTATCGAGGGGCAGGAGAATGTTTTCTAAATTTAGGACCATTGTGTATCAAATCACTACGGTGTGAATTCTTCTCTCAGGGTTTCCAGCATCTCATATTAAGGTATCTCACATGATGCGACCAGCAAAGATCCGGTATTAAGAACAAGTGAACTACTTCGCTACGAAATATATTTCAATCCGTTTCGTAAATTTTTTGGCACCGTAGCTAATAAATAGCAACGTAGGGCGCATTTTTTGTAAGCCAGTACATCTACTATCGACTGACACGATATTACTAGGAAATAGAGACATCCAGAAATTATTCGAAAACCAGAGCGACCCCAAGATGATGACCCTCTGGCGAAAAGTGTGGGGCCCCACCATGGGGACAGACAGCGCGGGGACATCCAGGTAAACATAGGTGCCACATTTATATCCTCGGCAGTTTGAGTATCAAGCCGAGGAGAATGAATATCTCGAGCGGAGTATAAGTTTTCTTACCCAAGACCCTTCTTCTTCTTCCCCCAAGCTGTGATATCTCTGCTGGTTCTTAGTATACTCTCCCTTGCCTCTGACTCCTCTCTTTTCCCACTCCGAATTATGGCAAGCCAAGCAGTACCTCGGAAGCTTTGGCAACATCCCTGTCCAGCGTCGACGAACATCGGCCGTTTCCGAGACACTCTGGAGAGACACACTGGAAAATCCTTCCCTGTAAGTTACGGCGCACAGCATGTCCCGTTGCTACCACGGATACTGCAGTCTCGTTGACCAAACCAAAGACCTTCCATGACCTCCACCGCTACTCCATCCAGCACAGGTCTTCGTTCTGGGACTTTTGTTGGGGATATTTCCAACTCATACATGAGGGTTTGTATGATGTAGTCGTGGACGAAACAGCCCCAATCGACACCATTCCTCACTGGTTTGACGGTGTCAGGTTGAACTTTGCAGAGAATATTCTTTTCTCAAGCGACGCCGGAGACCGGCTACGAGGGAAAGAAGACGACAAGGTTGCAGTTGTCGAGGTGCGTGAGGCAGGCGCCGAAGGAGCAACTTATGTGACCTGGAAGGAACTGCGCAACATGACCGGACGCCTAGTCCAGGCACTGAAGGCCCATGGAGTAAAACGAGGAGACCGTATTGCAGTCTGTGCAAGCAACAGCGTCGACACATTACTCGTGTTCCTGGCGGCTACTGCCCTCGGCGCCATTTTTTCCTCGATGTCCACAGACATGGGCACCAGAGGGCTTCTTGACCGGCTGCTGCAAATCAAGCCTGTTTGTCTCTTCATGGATGACTTCGCGGTTTACAGTGGGAAGAAGGTAGATTTACGCCCGAAAATGGCGGAACTTGCCAAAGAATTGGACGGAGTCGCTGAGTTCCGGGGGTCGTTGCTCAACCCCGATTCTCGTCTCCAGCCGATATCAGTGACGTCCCTAAAGCTTGCACGTTGGACGACTTCCTCGCTAAAGCGCCACATGATCGTCTGGAGTTTGCACGAGTGCGGTTCCGCGATCCGTTTCTTGTGGTATATTCGTCTGGTACCACTGGGCAGCCCAAATGCATCATCCACTCCGTTGGGGGTGTGCTGTTGAACGCTCACAAAGAAGGCGGCCTCCATCAAGAAATGCGTTCCGACAGCGTGATCCTGCAGTACACAACCACGGGCTGGATCATGTATCTGGCGCAGGTCCAAGGTCTCCTCTTCGGGGCGCGAATCATCCTGTATGACGGAAATCCGTTCTTGCCGCATGTTTCAGTCTTGATCGAATTGGCTGCAAAGGAGAGGTACGCTATCATATAAAGTTTCGAGTCTCTTCCCACCCCGGCTTTCTCCTTGCGATTACCATAACTCAAGTTGCACATGACCCAAAACATAGTCCACGAGGCTGATAATTTATGATAGGGTCAGTCACCTAGGAATATCCCCACGGTATCTGTACGAACTGCAGCGATGCAAGATCAATCCGCGAGAGATCGCAGACCTGCAGTGTCTGCAGCTGGTCACGAGCACCGGAATGGTGCTGCCCGATTCCCATTTCGAATGGTTCTACGATGTCGGCTTCCCCCCAAACGTCCGTCTGAATAATATTTCCGGCGGGACGGACATTGCGGGCTCTTTTGGCACCGGTAATGCTCTGCTGCCAGTCTACGTGGGTGGGTGCGCCGGCTTGTCCCTGGGCATTCCTGTTGAGGTGTATGATCCATCCATAGACAGGGGTGGAGCCAAGGGAGTGGCTGTTGCCGATGGCATACCCGGGGAACTGGTGGCCACAGCTGCCTTCCCCAACATGCCGGTTGGCTTCTGGGGCCAAGACGGTGACAAACGTTATCACCAAGCGTACTTTGCTGAGTTTGACCGTATGTTAGAGTCCAGCTGCAAGCGGGAAACTAGCCGCCATCTGGAGATAAGTATGCTAATCAAAAGTATGTCTCTACTAGGCGTCTGGACGCATGGAGACTTTGTCTCCATCCATCCCACCACGAAACAGCTGTTTTTCCACGGACGCGCCGATGGGGTACTTAATCCGTCAGGTGTCCGGTTTGGCTCATCAGAGATCTATCAGGTCATTGAGAGCGATTTTGCCGATGAGGTCGAGGACTCGCTCTGTGTAAGCCAACGGAGGCCTTCTGATAATGACGAAAGGGTGGTATTGTTCCTCAAAATGAAGCCAAACACTACTTTTAATGCAGACCTCACGAAAAGAGTGAGAGCCGGTATTCGAAAACGGATGAGCGCACGTCATGTTCCGTCTTATATCTTTCCCACTCCTGAAATACCAGTGAGTATTCTCGCCTTTCAACATGATTGATTACTAGAAATTCAGCTGATGGTGAATCAACCAGACTACAGTGAACTTCAAGAAGGTCGAGCTGCCTGTGAAACAGATTATATCTGGAGTACACATCCAACCATCCAGTACACTTGCAAATCCCGATTGCCTAAAGTATTACGTCCAGTTTTTTGACATTGAGAAGATGGCAGCGAGGGAGAGCAGACTCTAAACGGATGTAAAGATGGTCGATATTATTATTATGATCCAAGGTATAATATTATTAATGGGGTACAATTGGGTCCCGTAAAGCACGATGTTATCTAAGGGTTGTCTTCCCTTCTAAGCGCCTTTTGCGTTAGATATACTATTTCCTGCGAATAAATACGGCATCCACGCTAGAAATCAGTGTGATATTCTTGAAGTTTTAGGGGCTATCAAGGTTTTCTTATCTTATAATACCGTTTCGTTATCAGAGACTAATTTTTACTTTTTGGTTAAGTTATATCGCATATATGGGTATACTATCCAAGGTTTCTCCTAAATAGCACCTTTCAGACCAGCCTACGTACTCATCACTGTCTTGCTACACGGGAGAGTCTGGATAATGCCTGAGCTTTTGCGAGAAAGTATCGTACCGTACAAGCAGTTCTTCAGGCGACTATGACCAATTCGCAGCATGGTTGCCCGTTCCATTAGAAGATAGAGAAGTATAGGTAAGTATAACGTAGGATTCTTCTAATATAGTGACGACTAGACTAGTTTGTCGTGCGTAGTATATTAATTACCGTCTCGAATTAAGTTTCGAGTTATAAGTAAATATATCTTAGTTAGTAGCGGAAATAAGCTAGTAGCTAAGGCTGCTAACCCCGATCCCGATAACGAGAATAGCGGCACTAATAAAATATGTCGAAATATTTACCGATCAACTCGATTTCCAGTAGTCTGGGATGGTGATGATAGCAGCAACCATTTCCTGGGGCTACCTACAGCTGCTCGATTTTATCCTCTAAATGACTAGCAGTTCTGTTTTCGTAATATCTTCGTAAAACCCTGGAATTGGCGAAAGGTGCTTGCTGGTGACAATGTCTTGTACTTCCATGCAACGGGCCTGATAGAGGTAAATGTCAAAAATAGTCAATGCCTTGCATTTACAATCGTTCATATGATGTTATTTTGGCATGTTTGTGTACGTAGCCCAATCCTCATGTTGCTATTTTCAAACCACTCAGGCTGAGTGATCCTAGAACGTAATATGAGTGATGAGTTTATCTAAAGCGCTCTTTTGATCTATTTGATAGTCTTAGGACTAAGTTACACATGGTTAGAAATATAAAACTGATCATTTCTCAATCAAATCTAGTGGCATGCCTCACATCAGCTAAATACAATAATTCCAGGTTTTGCTGATATCAATCATGGCATGAGAATGCATCAAAGCCCTCTATACCATTTCTACGATGAGATAATAGACATTGTCATAGCCTAGCAAATATGGATAGGCTGACTAGTAGAGTCCTCTCTTCGCTTATTTATGACGCTTTCAACAGGTACCGTAGTATTCAATTATTCAATAATTCTCGGTGGATGCCTGAGGATAGAAAACATGAATCATGCAAACATCAGGGACGTGTGTTCTAGTCCCCTCTAGTTAATGATCAACGAAATTTACTGTACTTTGCTTTACACCTGCATAAGTCTAACTTTATATCCAGGAGGTCTGTTCATAATCATACAAATACCTTACCCTGCTTCCACTACTTCCGTTGACCCGAAACAAATGTCCCATATTTTTTTCCTAAGTCGAAATCCACTTCCAAATCGGAAGGAGGGTCCGTACGCAGTTGAGCTTCAAAAATAATTTGAGACTGCGCTTTGCGGGCTTCAAGCGTCTGTGCGGCGGACGGTGGCCAGGTCCTCCAAGTAAGATATGGTCAAACTTTAACTGAACAGGATCTTGGTCAAGATTCAATAGTCTGAGCGTGTCAAGTTTCCTACGATATAAAATTGTTGGGTGAGTAGATTTACGCATGTTGGGATGGCGGTGTAGGGAAGGAAGTTTTGAAAGTGTATTTCCATACGAACAGGTTTGTTTCAATATCTCACAGTATGAGGCAAGTGCATCATCGAACGAAGATCCTCAATGGATTGTACTCCGTACCTTGCCCAACTAGGGTACCTGCATAGAACTACAAAACCGTTCTTCTCGAATGTCTCACCCTATATCACGACAGCAGATCAAATCACTCCCTAAGCGGTGCTATATCGACTAACAGAGCTTGGTCTGCACCTCATGGCAATTGGACGAACTACGAGATACTGTTAGAGGCAACACCACCCCGCCTTACAGAAACACATGCCACCACCAACCGGAAAGTATTGTACCGAAAGACAGACAAAAAAAATCCGAAATGTGGGCTACTTCAATCCCACAAAACCAATGCACGGACAGAGTATCAACCCGCAAATAGACAGTAAACCCGACCCGAACAGTGAAACAGAGCAAGCTCAAGCCCAAATCCAGGTACAGGCCCAAAGCCAATCGTCCCTAAGCTCAAGGGATAAGATTCCATCCATGAAGAAGAAAACCAACTCTCCAAATCCCCTATTCGGAACAAGGATCCCGCCAGGGCGACCATCAGCAAACCAGCGGGGCGCGGTTGCACGAGCCACCATGCACGGCAAGCCTACGATCCAAGAGACCGACATATATTGCTTTGCAACGGGGATGTGGCCAGGGAAGGATTAGATTATCCAGGCGCAGTGCAACAATACAACATGAGAAAAATGACGGAAAGGGGATAGGGGATTGGGGTGGCTTACCACCATCCTGACCGGGCAATGATAGGCGTGGCTCGATCTTGCATTCGGATTCTTGTATTGGCTGGTTGCTTTGTGTTTTGCCGAGGCTGGGAAAGGGGGTCCACTTACTTTGCTTAGTATATAGAGGATTTCAGTTCTGATTGGTTTGCATTTTAATATATTGTGTTCGCTTACCTTGTCGCTCCCGAGTTGCGTGTTGCACTATTGATTGTCTATCCATGGGCGAGTGTGAAGATCTGTCGTTGGGACTCTTGCTCGAATAGGATTGATCGCCTGTCATGACTACCGCGCTGTTACATGTCCATATTGTGCTCCAAAATCACTTCGGGGTTCAAACATTAAGGTGAGAGATAATACGAGGCGGTCCGTGTGGGTCGCCGAAACTCTGCTCAAACTCTGATTAGTGCCGTTGCGCCGCCACTGAAACTGTTTTTGGTGTCTTCACTTTACTATGCACGTAGCAATATACAATGAAATTGAGCAATATAAGTGTTGCAAGTGTTATATTAGGCGGCCGATATGTGACCGACGGGTATTGATAATACTCCAGACTTATCATGTCACTTTTCCGGTCGATCCCGCGAAAATCCCAATCCCCAAGTCCAGAGAAAGTGAGTCCATGGAACCATGAAATTTATTGGCGATGCATTCGTTGCTGTTGATGCCAGTCCATATCCATGGGTATGGCCCGCGGTGGCGTTCCGTTACATACAGTCTAGGCTAATTTTCTTTTTCTTTTTCTTTTTCTTTTTTTTTTTTTTCCTTTTCCTCTTTAGATGAAGTCACCGATGTCGGTGGCCATGCCAAGGCGTGATATAGGAAGTGGGACGGTGATTTCCATATTTAGTACTGTAGATGGCTTAGAACGGTCGAAGGATCAGCTCAGGATCATTTAGCCGTGGTAACTGCGGACTATTGTGTACAGGGTGCATATGCAATGTCTAAGCAAGACATTCCAAGCCACTGGCTTATTAGCGTCAGGGGTGTGAGCTGAGGTTTTTCTGGAATGGTTCCATGGGTTTCACAATCACACTTGGCTTGCAGGGATATGTGTTCAAATCCCGACACATTATGTTCGCATAAGTTAACTTATTGGGCCAACCATTTGCCTTGTCTATGTCCGATGGCGATAAGATCAACAGTTGACGCAAGGAGGCGGGAGATCGGCGGGTCACTCTCCAGCATATTCTATTCTGCCTTTTAGCCTTTGCAGACACAAAATTGAGATTCGGTGTTTGATTTTAAGAGAATTGGAACTGGCGGTAGGGATGTGCCGAGGATTGGATTGTATACTTTCTGGAATTCAGGTAGAACAAAAACGTAAATGTACAAAGTTTGCTGTTCAAAACTCTATGTCAATGTAACGCCGGCGTCATCCGAAACAGGCCCGATATTCCGAACGCACATCTAGAAGTTAATATATACAGGAGAAATGAAATTAGAGGGGTATCAAGTCCGCCAGGACTTCGTGGATTCGTAAACAAACAAAAATAGAGACTTTTCAATCAAAGTGGATTAGACCTCCTCGTGAGCCTTGTGGACGACGTGCGAGGAATTTGATTGATACTCCATCGGCCGAGAGTCATGTTGCACGGTCACGGTGATATCTTGACGAATGCGCAAGGCGCGCGCAGAGCCATCGTCACTGCTAACATCACGCTCCTCACTAGGCGGCAAGCTGATATCGGAAGCAGTTGCCTTCTGCGGAGTAATGGTAGCACTGCGTTGGAAGTCTTGCATGCCGAAGTCGCCTGATCGGAGATTGCTCGGTGGGCCGTAAGGAGGAAGGTTGGAGCCGCCCTTGCTGGTCCAGGGCCCGGACTTGTAGCGATCAGTGCCGCGCTTGGAGCCTCCGGTCCAGCTCTTGAGGGCGGGGAAGACGTCGCGCAGAAGAGACCAAATTAGAGGCAGGTTGGTCACTAGGATGGCGACGGTTGCTTCGCGGAAGTACCAGTTCATGTAGACGTAGGAGATCAGCGCGGGGACCAGGCAGTACACCTTGTTCAGAACGGCGGCGACGATGACGAAGATTCCCATTCCGAAAAGGAGGACGAGGATCAGCTTCTGCTTGAGCGGGACCCGGACTTGGATGAGCATTGGGATGGCGATTAAGAGCATGAAAATATCGGCGGAGATGGAGATGCAGCCTTGGACAATTTCGTAGTATTGGTAGGATGAACATTGGTAGTTGTCCGTTGGAACAGCCCAGTATTCCGTTATTGGGCGGCAGATGAGGAAGAGGGATAGTTCCGTGACGACAAATCCAATGGCGACATAGATAGCGAGATAATTAATCCACTTTCTTTGCTTCAGTCCCTCACTGTTGATGTTAGTGGGTGTGCTCTGAAATGGGACTTGGTGACATACGTGATACGGGCATAGATCACCAACATGCATGCCTTCAGACCCCAGACGCAGAGAACAAACGAATGCTCCGAGACAAAAACCCATTTGCTGCCACGAATTCGCTCGGCCTTGCTTTGGGGCGTCAAGTGTAGTCTGTCTTCGTCGGTCATCAAGTTGGATCCTCCACCAGAAGCAACTTGATTTAAAGCGACACATAGTAGTGTGTACCAGACCACCGCGAAAATCATAAGATAGTCATCTACTTGGAGGTTGCGGATGCCTAAACGTCGAATACGGGCAGTACTATAAGGCACTTGGGTTAGTGCATGGCTTTGCACATGGAGCGGCGCATACTCACAATCGCAGGACGGCGCCCAAGACGCCGACAGCATATAGAGCCCATGTTTCGCGGGCGAACTTCACCGCAAAGTCACCACCTAAACCAGACATTGCCTGTGGCCTGTTCAAAGGATTAACGAGGGGACGAGGAATGCAGGTCGAGACACCCACATTTTATAAAATCGGCCGGGGAGATTAGCTGCTATGTATAAGATTTTCCGATAGGCGCTTCATCTGCCGACGATCACAACCAAGGGGGAGAGTAGAGTTCAAGCCCCAAAATGTATGTGATAGGTATTATTGGAGTGAGAGATGCAGGTGTAAGAACTGTGGAGGAAAAAGACTTATCACTGGCGAACAAGATAGATCTCCGGTGACAGAGCACAACCAACGAATAGACCGGGGGTGAGGGTCCCAATCGACAGCGGGTTCCATGGATGAACCTGCGTTTCCTTGGATCAGAATTGGCTGGGAAATTGATCTGATTGCGCTGCTCTGATTTGTACCTGACGGCATTTTGTGCCACTGGCGCTCCACTCACGCCCCAACCAGCTGCGGCTTTACTCCGGAGGTCACCCACATCCCACATAGGTTTGACCATATTAGTGCCCAATTGAGCATGGACTACCGAAAGTTTACCGGCGAACTTGGCATGAACACCTTACTACACTAAGCAGGTGAAACTAGGGACCTACGTAAGCTAGTCTCATACGATCATGTAGTCGCTTAGGCGGCGTGAAGTTAATCTTTAGAGGCACATGAGCGTTCCTAAGCGAAGACAGCCATGGATTTTGTAAGAGTCCACAGTGGAGGCTCAGGAGAGGAGGATAGTCAATTAATATGTGATATTGGGCATTTATTTGCTGATCCGGAACCAAAAGTAACTGCGCTTACAGTCATCATCTGAGATCATTACTCGATGCGGGATTAGAGCCTGCAAAGTTAGGTATCAATATTTGAGTTTTCCACTAGCCACAAGCGTCTAGAGCGGGTACAGCCTTTACATACTCCTATTGGTCAAAATCTTTGGATGAGGGATTTTAGAAAGTGGGTCCGAGGATCTTTACTCCGGCGGTCCCGTCTTCAACCTTGGGAGGAAATGGGTCGTGGGAGGCTATGGGGGTAGATTGGAGTATGAGGGGGCAATATATTTTGCACCCCAATATTTGGACAAAGTACAGTATGAACAATTTACAGGTATGTTGTTGATACAGTGTAACAGAGCGCGTAATTTGCTTAAGAGTCCATACCAGCTCCGAACCGGAAGAAGAATTTGACTTTTTTAGTTTATTCAGCGTCTCGCCTTTTAATCAATAACAAACTTCGTAAATTGTACTGCAAATTCTACTTTGCGCTATCTTTTAGCGTCAAGTCCCTCGGTCTAGATCGGTGCACACACCACTTTCCAGATCTGAGGCTAAAGATGAACTCATCCACAGCTGGGCCAGCCTGTGGCCACGCCACTTCAGCTGAACTAGATTACATTTCCGGACTTAAGACTAATATATTTAGCCGCTTGTATCTCATTTATGGTTTCCACTTGATGAAGCCATCTGGGATTGATACTTGTTTGGGTATAGTCACAGACCACAAGGCTATCTTAACTTACGACCGCCCCGACGCCCGGTCGCATTAGTCTTCCAGACATAGATTATTGTGTCCACATTGACTGCTACTATCTTTTATGACTGGGTCGCATTGTTCATAGAACAAGGTCCTACTATGCTCTGGTGCGACCCTATGCCCGTTGAGCTCTAGCAACGTTCAGCTAGCCCACTATGAATATATGTCCTATGGTTTTACATTGGACTTGTTTCACCCATATACCTTTTTGTTGTGTCTCAAAATTAGACGAGGGAATCTCGGGGCCGAGAACGGAGCAAGAAGTACGTATGTAGCTTGGACAGGTGGACAGGTGGAAATAAGTCTTGCATCTATGCAAGTGCTTCGATTATCTCCGAGATGCATCGAGTTTCAGTTTCAGTCTACTAAGCTGAATGTGGACATTGGTCTAGAGTATTGGATACATCGCGACACTGCAATGGCCACAACTGGGAGGGGGTTCGCACATCACCCCACCAAACAGAGTGCCCCGGAATCGTCAATCTCCCGTTGAGTAGACTCGAAAAGGAAAGATACAGAGATGCAAGTCTGAACATGAGTGTGCCAAGAACAGGCTACGGTGATGGGAAAATCCTTTCTGCTGAAGCTCCCCCTCTGGGTTAAGCGCAATGCACACCCTCCGCGTTCCAGCAGAGTTTCCGTTGGGTTTGGCTCCTTCGCCTCCGATTTTGCCCAATTGCATTCTCGGGGCGACCCACTATGAACAAGTTAGCCACCGAATGATGTTCATAGCGACCGATTATTGGCTGGAGATTGAGGATATAGGGGGTGGAGTCGGGATGGATTACATGGTCGCGACAAGCCGACTGGGTTCGGCTCATGCTTGTACTCCCCATATATCCACGGGATCCCTTTTTGTTTCTAATTCTTGCACTTCGACTCTCCATTCCATTCCTTTATAACAGGAGAGTGAACGGAAGTCTGACTCTCCTTTACCGTCAATTTGGAAAGGAGTATTGTGGATTCTAGGGATATCAACTCCCGACATGTCGATCGAAATGGAAACGTCCGACAAGCAGGCCTATTCTGGCCCTGAGAAGGAGGTGGCGCCCTCCCCGGATCACCTCTACGACCACGATGCCCAGGATGGAGAATTGGTGAATGCTTCCGGTCATCGCCAGGAAGTCGAGCGGAACTTCAGTCTGATCAGTATTTGTGCTGTGGCCGTGACTACCGGAAACACCTGGATCGCCCAAGGTGGTAGTGTTACGACTGCCCTGACCAACGGTGGACTTTCCGGAACTATCTATGAATTGTATGACTCCCCTCACCCATCCCATAACCACATCTAACCCCTTGCAGCATTGCCGTGTCTTTCTGTTACTGGTTGGTCGCAGCGTCTATTGCCGAACTGGCATCGGGTATGCCCTCATCTAGTGGTGTCTACCACTGGGCCTCTGTCACCGCTGGCAAGTACGGTCGCGTGTGTGGTTTCTTCGCAGGATGGTGGAACTGTCTTGCGTGGGTTCTTGGTGCCGCCTCGATGTCTTTGATCATGGCTCAGCAGACGGTGTCCATGTATATGATGACCCACCCCGACTTCACCCCCTCTACATGGAATACTTTTATCGCCTTCCTTCTTTGCACGTGGTTCTGCTGCTGTATCGTGCTCTTCATGAACCGGTTCCTGCCATACATTGGTAACCTCGGAATGTTCTTCATTCTCGCTGGTGTGTTCATCACTATCATCGTGTGCGCCGTGATGCCTCACGTGAATGGCACTCCCTATGCGTCCAATCACCAGGTGTGGGCTGAGTTCGACAATGGTACTGGCTACACACAGACGGGCTTTGTTTTCGTCGCTGGTATGCTTAACGGTGCCTACAGTGTCGGCACCCCTGACTGTTCATCCCACTTGGCTGAGGAGATCCCCAAGTGAGTATTCCTTCTATATCCCTTGATACCAAAGCTGACTTGATTTTTTAGGCCGAGCCGTAACATCCCCAAGGCTGTCCTTGCCCAGATGGCTGTCGGTTTCGTCACTGGTGTCCTCTACATGGTCGCTATCTTCTACTCCATCAATGACCTTCCCGCGGTCATCGAATCCCCGTACAACTTCCCCTTGGCCACGATCTACCAACAAGCTACCGGAACCCGAGGCGGTGCTCTTGGTCTGCTAATTGTCGCCTTCTTACCCACCTTGATTACCGCCTCTGGCTGCTATATCACCGCCGGCCGCACACTGTGGACCATCTCCCGCGACCGTGCCACTCCCTTCTCTAGCTGGCTTGGACGCATCAGCCCAACCTTCGGCAACCCCTTCAACGCCACTTTGACATGCGGAGGCGTAATCACCATCCTGGCCTGCATATACCTCGGCTCGCAAACTGCTTTCAGCGCCTTTGTTGGTTGCTTCGTGCAGCTGTCCAGTCTGTCGTACTTCTTGGCTATCTTCCCTCACATCATGACCCGCCGCTCGTCTTTCGTTCCTGGATACTTCTTTATGAACAACAAGATCGGTTACGTCGTCAACACTCTGGCCTGTATCTATATTCTTGCCTTTGTCGTTATTTTCTGCTTCCCCTTCGCCAAGGAGGTCACCGCTGCCAACATGAACTATGCCAGTCTGATGACTGGTGGCTTGTCCATTTTCGTTGGTATCTGGTGGTTTATCCACCAGGGCTCCTACGAGGGTCCCAAGCACGTTCCTTTGACTGACAAGGCATTGGCGGATGATGCGAAATAAATCAGCCGAGAATAGCGATTGGGAGGATTGTTTTACATATACCATTTTGTTTGGCATACTTTTTCTTCACTGATGATCTTTGCACGATCAGATGCTCCTTTTTCATGATTCCACATTGACGTTTATACACCCCTTTGTACATTTCTAATTGTGTCTAGTTTGACGCTACACATAGCTAAAAAGCATAATTTTCATATCCATTTGATGGAATGCACTCTTTCACTCTGAATATCCACCTTCCGTGCCAAGATCTGTAGACTCCATCTTAAAAAGAGTTAATTTTATCAATCTGGTGCTGTTCTAGACCAATCCCTTGCAATCCGAATGATCTATTAATGTGGCACGTGATCACGCGTCCCGCGACTTTCGCGTTGACCCAACACAATCTTCACAAAGACCAGCACAACCATGGTGTTCAAACCCTTCAAGTCTCCTTTGATTAGGAATCCAGTCCCATCCTCGACCGAGAACATCGATGATTCCGTTCCTCCCGCCAAAAAGCCCCGCTTGCTCAGCGACGAACCCACACCCGACCCAGACGCGAAATCAACACCGCTAGCCAGCCGGAAGCCACTCGTACAAGTCAACAATAAAGGGACAAATAGTTCAACATCATCCTCGGTGGAATCGCTCAATGATGACTCAACAGACGAGAAATATTTCAATGTTCTTTGGTAGGTCCTGGACCGACGTCAAGTCATGGCCACCACCCCACAGGGCCAAGCCCCAATACCGAATTCAGCTAACAGAAGCAGGCGGAAACCAACTGCCAAAAAGCATAAAACATGGGATGGAGATGGGATTCTCTCCGCGCGTGGAGGGTTCGTCTACCTACGAGACGTAGCCGGAAAAGAGATGGGACACAAAATGCACGAATCCAGACTGGAGCCAGGAACAACGCTTTCCATTTCTGGCAAAGAAGTCGAGGTTGATTCCGAGATTCCCCGCTCGGAATACCTCTCTAGTAGAGTGTTCCTAAAAAGCAGCAAACCGGGCCCGGCGCCGGCGCCTACACCCGTGGCGACGAAGAAAGAAGCGCTTCCTGCACGGAAGAAAACTCAGGCGCAGAAAGCAATTCCGACTGCCGCTGAGCGGACTCAGTCTCTCAAGCGTTCGCTGGCATTGGTAACTAATCCCTCTGCGAACCCGGGGAACGCACCTGCGGCATTTTCGGCGTACAAGAAGCCGTTGCTTGAGAATACGGTTGTTCCAAAGGTTGCTGGGAAGGTCATTCCGCGTCATGATCCCAAGGCACCTGGGGCGTTGGTTATGCCACGGCCGAAGTCAGTGCCCAAGGGGAGACAAGTTGTTGATGTTGTTGTTGATCCGATTCTGTGTAAAAATCTACGGCCGCATCAGCGCGAGGGTGTCCAGTTTTTGTATGAGTGTGTTATGGGAATGAGGTCTTTCAATGGCGAAGGCGCTATCCTTGCTGATGATATGGGATTGGGCAAGACTTTGCAGACTATTACGCTGCTTTGGACTTTGCTTAAGCAGAATCCTGTCTTTGAGGATGCGCCTGTCATTAAGAAGGCTTTGATTGTTTGTCCGGTTACTTTGATCAATAACTGGCGAAAGGAGTTCCGCAAGTGGTTGGGCAATGAGCGCATTGGTGTCTTTGTCTTCGATGACAAGCAGAAACGTTTGACCGATTTTACTAAAGGGCGGGCTTACAGTATCATGATTGTCGGGTATGAGAAACTGAGGACGGTGCAGGAGGCTTTGGCCAATAGCTCTGGAATTGATATCATCATTGCCGATGAAGGTCACAGACTGAAGACGTTGCAGAACAAGAGTGGTCAGGCGATCCAGTCGCTCAATGCAGCAAAGAGAGTCATTCTGTCTGGCACGCCAATCCAGAACGACCTGAGGGAATTCTTTGCAGCCGTGGATCTGGTCAATCCGGGCATTCTAGGCAATTTCAAGTCCTTTATCAAAGAATTTGAAACGCCAATCGTTCGAAGTCGGCAGCCGGAGGCGACAAACAAAGAGATCGAGAAGGGAGAATCGAGAGGCGAGGAGCTGAGGGAACTCACTTCGAAATTCATGCTCCGCCGAACAGCAGACATCCTCGCCAAATACCTCCCGCCGAAGATGGAATATGTCTTGTTCTGCAAACCAACGCGGCCTCAAGCAACCATCTACAAGAGTGTCCTCGCCTCTCCAATCTTCCAATCCGCTATGGGAAATACCGAAAGTGCCCTGAAACTGATTACCATCCTCAAGAAACTGTGTAACAGCCCGTCCCTGTTAACAGCCAAAAACAAAGACAACTCGCCGAACGAAACAATCGCCACCCTACTTGAATCTATCCCCCCAAACCTGCACCGACACCTCTCTCCTTCTTCTAGCGCGAAAATCCGCGTCTTAGACCAACTCCTCGACAGCATGCGCAATACCACAGACGAGAAAATCGTCCTGGTCTCAAACTACACATCAACGCTCACACTCCTCTCCACCCTCTTGTCCTCTCTGGGCCTCCCTTACCTCCGCCTAGACGGAAGCACGCCCGCCCAAAAGCGCCAAGGCCTAGTCGACGAGTTCAACCGTCTCCCCGCGAGTTCCTGTTTCGCATTCCTCCTCTCAGCAAAGGCAGGCGGTACAGGTCTCAACCTCATTGGCGCAAGCCGCCTGATTCTCTTCGACGTTGACTGGAATCCCGCAACGGATATCCAGGCCATGGCTCGGATCCACCGTGATGGCCAGAAACGGCCTTGTCGGATCTATCGTGTTCTGCTGAAGGGTAGTCTCGAAGAAAAGATCTGGCAAAGACAGGTGACGAAGTTGGGTCTTGCGGATAGTGTGATGCAAGACAAGAATAACAGTGTTGCGCAGTTCTCTGCAGCGGAACTGAAAGATTTGTTCCGTCTTGATGAGGAAAGTGGGTGTCAGACTCACGACTTGTTGGGTTGTGCTTGTGGTGGGACGGGGCTGACCCCTGCTTCTGGATCTTCTTCTGGTGCTGCCACTCCTGCCACCGGTGATGGTGATGGTTCTGAGCTGTCTGAGCTTTCAGAGCCTCTGTCTGATGAGGATTATAATTCGGACGACTTGCCAGATCCGATGACCCTTATCAAAGCTTCCAAGGTTGATATGGAAAAGCAGGAAAGGGCAATCCGAGATCGGGCCTGGAAGGGAACTGCTAAGGGCAAGAAGGGGACTGATAAATCCCGGAGCCAGAAAGATAAGATGCATCAGTCTCTGGCGCAGTACTCGCATATCGATCCATCTCTTCTTTCCGGTGAAGCTGGTGCTGCTGGTGTCGACGAGGATCTCGAGGCTGCTGTTGATGATGATGTGCTTGTCTCTTTACTTAAGGATGAGTGTAACATGATTGGGTATGTGTTCAAGAAGACTAGTGGTGCGGAGATGAGTACATAATGTTGGGTTCGGTGGGATGGGGTGGCATGGTCATCGGCATTGGCGTCTTGTTATTGCTGATCTCCGTCTAGATTACTTATGTACCTGGATATACAGATACTCATATACATCAATAGAACTATCTACAGTCAACAGTATACTTACTGTCTGGGTATTTCCTTGGGCTCTCTGCAATCTAGAGACAATAACAAATCCAAAGGCGTTTTGATCCATCCGAGTCAATATAAGACTTGTCCTGTATATCTTATAGAACGATAAAGTCAAGTATACAAGGGGGATCTCCAGCATCGGTTGTGATGAGCGTTACAAACACATTGTTCAGATGCCAGACACATGTAAATATGAATCAGGAGGTCTTAGCTTTCTTGAGACAGCTTTTGGACATTTGGGTGAAGTTCAACGTGATTAAGAAGTATATAGACAATAGGTAAAATGGGCTTAGGCACCCGTGTTAGGCAGTAACACCGGTTGTAGAACCGGACTTGAGCGTTCCTCACCCTCCCACTTCCGAGCCTCAGCTGACTATACATTACCTTCGACTGGGCTTTGCTTCCCATCCCCCGAGACTATCACGGAGCTTGAAAAGTGGAAACAATCGGGACTTTACCCACGATATCAGCATTGTTAAGATATCACCTGGCGTCGTCGTCAAGTTTGGTACTCATATCGACTTCATCGAGGCCAAAAACATGGTTTATGTTGCAGAGAACACAGGGGTTCCCGTCCCTATGGTATTCGCTTTCTTATACCATGGCCCCGTTAATCGTGGTCCCCCTCTACAAAGGCCTGTATGACACCTATATCTTTATGAGCTATATTGAAGGCAAAATGCTCTATGGCGCCTGGGACTCTTTTGGATGTCGCGGCCAAAGCCCGTATCACAAAACAGCTTTCGGGCTATATCCAAGAGATTCGCTACTTGGGTGAAAGCAACTAAATTGGCACTGTAGATCCTGGCCCCCGTTACTGATCATAGCCTAGAGAAGTCGCTTGATAAAGGTAGGCACTGCCCCGCACTCTTTGGTTCTTTCCCGAACCTTATTTCCAAGAGCCTCAAACTATATTTGAATGTTTTTCGGAGTTGATCTAGACTATCATTGCTTGCTCCCATGATACTCCATGTATCGATGTAGATCCAGTTACAACAACGTGGGTATTCGTTTTGAACAAATTTATTCTCCGATATAAGCTTTCCTACATATGGAGGTACACGAAACGCCGCGTAGTGTTAGCAATGTTCTTCGATCAATGAGAGAAGTCCATATACAGTTGACCGAATAGAATTGCACAATGTAAACAGCGTGCTACGAAAGTATATCTGAGAAAGATCCACAGACGGGAAGATATAATATTTATAAAAGATAGGAGCCATTAAGTGACTGACGATATACATGAGTGACAGAAAAGAAAAAGAGAGAAAGGAGAGGTTAAAAGAAAGACAAAGGCCAGCCAGCACAATCACAATACACCACCCAAATACATAACCATATCCATGTCCATGTCCATATTCACATCTATCCCTCGTTCACACATACACTCATAAGCTCCAGTAGCTAATACCTGAGCTTACCAACAAGCCCAAAGGTATAAGCCGCCTCAGCTTCACTCTTCATTTGGATCATGTAAATCTTGCCAGAGCCCGTAGCGACACCGCCCTTCTTAGCCACGGACCCGTCTTCATTCTCTTCGCGAATTGAAACGGCAATACCCGTACGAGCAATGCGCTCAAAGGCGTTTTCGCCTAGACAGACATCTAATAATGTCTCACCGCGAGTCTTGCCACGGATGACAATACGCTTCTCTGTCTCAATGCCACGGCGTGGAGAGGCTGCACCTGAGGCGGGTGGTGAGCTGCTACTCGTGCCGTCTGTATCACCTCTCTGCAAACTGCTATCGCTGCGGCCGCTGACTGCTGTGCCGGGGCGAGAGGTGTTCTTGGGTGGAGCGGGCATGATGGTCATGCGGGCGGCGCCCATATCGCGCCATTTAGAGGCGGATTCGCGGGCGTATAGGCGGATCTTGGCGTTTGAGAGGCCGATGCCGTCAGCACCCTTGATTGCTGCCGCTATGCGGCCGATGCCCGAGTTAGGAGATGGGTTTGTGCCGGAATCGCCGGAGCCGGAATGGATGCTGCCTTCGCGGCCGTTGCGGGATTCGATGGTTGAGCGGGAGATGTTGAACATCTTGCTGCCGGCGCCGAAGCGCTTCAATGCGGAGAAGGCGCTGCTCATGGTTCCTACGCTGCTTTCGGATCCTTCGGCCAGGGAGCGGGGGAGCTTGAGGCGCGGTAACTCTTTCTGCGGCGGGGCCAGCCGAAGAGGCCTCCGCTGGATTTTGTGGCGGGCTCGAAGGATGCAACAGGGTGGCCATTAAATGGCCCGCGGGCGTTCTGGAGGGCGATGTAGGTTGGATTGTTGATTCTTGCTTGGTTGATGAGGCCGTAGAGGGTATCGCAGTCTTCGGGACTGCGCGAGCGGAACATAATGTTATTACTGGATGTGATCTTGGACCGCTCAGTGGGGGAGAGCGGATGCTGATGTCGATGGCAGTGCCACGGCGAATAGGAACGAGTGGTGTAAGTTCGAGAGAAATGAGTGGTCTTGATGATGAATTGGGATCAGATCCCATCTTGAAGGCTTCAATCAGACCAGGACTGACAATAATGTCGCAGTCGTCAGGAAGTACAGTCTCCCAGCTTCCTTTGTCGGACCAAGCAAAGACACCCGCAATTGTTTTCGATGTCTTTGTTGGCTGCAGTGGCACAGCACGGTAGCCACCTTGTGACGCAGAGTTGGAAGGCGAGAGAGAACTGCCATCGAGAGTTGATTCGGCCACTCTAGCCTTGGGAGTATCTTGGTAATCTTCATCTTCGTCGGACACCGATGAGTAGTCGTCCTCCGAATCAGATGATCTGGCGGATCGAGAGTACTCCGATGATGAGTAGGTGTAGTGTCGGACAGTCGACGCGTCTGAATCAGTTTCCGTGTAGTCCGAAGCGGTCGAAGGCTCATACTCGTGCTTCAGGGGAGAAGATCCACGACGCTTGAGCCCACCGCTACTGGAAGTGAGGACTGGAGCGCTCGAACGCTTGCCAGTGGAAGGGCTAGGTGATCGATGAGGCGGTGGAGGCGGAGGACTGTCATCGGAGGACTTGGGCCTCCTGCGGGACTTCTTCCTCTTGGATTTTGTCGGCGTTTCCGGGACTTCGCGCTCTGGAAGAGCATCCAGCGGGGGATAGTCTTCCTCCTCGTCGTCAACGCTCGTGGGAGTAGACAGATGCGTCTGGCTACTGGGCGTTCGGATCTTGGGGATCAGAGGAAGAACTGCCGAGGGCACAGATGATACCCTTGGTGATTCAGGTTCGGGCGATTCTCTAGCAGGCGTCTTCTGCGGGGACTTTTGCGGGGTCTTCTGGGGAATTCTGGATGGCTTTCCTCTTGGAGAACCCGCGTCCGCAAAGTCGGACTTCTCGCCACCATAGAATCTGCCCGTTGTTGGTGTAGTAGCCGTTGGCGTGCTTGGTGTCGGTGTAGCTACTGCTGGTAAAGTCACAATGGTGCTGTCATCCGGCTTGTCAGATACAACGGTGTGTGGGGATACAGTCTCCGAAGCCGGGCTTTCGCCATAGCGTGAAAGTCTCTTAGCCTTGGATCGCTTGAGTCCTGTGGAAGACTTGTCGGGGCTAATAGGCGAGTTCCGGGGGTCTGTGGAAGGAAGAAGAGGTAGGTCAGGCCGGGATGGCTTTGCTGGCAACTCTGATCCTCCAGTGGTATAGTCAGTCTCCCGGGTGGCTGTGGAATACATAGAGCTTCTTGCGTCAATAGCAGAGCTGACAGTACTGGGCTCAGAGAAGTGTTCCTTTGTAGTCAATGAGCGCCGTCTCCCAGTGGCCTTCTCGCCAATCGGAACATCAACGTCACTGGGATGTGCCCTAGGGGGAGAGCCATGGGCAGTAGGCTTGCGGGCCCTGTTCTGCTTGGCTCTGCTGATGAAGCTTTGGCTTCGACAAATTGATGGGGGGATAGGGTCCGAACCAAGCAATTGGATCCACTCAGCTCCGACTTCTTCTTCGTCGATGCGAAGTGAGATCAGTTCTTGCCAGTACTTGGTGGCGTCCTCGGGTGCACTGCGCAGCATAAGCACGATCTCGTGTCTAGATTCTCCCCTGCGAGCTGAGACACATCGCACATCCATGGGAGGGAAAAGCAGCCAGCGATCAGAGTGATCGATCTCGCAAATGAGTAGATCACCTCCAGGTCCTTTGCTCGGAGTGTTGTCTCGGTACAAGAGCTCAGCCCGGCAGTCCACCAGCTGACCACTCGAGTGGTATAGAGATAGATTGAAGAAATCACGAGCCCGGACACGACGAGTCTGATCAACAGTTATACCCCGAAGGACACCCAAGGTCATGGGGTCTCTAGTTCGGGTTGGATCGATACTAGCAGCGGAATCATCTTCCAATCTCGCTCTTTCATCTCGAACACGTTTCCGGGCATCGTAAACAAGACTCTGATAGGCGGTGGCCATTTCCTCGGCCTTGGTGGATGGTTCCAGCACATTAATCCCCTTGAAGCTCTTGGCCAAGTACTTGAGTCGCACTAGAGGTCTCTTCAAGAGGTAGGCGACATCGACCTTTTCTCCATCGCTATCGATGATATCGCCATTCTCGTCTCGCTCCAGGCCTTCGTCCAGACTCTTCGTGTCCGCATTTTGAGAGGCCTCATCCTCTTCAAGTGGAGCGAGATTGACAATAACATCCTTGAACCCAAGTCGCCATGCCTTCAAGTACTCGCGGTAGACTCTCTGAGCACCTTGCGCCCAGGTAAGCAATGCATCCGCATTGTCTTGAGGAATCCGTTTGTGCAGATTCTTCAGGCGCTCAATCGCAACGCCCATGTTGACAATGGGTTTCGAGAAGTTCACATCATCTTGAGGGTCCAGAGAAGGGCGGAATAGACCTGCGGCAATGGCCGAGTCGGATCGAGAGAGTACGCAAGTCAGGAGTACTGGGATGACACCACCGACCAATGTCTTCAGCTCTCGCATATACTTCGTCTCATCGCCCACGAGCTCTTGAAGCAGATCATCAACCGTCGCGTGAGCCAGTCGGCTTTTGTTGGTACGGATACTGCGATTAGATCGAGTGCTTCCCCTTCGGGATGTCGAAATTGATAGGACAGACATAAGATCATTGTGGGTTGTGAGCCTTCGTTTCAACTGTGACGAGACCACAGGGAGGGATTCAGGATCAAATTGATCTTCCTTCTCTGCTTCTTCTGCTTCCTCAGCAATCTTCGACTGGCGCTTTTCAGTCGTTGCCTTCTTTGGCGCGGGTGCAGTACCATCTGTAAGAGTAGCGCTGAGAGTTTCGACCGAGGCAATCGTCGATAGTCGATGGTAGCCGGTGCTGGGGAAAGGCTTGCTGCGGCCAAGTGGCACAGGTGCATTATGGCCTGAAACTTCAGAGTCTTCGGAAAAGGGCTGGGTTTCGGACTCCGAGGGTGCGATGCTTTCCTCATATGGCTTGTCCTGTACCGGCTTCTCTTCTTTGCTCTTGGCCGAGGACTTCGAGCTCTTGTCTATGCTTGATCGGTTCGATTCGTCGCCTCTATCAAGCTCTCCTGACTTGGACGGCTTGTCTGTTGAACAGATGCTCTCCTTTCCTTTGGAGTATCGGCTCACAGCGCTCTTCGGCCGAGATTCGCTAATCACTGATGGTTCAGAATCGGTGCCAGTGTGTAGTTCCCCATCTGCGAGTCTCTTGGACCGCCTTGCTCGGCCTGATTTTAGATCCAAGGGGGCTGGCAAATCACTCTTGTTCTCGACTTCGTCCAGAAAGGGGTCTGGTGTCTCAGATAGCCACGCCTCGATCTTGGCTCCACGGCCCGTCGTCGGAGTAGGCGTAGGTCTAGGCTGCTCTGGCTCAGGCTTTCCAAACATCTTCTTGGACTCGTCGATCATATGCGCGAATATACCTCCTTTTGGCGGCTTTGGAGCACCACGAGCACGTCTCTTTGACAACTCAGAGAAGTCCGCTTCACTCGCTGCCCATACATCCTCGGGAGGAGGCGATCGATTTCTATGCCTGTCCGAGAGTTCCGAGGGCGCCCCGGGCTTGCCGTGGTCTGTCTCATAGTCGCTCTCGGTGATTGTATCAACATTGCGAGTGCTGGACTTCGAGTCCCGAACCTGGGATCTGGGGCCCGCCCCAGAGCTCCGCTTCGAGGATCGAGGGGCGTCTTGGCCCTTCTCTCGCTCGTCCTCGCTGTCGTTGCGTCTCGATCGCGAAGATCTCGGCTGTCCATCATTCGTGGTGTATTCGGATATGCGCTTGGGGGGAGGTAGGTTGCGCGACGAGGATTGCGTCGAAGCTCGATTCCGTGTCTTTTTCCAGTGCTCGTCGCTCACCACTCGTTTGCGCGGCGTGCTGTGGCTGCGCTTCCTTAGCGCGGGGGGATTGTCCTTGTTCGGTCGCTCCAGCTTTTCTGCCTTGGCTTTGGCTGGCTTCGGTTTGGTCTTCGTGGCATTTTCATCTTCGTTCGCGCAGACGTCATCGATCGTGATCACTCCGCCGCCTTGTTGCTGCCATTTTCGTACTCGGGAGCGAACGGTGTTTGTGTCGTGGACGCCCAGCGGCTCTCCGATGTCGAGTGGCTTGACTTTTGCGGTACCTCCACTGTTGGAGGGGCGTTTGGGTGTCGCAGGAGACGGCATCGGTATCTGTTGCGGAGAGAAAGGCCATTCAGCAAAAGTTCGTGTTTCGTTGCGTACCCGAAACGCGGTTTGTTGACATCCCGACGTCACTGTTTACTCACCACAGAGGAAACCTGAAGGAAACCTGACCCGCTAAGTCTCCGATCAGTCTAGGATTATTGAAAATCAAACATTTGACGATCTCAAAGCCTTCAGGGATCATAAACAAAGTTGGGGCTGACTCGATAAGCCCCTCTCCCGCACTAACTTGGTTGCTGGGAAACGGTGATCTATGCCGAGTGCCCAATCGCCATACCCTATAGCACGCAAGGATTTGCACTTGATAGCTCTCAGGTCTGACTCGATCTTCGATCACAAGAGGAGATCACTCGGAAGTTATGGGAAATTGATTGCGCGTCAGGTGGTCCATCCTGCAACGTCATACGGTAATGCCTCAGTAGTTGTTACTATTCCTTTGTACCTGTACTATTCTCTCTTCTCGCTCTTTTCTATTTGTATCTCTCTCTATATACTTAAATTACTCCATTGCTTGGACCTCCCACTGTCATTCCATCCCTCTCTTCCTCTTTTTTTAAATAACAATAATTGACAATTATTCTATTGCGCCGCTGTTCTGGCCCAAACCTGCTCCACAGGGCGCCTCCGCAATATAAGCTATGACGAAAGAGGAGCTACTTAGTCTTATATTCTTCTGACCGTTCTTGTCGCTTCAGGGCAGCCGAAATGGTGGTGATGCTGCTATACAGGTAGTCTATGAAAGTCAGCACTCAACACGGGAATAACGGTCCGGAGCTGCACAACATACAGGACGGGACCACGATCCAAATGAAATTCATAAAGAAATAATACAGCCAGAAATAATACGGCTCCGGTCGACAATACGGTCGTCCATGGGCATGGTCAAACAGACTGGTCGCATAGTACAGCGTGTCGCCGTAGAGATGGCTCATGCACACAATGACCTGGATTGGGTGGCGCAGGGAATGCCTGGTTGCGGTCAAGTATGCAACAGCAAAGCACAGGGGTCCCCACAGAAGCTTGAGTTGAATCAGCGGTGAATCGTCGTGTTGGTCTAGTCCACTTACCACCGTCATGGTCTCCATGCAGAGGACCAACGTGTCCGAGGTCATATATCGAGAATCGGACAGGGCATATTCTTTCCATAGTTGCCCGAATAGGTCTTGGACAGACGCCATGTGGTCATGGTGGACCATGAAATAGCCCTCGAAGAAACAATGCAATGTTCCGGCTAACCCTATTGTCAGTGTTCATTCTTCTGGGGCTCTCACAATTGGCTTCTTACAGAGCACAAACCACAGGATGGCGATTCGATCTGCCAAGCGTAGTGTCGGTCGTACATAGCTGGCCAACGCAAAAGTCACACCGAGGAGAATAGTACAAGCTCCACCAGCGGAGAAGAGGAGCTCCAGAAGCGGTGTTTGGTTGGGCTCGTAACCCACAATGTTGGCATCAAGGGGGAAATAGGGGTGAGAGGAGCTGTCAGGCATTGTGCCAGAGTTAACACGATGATAGCCAGATCTGAACAAGTGACTCGAGGTAGATAGATCCCAATATAAACATAGAAAAGTCAACGGGCAACAAGACGTCGAAATGTTTCCTTGGCTGGGCGGTGGAGGCAGTGGGGATCAACAACCTCATTCACATATTGTCCAGGTAAGGTGAGAATATTGGTGTGATCAAGAGAACTATGCGAAAATTGGCATTGAGGCTATCTGTCTTTCGACTATTCTCTGTAAGCTGTAAAGGTGGTGTGGTAACATATTCATCAATATGGCCAAGTTAACTATATAAGTTTATATATAGTTACGGCTCGGTGTTAGACTGAATTACTGAAACAAGGTTGAAAACTGAACTCTCCCCCATTCGCTTCAATTGTTCCTATATTCAACGATTATCCTCTGCTCTATAGTCACAAACCAAACCATAATGAAAAGGTCTGGCGATCACAAAATGGCAAAGTATAGATCCGAGTTGCTGCCTCAGGCGCGTAACATAGCCAAGGACCTTACGAGATTCACCCCTCAACTCATTACCGTGATTCCCCGACCTCTTAAAGGGAGTCGCTGTCTATGATTCTCCCTCACAATGACTTCTGAATCTAGGCCCTTGAGCATTGATGTCCACCGTTCCTCCATGGAGTCACCCCCGGGCATCGCCGCCCTGTTTGTGATCAGCTTCGACATTAGGACCGGGTATTTCTTACTCCTCCCCTGGGGATCACAGCTGTATAGCTCAGGAACCCATCGCTAACCAGCTGCGACAATAGATATGTGGTCTCGTGGAAACGAACTGCCCCTGGAGGTAAGCAATGAACTATCTAACCGACGTCGACGCGCATGACTGACTTGTCCCGTGAATAGTTGAGGTTGAAGGGGTGGTGGAATACAAATCACTGCCATCGGGACTACACAATGTGACAGAGGACCTGGTGTATGTCTCAAGATCTCCTACAGTTTATTTGTCCTCTCCTGCTGACGCGCTCCAGGTACTTCGTCCATGAACAGTATGCCGGTATCAGCGCGTTCCTCAACTATCCCGCCACGGAGGCCGAACGCAATGCGAAGATGTTCGCGATCGGGGTGCTCGTCCCCCTCAGCACAGGGAGATTGGGCAAGAGTTGGCGACACGCTCCAAAGCTCAAGGAGCTGACACAGTTCGTATCTCCAGACACCCGGCGGATGGGAATCCCAACTGACACAGATGCTTGATAGGAAATACGCTGCGAACATGGAGGACATGCAGCCGATGTCTGACTATTGGGAGTCATATCGGATAGGAGGGCCTGACTCTTCAGCCCCCGACTCCCCCATGGACTCGCCCTCCAGTCTCCGATTCCGCCCCGGCGAGCGGCCGGATAACCCCAATCGCACCCGTGCCTTTAGCGATGCAATGGTGCTGGAGACGTTCAGACCGGCCCTGACGCCATTCCACCCTGCTTCGTCGCTTCCTGGTCTTATGGACTGCTTCGGACCCTTGATCTTCCCTCTGTACAGAGCAGCTTTGCTGCGCAAGCGCATCCTCTTCATGGGCGAGGCTCCTGTGCATACTGCATGCAACTATGGTAAGCTTTCACGGGCTTCATAACACCCAACCAATTGCTAACCAGCATCAGTATATGACCTATCTCTCTTAGCCTCGTTACCGAACTCCCTCCTCGAGCTCCTCCCCCTCAGATCGTATCCCACCTCTCCGCCCACGCCCCCTCTTCAACGTCGGCATCCACGACATCCCCTACCTATCCTCTTTCGACCCCTCCCGAAGCATCGTAGACCTGGAAACGGACCCAAGCTGGATTGCCTGCTCAACAGACACAGTCCTAACTATGAAACCGGACCTCTTCGACGTCCTCATCACCCTCCCCGCACCTTACACGCAACACGCCAGCGAGCGAACCTTCCCCAAAATCTCCCTGGTCCACGCAACAGGCCCAAAACCGAATCAGTCCCAACAAATCCCCCTGAAAGCAACCCAGCGCGACGCCCGCCGCTTCTCCATGCTCCGCCGTGGTATTCGCCAATTCTCCAATAGACCCACATCCCCAGATTCAGACCCAGAAGATTCCTCAGATGCAGACTCAACCTACTCCTCCAGCCCCGTCGTCGAACCCCTCTCCTGGACAAGACTCGCCTACACTTCGTTCATCTGGTGGGCGTCCGCAGGCGAGAACCGCGACGGCCTGTCAGAGGAAGAAGAGGAGCAGCAAATAGAACAAGACACCCGCCTCCTCGCCAGCGTCGAATCTCTTGCCCACCCCTCTGCCACGCGTCGCTCTTTCAATCCAGAAGACCCAGCCCAACAACCGGCAGAAGTCGCCCTGGTGGCATACTTCCGCCGTCTAACCTCCCAAATCTTCGTAACACTAGCCGGCGCAATCGCCCGCAACGACAGCGAGGTCCGCGGCGACGAAGTCGACGCTTCGTACAATGATGCCCCATACATCGAGGATCCCGCAGATGATGATACAGACCTATCACTCTCCATATCGCGCCAATCCATCCATGGCGACGATGGACATAGCCCACTCCTGCGCCAGCGATCTGGTGCGTATACGTCTTCACAGGCTGGGTCTCGAGCCGGTTATGAAGATCGCGATGTCGCTGAGCTTGTTACGATTAATGTTGCGGATATGGCGGAGATGGGGCTTGATGTTTGGAGTGCTGCGGATCGCATCTTTGTTGAAGAGTTGCTTTCTTTGTGGTGGGGTCGTGCGGCCAGAGTTGATAGTGCTAGGATTCGTTGCTGTGGTATTTCGGTTTTGTAGATGAGCTGGCTCTCTATGTTTGAATATACCCGTGCCTTTATCTTGATTTTATATATTTATTTTGTTGATGGGCTGTTGGTTGGTTGTAGATATCGTTCGTAAGGGATAAACCATGCTGGCATCCTCTAGGCCAACATGCACAGCAACGTGTGTGGACTTCGAGCTGTGAAATGACTCGCGGTGAGGCGATCTTTGAGGGGAGTGAAGTAATGTTCATGACAGAGAATAGATTGATAACCCGAATAGTCTAGAGTTGAGAAGTATTCACAAGAAGAGAAATGCCACATAGGAAAGATAAAAAAAGATAGACACCCAAGCCGAAAATGCATCGAGGAAAGGGGAGGAAGTGATAGAGAAAGGTAATCAATCCATGTGAAGTATAGTGAGACTCGTGAACCAAACATAAGTCATCCAAATAAAGACCAAAAACAAAGAAAACAAGAAAAGAGATTGTTTCCAATCGCCATGCAAATGAAACAGAAGCAAATTATGCAGCGCCGGGGGTATTGGAAACGAGAAGCACCGGCAGACAATGCAAAAGTGAAGAAAGACATAACTACGCATCCTGGACCAACGCTAGCAGGACATCATTAACGTCGGAACATCCGAACAGGAGCACTCATATCTCGACGTTCGCCAACATCGTTTTCTGTTTTTGAATCGGGCCGGAGGTTGGGGAGACGTCGAGGTCCCCGAGTGGCACTCGGGTTTGTGCCGGCGAAAGTTCGAGCTGCACGACTGGCCTCGGTGGCACTGACTGATCGTTGCTGGCTGCGAGCACGGCCTCGTCGAGCTCTGATCTGGGCGAGAGCCTCTTCCCGGTTGATAGGGGTGTCGGGGACGCCGGGGTGAGAGGTGCGCTGGGGCTGTGTCTCTTGACGGAGAGGAGCTCTCTTTGTGGGCATAGGGTAGGGTTGAGGCTGCTCTCTTTCGACGCGTCTCCCAGCCCTAGCTTCCGAGGGCAAAGGTGCGTTCGAGCGATGCCCATGCGCGTCTCTTTCAACCCTGCGTGGCGGTCTGGCTTCCGCAGGTGGGGGTGCTGCCGAGTGATTATGGGATGTATTCGAGGGAGCAGCACGGGGCATTCTCATAGGGGCGGGCTCTCCAGATGGGGTGAAAGTCTCGACGTTAGGGGCCGATGCCGTGGGGTCAATGTTCTCTTCGTGGGAATCTTCCTGCGGCTGGGGAAGGTCGGGCGTGGAATCAAATCGCGGCGGTCTGACGTTGTCTCGAAGGGGCGATGGGAATGCCTTGAATGTGCCAGTCTCGGGTGAGAATGTAATCATAGGCTCCTCGGGCATCGGCATCTTTGGAGGCTCCGTGGACTCAACCTTTACGGCAGGCTCGAAGTGTTGGTGGACCGGTGGAGTAGGTGGCTCAGCGAGGGGGGTACGACTTCGTTCTTCATGCACAGGAGGCTGTGGAGAGATAACCTGATCGATGCTAGGCTCAGCGTTGTTTCGCTGAGGAGTGGCCTCGCGGACGGCCCGGGCCGTTGCTTTCTCGGCGGCCTCAATTCGAGCCGCTTCCGCCTGGGCAGCTGCAGCAGCAGCAGAAGTTCGGGCCTTCTCCGCCTGGGCAGCCTCAGCGACTTGGATGCGAGCAGCCTCAGCTCGAGCAGCTTCAGCAGCCTTGAGACGAGCGATCTCGGCTTGCGCAGCCTCAATAGTCTCAATTCTAGCAGCCTCGACCTGCGCAGCTTCAGCAGCCTTGACACGAGCGGCTTCAGCATGAGCAGCCTCGACAGCCTCAATCTCCGGCTTCTGGAACCGGTCATAGTAATCCCGGTCGTAGATGTAGCGACGACCTTGACTCTCAGCAATGCGGCAAGAGCAGCGTTCGAATTGGCATTCGATGTTCAAGAAGTGCACCATTTCTTCTGCGGCAACCCTGCGGCGGCGCTCGAATACAAGGTCCTCCTTCATTTCTTCTAAGACATCCTCGTCGACTTCGACGGGACCCGCCTCAGAGGCAGGTCTTTCATTCTTAATCGCAACGTCTGACAAACGCGGGCGCTTGGGAGGTGTAGCTTCCGCTTCGTCTTCTTCTTGTTCAAGGGCGGGGGATCGGACGGAGCCTGCAGCGACACGTTTAGGTCTCCGCGGTGTAGTTAAAAAGGCGAGGTCGCCCTCTGCCAATGACATTCTATCGAAGTCTTCTCTCCGAATCTCATGGGCGCGGACTTCCAGGTTGCTAGAATGATTGTCTGTTTCCAGAGAGCGGAGTTTCCCTTTGAGAACTTCGAGTTCCTCGGTGAGACCAGCGAGTGCGTAAGCACGTTCGAATGCCTCCTGCTTGGCTTTTTCCTTGGACTCCCGTTCTGCTGTCACTTCGTCCTTGAGTGCTTTGACTTCCGACTTTGAATGCTTCAGTTCTTCCTGAAGTTTCACCAAAGTCGATCCAGCCCGGAAGGCTTCTTTGCGGGCCTTGCGAATTTCTTTTTCGAAAATAGATCGTTCATGGCCCTGGCGTTCTTTCGTTCCGTGTAACTCCTCTAGTAATGATTCGAGGCGTTCGCTAATTCGGCGTTCTCGTGATTCAGCTTCGGATAGTTCTTCTTGTGCGGTGGCTAGAGCTGACTCGGCCTCCTCGCGGCCGAGAATAGCCCTTTGAATGGCGGCATTGTTGGCAGCGGACGAACCGCCAGGGCTAGCGCCCCGCGATAGACCGTTTAGGAAAGCCACTTTGGCTTGGACTTCTGAGACGCCTCTGGCGTTTTTGTGGTGTAGTGTGAGGAGGTCCGCTGGTAGCGAGGGCGAGGCGGGTATGGTTTGTTGATTCATGCGTTCCGGCGACACCGGATGGAGGACCTTTGAGGGACTCGGGGCAAGACGCGTCGGAGACTCCATCGCAGATGCTGTGACAGTTTATAGATCCAGTCGATGAAGATCACAGTGTCAAAGGAGCATCACAGGAATGAGAGAATACGGGTTATGCCACGGGGAAAATCACTGTGGAGTTTCAAGAAGTGACGCACCCACACAAAGATGTTTATTGCCCTCTTTGGATGGTCATGTGATTGTTGCTGTGGTGACAAGGAACGCCTTCCCCAAGGAAGTTAGTCCCTCACGTGCGCCCCTCACCCACATCGGGTCTAGCGCATCATCGTCATGTCTGTGCGCCGTTGAAGACTTGCATTGCCAATATCAAAATTTACAGACGGGCTATCCTGGACAGTGTTCATTGCTTGCTTAAAGATGCATGAAATTGTTACTCTTCAGCTAGGCCAGCGGGCCAACTATCTTGCGACACACTTCTGGAACTTACAGGTAATGTCTTTCTCAGTCGGTGCCCAACTTCGGTCTAATGTATATCAGGAATCATACTTTACATACAATGAGGGCGAAGAGTCCAATGTCGACCATGACGTTCATTTCCGACCAGGTATCGGCGCTGATAGCTCTGAGACTTACACTCCTCGGACAGTAATCTACGATCTCAAAGGTGGATTCGGTACCTTGCGTAGATACAATGCACTTTACGAACTTACCGAAGACTCTAATGCCGGTCAAGGTCTATGGTATGATGTACCAATGGATGAAACGTATGGGTGAAGCAACCAAAGCTAACCCTTGACAGGGATGGTCCAGAGATTGTTCAAAGACAAACTCCAATTCAGCCCAGTGATTATCAGAAAAGCTTGGATCTGGGTACTCAAGCTCCTCGTCTAACCTCGGAGTCTGTACGCTACTGGTCGGACTACAACCGAGTATTCTACCACCCACGGTCTATAGTTCAGCTGAACGAATACGAGCTGAACTCCCAGACTATGCCTTTCGAGGATTGGAACGTCGGAGAAGAGCTGTTTCATACCCTCGACAAAGAGCATGACCTGATCGACCGTGATGTGAGACCTCTCCTTGAGGAGTGTGATCAATTACGAGCACTGCAATTGTTCTCCGGGTCAGATGATGCCTGGGGTGGATTTGCGGCCCGGTATATCGAGAGACTGAAGGACGAATACGGAAAGAAGAGTATCTGGGTTTGGGCTATCGAGGATGGCACCAGGATGCAGAGGGTAAGTAACACAAGAGTGCCGTTTCAAGGAGTCAATGAGTTGGTTGGCTAAGTTTCGAACTTTGAATAGCATCACCAGTTCAAGAATGATACGAACAAGGCCAGGTCGCTTTACTCGATCTCACCACAGGCATCACTCTACGCCCCAATCATTGACCTACCCCATAAACTTCCCAGCTACCTCAATGTGGATCGCCAATCAGAATGGCAGAAGACGGCCTTGATCGCTTCGGCCATCGAGACGGTCACGCTGCCCTCCCGACTGCGGCCGTACCAGCATTTCGAGGCCTCCCTGGCGGGTGAGGATGGCACACACACCATCTTCGAGTTGCAAACCTCCATCAATAAAATCAATGACGGTCATAATAAAAGGTCATCCAATGAAGAAGGATCGACTAAAGCCCAAACTGAATTCGACATTGACTTCGCCTATGACGGCGAGCACCACCAGGGCGCCCACATCTTCAATCAAGTCCAGGTAACTCGTGGAAATGAACCGGAACGACAGGGCGAGCCCGCGGACGAGAGGGATATGGGGCACGTCAGGAAACTCAGGCTCTACAACTCCGAGCCCATGCTCCAAAGGTAAGTTTTTTTTGGCACCTTCGCATTCCCAGTCATTGTCTCAGCCAGGAGAGACTCACACTGTATATACCCAGTTACCATACGCCACTTAGTCTACCTATACTTGACAGCTTCCCACACGACATGTTCCCCACTCCCAAAGCATGTACTGGCATCGACGTTTTTTCCGCATTGACCGCTTCGACCCGTACAGCCCAGAGAATCAAGGCCCTTTCGGCAACTGCCGCTCGCATGGTCTCGGTTGATGAGCGGGAAGACATGATCAACGGGCTCGGTGAGATTCGAGAATTCTACGAGACCGGGTGGAGTAGTGGCTCGGATGATGAGGACGATTGAGTCCAACCTGTTCTGGTGCATGACCAGTGTTGATATCATCGCAATTAAATCAATGCCAGGGTATAGCCGGCTTCGGCCGACTAGGCCATTATTTCCACATTTTCTCCCCTCAATTTGCCCCATTGCTCAGGACTGGACCTAGCATAGATGGCTTGTGGACCATATTACTCCAAATTTAGTGTCTACGCCCGTTATCTGTGGGTTGGATACTGGGGGAGGTATCCGTGGCGTTGACCATTACGGAAATACGACAATCCCGGACCAGCCTCCCGAGAATCATTATTCGCCGCAGATAATAATGGTTAGCGTATGTAAACCCCAACATGTGGCGGCAGAGTTTAAGACATCTCAATATCCAAGACACAATTGTTGCCCTGGGAATGTGACCCCCCGCATTTGCCGTCTGACGGGTCCCCTCTCGGGTATACATGTACTTGCATGTACATAGGTATATTGGGGAGGCTTGACGGTAACTTATGAGTTTTCGACGCATGTACGAGCAGGGATATAGTGAGGAGGCTGGCAATACAGTAGTACCCGCCATAACTTATTATGTACTCTGTACATGTAATGTGTTTCTTTTTGGGATCATCAGTCCCATTGACAATTCCCAACAATAGTACGGAGTGCGTTGTACTTCAGGACAGTATCACGAGTTCCGAGACATTCATGGTTCTCAAAGTCAAGTGAAATGAGAAGACATAGAATATTGAACCGAAGAATATAGAAATAAAATACTAATAAAGAGAAAATAAAGAAATACACAAATATAGTAAAAAGAGAGAAAGAGAGGCGCTGACATCACCTGACGGAGAACTTGATGGCAAAAAACCCACAGGGGAATTCCACTCCAAGTCCACTCCCCTGCATGCTCGGCAGTCATGTAACGTCACCATCTGTCCCGCTCAGGCACACTTGAATTCCACTTCCAAGTTATCTTTGCAAGCCTGCAATGAGTACATTTCTCTTGATTGAATATCATTTCCACATCAGCTCCGATCGGTAATTTCTTTTCGACCCACCGTGGATCCTGCACACAGGGCAAGTCCAGACCAATGCACAGCAATCACAAAGTTCCGTGTCTTTCCCGCACCCTGCGATGGGTCGTTTCTTTACAATTGAATTCGATTCGGTAAAGCGTGGTCAATGTCCCTTGGAACGAGTCTCCAATGTCCACTCTCATTTGCGAGGTTTCCCCACACATTTCTTATCTTGACACATGGAGAACAGGACCGAGCTCCAGGTTATTCTTAGGATGTGGAAAAGGGTTCCTGGATTGACCATGGAACTGGATGGATCCCAGCATCATCATGTCTCTCTTTTCACTCGGTATAGCCAAGAAGGGAAGTAAAAATGTGAATGAAAGGATAAATCTGAGAGGCCCGCATCGGGCACCTTGCCGAACATGGGTACCATGACTGTCAATCGCAGAGCTACACATCGCTTCGCCAAGGTCTAATCTGCAACGACTTCTGTTCCGCTTAAGCGTCGGGCTCTGAACGTCTTTGCCTTTTGCCATTTCGACCCTGGTCGACTGTTGACGAACCAGATGCCATCTCTGAGACCGAGTCAACTGTTTATTGGTTCAACCCCAGTACCTGTCGTCTAGTCAACCTGGCCCGTGTACATGCGCTAGCTCCTTCTTGCATGCGGCAGTACTATACCCTACATCATGGCCCAGCCTCTGCGCTGGAAAATACGCGGGTTGACCGCTTGATACCGATCGTTCATGCTAGGTTTGGTTGGCTTTCCAAGATCAGGCGCCACTTTTTATTTCCATTCTGGTCTGTTTTTAGTGCTGTTGTACCGTCGGCTCATACCAGGGAAATGGCCGGGAAGCGGAGTCTAAGTGAGTCAGGCAATCAGGGTTGGCAATCCTGATCCTCCTGCACCAGATTGGGCTCTTGGGAGGACCAACCCAGAGGGCATAAATTAACCCACGCCTCCCCTCATCGTCCTAGTTCACTTCTGAAACGATTTCGATTCCATATATTTCCCGTTTAGGAACTCTCTCGCTACGGTTCCTATCGTCTTTCGTTTCAAGGGTCCTTTCAGCCCTATCTATAAACGAGCCCTACTTTTATATCAACACTCGTTTGCTAGCCAAGATGCGGGGCGCTCCAATCGTTCTGCTCTACGCCGCGACTCTCGCATCCGGTATGGTCATCACACCCAGAGGTGCTGGTGAGGCTCGCATTGCCATCCGCGGCGGTGGTGGTGAGGAGCACGGCGGCGGTGGTGACTGGTGGGGTCACGGTGGTGACGGTGACCACGGCGGCGACGGTGACCACGGCGGCAACCCGGAGACTACTCCATGCGAGACAGAGACCCCTCCGCCCGTTGAGACCTCGACTCCATGCGAGACTGATACTCCTACGCCTCCGCCGGTTGTCACTCCCACCTCCACCCCGTGTGAGACTGATACTCCCACTCCTCCGGTCGAGACATCTACTCCTTGTGAGACTGATACGCCCACTCCTCCCCCGGCGTCTTCTACTCCTTGTGAGACTGACACGCCCACTCCTCCCCCGGCGTCGTCTACTCCCTGCGAGACCGACACGCCCACTCCTCCCCCGGCGTCTTCTACTCCCTGTGAGACCGACACGCCCACTCCTCCCCCGGCGTCGTCTACTCCCTGCGAGACCGACACGCCCACTCCTCCCCCGGCGTCGTCTACTCCCTGCGAGACCGACACGCCCACTTCTCCCCCGGCGTCGTCTACTCCCTGTGAGACCGACACGCCCACTCCTCCCCCGGCGTCGTCTACTCCCTGTGAGACCGACACGCCCACTCCTCCCCCGGCGTCGTCTACTCCCTGTGAGACCGACACGCCCACTCCTCCCCCGGCGTCGTCTACTCCCTGCGAGACCGACACGCCCACTCCTCCCCCGGCGTCGTCTACTCCCTGCGAGACCGACACGCCCACTCCTCCCCCGGCGTCGTCTACTCCCTGTGAGACTGACACGCCCACTCCTCCTCCCGCGTCGTCTACTCCCTGCGATACCGACACGCCCACTCCTCCCCCGGCGTCTTCTACTCCCTGTGAGACTGACACGCCCACTCCTCCTCCCGCATCGTCTACTCCCTGCGAGACCGAGACTCCTACTCCTCCTCCCGCATCTTCTACTCCCTGCGAGACCGACACCCCTACCGCTCCTCCCGCCACTACAACTCCCTGCGAGACCTCCACTGTCACTCCCCCTCCTGTGGTCGTGACTACCACCTACACTACTACCACTTGCCCTGGTATGTGAACCCCCAACGAATATACAGAGACAATTGCTAATGATATCAGTGACCTGGTCTACCGTCTCCAGCGGCTCCTCGACCTACACTCACCCTGTGACCCAGACTAGTACTGTCACCGTTACCTCTGTCTTCACCTGCACTGAGGGCTGCACCCAGCCCACAACTCCCCCGGCTGTCCCCACGACTCCTGCTGTTGAGCCTACTACTCCCGTTGTGGTCCCACCCAAGGCTACCTCCCCTGCTCCTCAGCCCTCCGGCGTTGAGCCCACCGGAACTAGCCCCGCTCCTGTGGAGTCGTCGTCCATCCCCGTCACTTCTTCCACATCCGCTCCTCCTGCTTCTTCCTCTCCTGCTTTCAACAGTGCTCCGGCTCAGTTCCAGAAGTCTATTGTGGCCTTCATGCCTGGTCTAGCCGTTCTGTTCGCTCTGCTCTAAGCGGCCACCAATATAGCCAACCTGCCTTAAGAGATACATCATCTCTCTGCTCAATGGAGATTGGACAGACTAATTTTTTCCAAAAAGAGATCATGAAAAGACTAAAAAAAAAAAATTCGTATTCTGGATATCCGGTCTTGGAAGATGCTTGAGTTTTTATTCTAATTTACACGAGTAATCTGGCAGGACAGTTATTAATGGGTTGACGACTGACGCTCCTTATCCATGATTATGGAACCCTAATATAGTCATACATACATTAGTCAACTGATATTTATTTCAGTAATTACATTACTCCTCGCAATATCCTGTAATAACTTCAAACATGACGCCCACTCAGCCCTGTCGAATTAGGGCACTTATGTAATATGATAACGATAAGCAGTGCAAACATGCCAATGTTTGCATGATGACCCGTGTCCTCATCCAACAGCTCTTTCAGGCTTCACGCTCCAAGTGGCCACAGTATCCCTTTCCGGATGGCTTAATCCCTCTGACTCAACTCCTTTCTCTCCCCGTCCTCACCCGTCGACATCCCCCAACATCTCCCCTGTCTCGACGCCAATCTTGAGCTCTTCCATAGCTCCATACAATTCTCCGTCTGGCGCAAGCCAGCGTCCCACCCGAATTCCGACACATCACTCGGCAACCCGGTGGAACGTTTAGATATCGCCCCTCAGAAAACATTTATATACGTGCTCGAGGTGGGTGACCTGCACAACTTCCCTTGGAAACCCTCCACCTCGAATCATTAATTTGGCTGACTCCCACAGCCGGAGCACAAAAAGATAGATCATGGCATTCAATCGCCGGCGATTATCTAGCTCCCCAATGCTATCACTCGTCGTACTCCCCTTCCTCCTCTTCCTACTCAGCTTCGCTGGGCCAGCATCAGCCGCCGGATCGGCCGTTCTGGGTATCGACATTGGCACAGAATATTTCAAGGCCGCACTAGTGAAACCTGGTATCCCACTCGAGATCGTCCTCACCAAGGATTCAAAGCGCAAGGAGTCCGCCGCGATCGCATTTAAGCCTACACGAGAGAGCGATGCTCCTTTCCCCGAACGGTTCTATGGTGGTGATGCGCTCGCCCTGGCGGCTCGGTACCCGGATGATGTTTACATCAACTTGAAGACACTTTTGGGTGTTCCGTTCAACGATGGTGCTGATGAGACTGTCAAGAGATACTGGAGTCGGTTCCCCGCACTGAAGTTAGAGTCTGCGCCTGATGGTCGTGGCTCCGTTGCTCTCCGCAGTAACCGTCTCGGCCAGGAGCAGAAGGAGGCTTTCTTGGTAGAGGAGATTCTTGCCATGCAGTTGAAGCAGATCAAGGCTAACGCCGACACTCTGGCTGGTAAGGGCTCTGATGTCCGTGATGCCGTCATTACTTACCCTGCGTTCTATACCGCGGAGGAGAAGCGGAGCCTTGAATTAGCTGCCGAGCTTGCCGGTTTGAAGATCCAGGCTCTTGTCAGTGATGGTCTCGCTGTTGGCTTGAACTACGCTACCAGCCGTACTTTCCCCAGTGTTTCCGATGGCGAGAAGCCCGAGTACCACGTTGTCTACGACATGGGTGCTGGATCGACATCCGCTAGCGTTCTGCGGTTCCAGAGCCGCAAGGTTAAGGATGTTGGCAAGTTCAACAAGACTATCCAGGAGGTTCAAGTTATTGGAGCTGGCTGGGATAAGTCGCTCGGCGGAGATTCTTTGAACGATCTTATTGTCGACGATATGGTTTCCCAACTAGTTGAAGACAAGAAGCTCAAGGACAAGGTTACTGTCGCTGAAGTCAAGGCACACGGAAAGACCATGTCCAGACTTTGGAAGGATGCAGAGAAGCTCCGCCAGGTCCTGAGCGCCAACACGGAGACGTCGACGAGCTTCGAGGGACTGTATGACGATGATCTCAACTTCAAATACAAGCTCAGCCGGGCCAGCTTTGAAAAGATGGCTGCCGAGCACATCGCCCGTATTGGAACCCCTGTCGAGCAAGCGTTGGCTGCCGCCGGTCTGAAGTTGGATGACATGGACTCCGTCGTTCTCCACGGTGGAGCCATCCGTACTCCTTTCGTCCAGAAGCAGTTGGAGAAGCTTTGTGGTTCTTCCAAGAAGATCAGAACTAATGTCAACGCCGACGAGGCCGCTGTGTTTGGTGCTGCTTTCAAGGGTGCTGCGCTCAGCCCCAGTTTCCGCGTTAAGGATATCCGCGCTAGTGATGCGGCTTCATACCCTGTGTCCTTGAAGTGGAACTCTGACGGCAAGGATCGAAACCAGAAGCTTTTCACTGCCACTTCTCAGGTCGGCCTTGAGAAGCAGGTCACCGTGAAGAACCTGGAGGACTTCGAATTCAGCTTCGCTCAGCATATCGCCGAGAACGAAGAACAACCTATTCTCAGTGTTCAGACCCAGAATCTGACAGCCTCTGTGGCCAAGCTCAAGGATACCTTCGGCTGCACTACTGCAAACATCACCACCAAGTTCGCGATCCGCCTCAGCCCTGCTGACGGTCTCCCCGAAGTTGTTGATGGTAACGTCAGCTGCGAAGTTGAGTCTGAGAAAAAGGGAATTGTTGAAGATGTCAAGGGCTTCTTCGGTCTGGGTAAGAAGGATGAACAGCAACCTCTTGTCGATGAGAATGGCGAGCCTTTGGAATCGATTACCCTCGAGCCTGAGACTGAGTCTGCCACCACAACCTCCGCCAGCACCACATCGACTACCACCTCTACCAAGGACGCAAAGGCCACGCCCCAGATCAAGACTGAGATCATCCCCATCAGCTTGAAGTCAACTCCTCTGGGAACCCCGGCTCCCTCGGCCGCAGAGCTCCTTCGCATCCACGCCCGCCTTTCTGCCTTTGATACCTCCGACAATGACCGCATCCTCCGCGAGGAGGCTCTCAATGAGCTGGAGTCCTTCATCTACCGCAGCCGAGACCTCGCCGACGACGAGGAGTTCGTCAAGGCTGTCAAGACTGATCAGCTGACCCTCCTCTCCGAGCGCGCCTCCAAGGCCAGCGACTGGCTGTACGAGGAGAGTGACAATGCTAAGACCGCCGAGTTCCAATCCAAGCTCAAGGACCTGAAGGATATCGTTAACCCGGCATTGAAGCGCATGAAGGAGAGTTCCGCTCGTCCCGCGCGCGTTGAGATGCTCAAGGACATGCTCAAGAACGCCGAGTCAATGAAGGAACTGATCAAGAACCAAATCGAGAACGACGAGCAGACTTACTCATCTTCCCTCTCCGCCTCGAGCGCCACCTCGACCGAGTCCGAAACCGGCTCGTCTACCCCCACCCCAGCCGCCTCCGGCGAGGGTCTCGATGACCTCGATGAGGATGCCTACTCCACCTCCACAACCTCCGCCAAGACCACCGCTACCGCCAAGCCCACTGGCCCCAAGTACTCCCTTTTCACCCCATCCGACCTCACCGCTATCACCCAGGCGTACGAGTCCACTGCTCCATGGCTGGAAACCCAACTCGGTCTCCAGGAGAAGCTAACCGAGTCCGACGACCCCGCCCTGACTCTTGTGGAGGTTGACTCCCGACTGCGCGATTTTGAGCGCATCCTCAACCGTCTTTATGAGCGGATGACCGCCGCTGCGGGACAGCAGAAGAAGAGTTCCGGCAGCAAGGGAAAGAAGGGCAAGCAGTCTGACTCTGAGAAGAAGGCCAAGGCTAAGGAGCAGCCCAAGAAGGAGAAGGAAGACCTTCCTAAGGATGAACTGTAAAATCTTCATCGATCTCTTTGTTTTCTTTCTTGGCCTGTTCTGCATCTTGTTTGCCTTTCTCTTCTTTTCTATGTCTTACCTTAAAACGCACAGCACAGAGCATTGCCATCCTAACGCATCCCATGTATCATGCACACTACACCCGAAGATAGAAAAAAATAGCAATGGAGTTTGGGATGAGCGCCACTTTCACTTTTCAACTCCTACTTTGACAAGCCTGGTATCGTTCCATATATTTAGACATGTAAACCCCAGAGGTGCGACTTGAGATCCACACAGCCCATATTCAAATCAAAGCAAAATCGGATTTACCATCCACCCTTACCCTTGCCCTTGCCCTCTCCAGCACCGGATCCTGCCCCAAGACCAGATCCAGCTCCCCCACCAACACCACCTCCAAATCCCCCAGAAATGCCAGTACCAATGGTGATTCCACCGCCGCCACCGCCGGCAAGGCCTGATCCGGAACCACCACCTGCACCGAGGCCGCTACCAGCGCCGCCGCGGCCGCCACCCCCGGGGACTGTAGATCATAACTTCGTTAGAGGATTCCCGATTCTTATCTTCGATTGTAGCTTGATATGGGATATAGGTGTCACTCACTGGTTGGAGCGGCCATGGCGGCAAGGGCCATACCGAAGAGGACGACGATGTAGTTTGATTTCATTTTTTTGGGAGCTGGTGGATTGGTTGGGTGTTACCTTTGTTCTTCCATATGTATAAAGGGGCGAGAGAGAGACTAAGCAACAGAAGTCATATAAGCCTTACCGAAGGAATTTGATGGTAGCTGGTTTGGATTGATAAAAGCGTGGCATCCTGAGCACTGGGGTGAAAGTCTCCTATTTATACCTCCGACTCGGCGTGAGTTCCTTTCTGTATCCTCCGACCAGAAGCCATAGGTCGGAGATTGAGTCGATTCCCCGGAGTCAGATGTAATTGTTCATGCGCATAATCGAGTCAGCTATGTTGTCCCAACATTGGGTTTTGAATCGGTGGGGGTTGTGCAGCATATTGCTTTTTATTTGCTTGTTCGGTGGCGTTGGATATATCTGGGAAACTGCCTTGGTAGCTGGGAGGTATTGGTCGAACAGACTTATGCATGTCCATGGAGTGTAGACTTAGATCTACGCCATTGATAATCATGGTCTCCAAATCCATTACATCGATTCTTGTTTTGATACTCCATGCTGAAAACATCCGCCCAACCAAGGTATTAAATTCACCCGCGCTGAGCTTTCTTCCAGCCTTTCAAACTAGCCCGGTCTCTTCGTAAACGGATTTCTCGATGTGAGGTAAGCTCATGCAATTTCATCGGGAGAGGCGTGGCCTACATGTTCGGTGGGAGGCTGTTCCACTTTGATTGAAAAGCCACTCTAAAGTTGTGGGATCATAACGCCACACAGATCTTTAAGGAAAGTTACGGTTCATGGTAGACTTGGCTCGTGGCTGCTCCTTACTGAAGATTATGTTGGCAAACCTCTAGTCTGTTAATGGGACATTTAACAGCCCATGAGCTAGAAGATGCTTGTAAGTAACTGGGATACATCTCCGGTAGTGGAATTTTGCATGGGCAGGCCTAGACCAATATTATTTGGGCATTTTAAACTCATCTGTGATAAATGTCGCATCGGAGTTCCTTCCGGGGGGTAGTTCTATAGTTGCCTACACCTCCATTGGCTGTGTTTCAAGAGAAGCTTTGGCTTTGGCGTTTATACTGCTCTAGGCCAATTCTTGTAAATATCAATAGTAGTATGCACCAACTCATACCAGCCTATTAGGCATGAGCTGCTTACGGAGATAGCAGCAAGTATCTATGAATTTCAACACGAGAAATGCTCCAGGCGTCAATTTAAAGTCTATGTTAGACATTGAAAACTAGCAATAACCCCTACAGTGAGAATATGTGCTAGATACCCTCTTCTTGTAAGTGAGCTATGGCTGATTAGGAGCGTTTTCCAGCAATATCAAGCTCACGCCTAGCACTCCCCGGTGGCGCTTCCGCCTACACATGGTGTCCCGGTACAGTTAAATCCAATCGGGTTCGCAACGTTCCCACACAGGTACCCCTCCACATCAGTGCCATTACTAAGGTGCAGGGCAGTGTCAAAGACGGAAATATTGGTGCACGGCGCAACAGCGCTGCACTGCAAGCTTGCCACCCGCGTTGACTTGCTGGTCCCGGATAGACCGTCAATTTCCACGTTCTTGATCTGGAATTCTGAGTTTGTGCAGTTGCCTTGGCCTGGTGCACCTGAGAATCGCGTGCACTGAGAGATTGCGAACGCGGCCCCACGAAGTCCTGTCGTGGTCAGGTTCGTAAGTTTCATCTCAGATGCAACTGGTTGATGAATTAGCAGACTCGAAGGCACGCCATAGGTAGTGTATTTATAAACTGGCTTGGAAAGAATGATCGAAAAAGGGCACAGGATATAAAATTACAAAATAGCTTACATCCGAGTCCGCCGCCTCCTCCGTTCGGTGGGTAGCCATTCTGATCGGCTGTCCATGTCTTAATATAGAACTAGGATATTTGGTAGTGAGTGAGGTTTCCATATAGTTGTATTGTTTAGTAACATCTCCTTGATATCGGTCACTCACAGCATGTAACGTGTTGTAGTATTCGATGTTTTTGACCGTGACCCTCTCAATTGTCTCGAATTGGCCCTTGTATTGCCCAATGCTTCCCATAGCAATACCTAATCCATTGTAAAACTTGCTGTTTGCAATGATTATATCGGTGCTGTTAGCCTTCATAGAAAGGCTGTCATCGCCATTGTAGACGGTCCAGTTATTGAATGTGATATGTGAAGAATGGATGGTATCGGCCCCATCGGTGTTGGCTGTGACAAGTTAGCACTCTCTGTCTTTGAGAATTGCAGTACCTTTAGTCAAGTCCTTACAGCTCTGTGCCCAATTCCCAGTGTTGTTTACGAGGATACTATCAAGCAAAACATTATGAGACTGAATGATTGACATCGTCCTTGAGAATTAAGGTTAGTAAAGCAAATGAATGGCCCAGCAAAATTACTCGACTGTTCACATACCACATCTGACTTCTCAGGAATGTGAGGCCACGAATAGCCGAGTTTCGAAGATTACTGAAGGTCACAGCGTGCGGCCGGCCTGGGTAATTGGATGTGTTTGGTTGCTTTCTGATCCATTGATACCAATAGTCACCATTACCGTCGAACGTGCCTTTTCCATAACCGTTGATTCGGACATTATCACCGCCGATTATCAAGGCTGTTGACTGATTTTGATACCCAACCTCCATTGAGTTATTCAGCCAGTATGTGATATCAGTGCTCCACTAGTGTGAGACGTAGATGATCAGCAAACCAGATACGTAATACCTATGTTTAATATTGCAAGGCCTGTTAAGGAGATAGGTATACCAAAAGGGTACCGTGGATGTCAATATCAACATCCTCGAGCCAGGAGACGTTTATAACGGAGTTAATATAGTACGTTGTAGGCTCGAAGACAACTCTTCCGTTTCGGCCGCACTTTCTGAATGCCTTCATGATAGCTGGAGCATCATCGGTCACATTGCTCCCGCCACCCTTGATTGTGCAGCTCCTTCGGTGGTCTTTGGCGGACACGGGGCTGAATGAAGCCACCAAAACAGCCAGAATGATTTGGATTGAGGGCCACATGGTGAGAGCTAATGTTGATTTGTGATATGGAATCCAGTTTCACTTTCTACACTTACGATTTAAAGCATCGGTGCAACTAGACTCCTTTCTAACGTCGGTCTGTCTTTGCCCGACTCGGAGGAAGTTTTGTACACACTGCCCGTGCGAAGCGAGGCAATCGAGATGACGGTCAGTTAAGTTCCTGAGTAGGGATAGTTTCGTGTCTTTGACAGAAGTAATTTTGCACCAATGAATGGCCGCTCGCTGAAAAGCTACATCAGTCAAAGAAAGCACATATGCAGGAGACCCCTCAGATCGTCCAAGCTGTCGGCACCATTTTAACCGAAGGTATTTAATCCCCGAAGCGGAATATAATTGCGGGGGTGCTTGGCATTCGGAGGAATTGTTCCATGCTCAAAGGATACGGTACTAAGATTTATGAGTAGCTTTATGTGAATAGACCTGATACAATACGTCGAGACCATTACTAACCGGAAAAAATCCCTGCAGCAAAGTAACTACGCCAAGTAGCATTGCAGGTCTGTAAAGTGAGAACTATGTCCTAAATCCAAACATACTGCATCAACTTGAATCACCCATTACATCCACCACACAGGCAGCTGTAGTAAATTATCAGAAGTATTTTCCGAATATTATGATGTTAACGCTCTTTGAGGTTCATCCTCCGGTCAATGCTTTGTTTGTATTTGCTTGCTTGTTACGGATAATAATTTTACTTCTCACGTTCCAGGAACTCAACCCATCATACAAGGGAGTTCAGTATATCATAGAACAAACTCCCATAAGTAATGCCAAGCGCAAGCACCTAATATCCTTCTTTTACCCCGCAACGTCGGCAAAGTAGAGACCGAAATTTGGACGACAAGTCTATAAATGTGACCCTCAGACGTGATACATGTAGATCCCTGTTAGACCGAGAGGGCTTTTATCGACATAAACTACAACGCCATAATGCGGCTATCATTCGCGCTTTTGACGACCCTCTTGGTGGTCTCATCCGAGAGCAAGTACATTGTTCCCGGAGGTAGATGGCATGACACAAATGGCTCATTGATCAACGCCCACGGGTCCGGAATCACCTTCGACCAGAAATCCGGCCGCTTCTGGTGGTTCGGCGAGTATAAAACAAAAGATCAACCGGAAGGCGGAGGCGTGTCCGTCTATAGTTCTGAGGATCTGAGTACCTGGACTTTTGGGGGACTGGCCTTAGGTATCTTCTTGCGTTGTAAAGTCTGATTGGCTGCGGAAAGAAGTTGACATCTGAAATTTACAGCTCCAATTGAGGGACACCAATATATCTCGCCCAGTAACATTATTCAGCGACCTAAAGTGGCCTACAGTTCGGAGACTGAGGACTATCATGTAAGGATGCAGTCTACATGCCACTTATAAACAAAGAAGGCTGATCAAGCAGATGTGGTGGCATGCCGACAATTCCAAATACGGCCTTCTTCTGCAAGGCCATGCGGTATCCTCTAGGATCGGTGGGCCATACACCTTCGTCGACGCAACTGCGCCTCTTGGAAACTGGTCCCAGGATTTTGGCATGTTTACTGACTACAAGGATGGCCGATCCTATGCGCTCTACTCAAACGGGGACAGTGTGGATGGGCGAGATGTGTACATCTCAAGTATGAACAAAAATCTCACGGCACTCGAAAAGACCGTGTATCGGTTCCCAAAATTTGATCTTGAGGCGCCCTCTATCATGCAGACAGACAAAAGCTACTGGGCATTGATGAGCCACAAGACTGGATATAGGCCTAACAGTAAGGGACTTCATCATATCACCTCTCTTCACAAAAGTACTTGGCTAATAATGCAGACGTGGTGGCATTCCGCGCCGATTCATTGAGTGGTCCTTGGTCCCAACCATTCATTGTTGCGCCATTGAACACGCGCACTTTTAATTCGCAATCTGGATTCACGCTGAAAATAAAGGGAACAAAGAAAACAACATATCTCTACATTGGAGATCAGTGGGACTCGAACTCTGTTTGGGATAGTCGCTATATCTGGTTGCCGATTCAGGTTGACGAGAAGAGCAAGCGTCTATCAGTGGAATGGCACGACGTTTACGACCTTGACGTGTATGTCCTCCTCAATACCTGCGTCAGATCAAGTGCACTAACTAGATAGTAGAAAAACCGGTGAATGGAAATCAATCAAGGGAAAGACTTACAGTGCGAAAGATGCGACGATACAGGGCGATGCATATAAGCAGGAGGCTGTGAGTACGGTCATATTTCGGAGCTAGAGGCTTTGTGACTGATAGGTCAAAAGAACTTCGCCACCGATGGGGTAATCCTCACTGGAATATATGGAAATGACAGTACAGTCACGTTTGAGAACATTGAAGGCTCCGGAAAACCTCAATGGGTGTCATTTTACTACCAAAGTATGTTTGTCTTGTCCCTGTGCTATCCGGAAGAATCTAACAGCATTATCAGATACCGATGATATGGGTTTCGGCGACCAACGTAAGTACACCCCCTACTTCGAAATAAATCCTGGTTCTGATGCATTCAATAGCTGGAGGTACCCCGGACAGAATCGGCGGTTCGTGGCAACTTCGTAGGATTAGCAGCGTGGTGGTCAATGGAGATTCGACAAACATAGAGACCCTATACCAGAGAGACACGCACAAAGGGATAATTCTCTCCACTCCACTACAGCTGACACTGAAGAAGGGAACTAAGAACAAAATCACCATTGGTGGTTTATATAATGGGTTTGATAACAAAGGCGCGGATTTGGATCGGATAGTTGTGTATCCTGCTGAGGATTGAATGCCTACATGAGCCCAATCACCCTGGAGTGAGGATACATTTGTTAGAACAGATCTTAAGCGTGAATCATTTTCCAGGTCAATCTTATAGATGAAGTTGGAGATACTTCCGAATCCAGTATTAGGGCTTCCCCGCATTGGCCCTACCACGCTATCCCCAATCGGTCAAGAAAAGTTCCTGGAGCTCGACCGTTTTCTTTTCTCCAACTCCCACCCTTTACAATCAATTGGCAATGGAGAAGCACGATCTCGTGGAGTCGCCGCGCAAGCGGCAGAAGACCGGTGATGCTGGCCCAGAGGAGGTTGTAGTCGCTGGCGACGGCGCCGCAGATGTCCCAACCACTCCCGGCGCAGCTCCGGACGCTCAGGCTGTCAAGGAAGTTGAGGTCGGAATCACCGAATTCGTGAGTTCTGACAACGAGGGATTTTCGGGTATCTTGAAAAAGAGGTGAGAGACCATTTGCTGCGTGTTTTGGGGCCCTACTAAGCTCAGCGCAGATACACCGATTTCATGGTCAACGAGATCACGACCGCCGGCGAAGTTGTTCACCTCCACAATACGAACGCGCCGAATGCTGCCCCCAAGCCCAACCCTGTTGAAAAGGCCCCAGAGACGGAGATTAAGGCTCCGGAGCAGACTGAGGAAACTCAGCCAAAAGCCGAGCAAGCACCAGTCGAATTCCAAGTGTCGGATGAGGACCGCGCTCTTCTTGGCGAATTCTTCGGCGCGGAAAATGCCACTACAATCATTACCATGCACAAAGAAGCTATGGCTAAGCCGAGGGCCCGGCCGAGCGAATTCGGCAAAATCAGGGTTGCTATCTCTGATCGCGACTTGCGTACCAAGATCCACCAGAATATTCGTCGCATCTTCAACTCTGAGATCGACTCGACCACAGACCAGGATGGCATGATGGCTATCACCGCGGCGAACAACCGTTTCAAGCGTGATTCGAACAAAGGAGGACGCGGCGGCGGCGATGGAGGAGCCCGTGGTCAGGGCAACCGTACCAACTGGGAAGAACTCGGCGGACCCTATCTGCACTTCACAATCTACAAGGAGAACAAAGACACCATGGAAGTTATCTCCTTCATCGCTCGCTCACTGAAGATGAACGCCAAGTCCTTCCAGTTTGCCGGAACCAAGGATCGTCGCGGCGTTACCGCGCAGCGTGCTTGCGCCACCCGTGTTCTCGCTGAGCGACTTGCGAGATTGAATCCGACTCTTCGCAATGCCACTCTTGGCGACTTCAAATACAGCAAGCAGGGCCTGGACCTGGGAGATCTGCAGGGCAACGAGTTCCTGATTACTCTGCGCGAGGCTGACATTCCCGGTGTCAACTTGAGTGACCCTCAAAGCGCAGTCGCCAAGGCCACCGAGGTAGTTGGCACTTCTCTGAAGAACCTCCGCGAGCGCGGATACTTCAACTACTATGGCCTTCAGCGATTCGGAACCTTCACTACTCGGACTGACACTGTCGGTGTCAAGATTCTACAGTCAGATTTCAAGGGTGCATGCGATGCCATCTTGTCTTACAGCCCTCACGTTCTGGAGGCGGCAAAGCAAGGCGATGCTTCTACCATGAACATTAGCAACGATGACAAGGCTCGTGCTATGGCCATTCATATGTTTGAGACCAAGCTCGAGACCGAGGCCAGAACCAGCACCAATGACATCTTGTCGAAACTTCCGCGCAAGTTCTCCGCTGAAAGCAATATTATCCGCCACCTCATTAACTCGCGCAATGATTATTTGGGTGCTCTGCAAACCATTCCCCGCAACCTGCGGTTGATGTACGTGCACGCGTACCAGTCTCTTGTCTGGAACTTTGCTGTCGGTGAGCGCTGGCGACTCTACGGCGACCGAGTTGTGGAAGGCGATCTTGTGATTGTCCAAGAGCACCGTGACAAGGAGGCTGAAGCCCCTGAGGTCAAAGACGATACTGTTGATGCAGACGGCGAGATCATCATCGTTCCTCAAGGCGAGGACAGCGCCACCGCGGCTGAGGATATGTTCACCCGCGCCCGGGCTCTGACTGCTGAAGAGGCAGCCAGCGGCAAATACACCCTGTTTGATCTCGTTCTCCCCCAGCCTGGATATGATATTATCTACCCGGCCAACCAAGTGAAAGATTTCTACAGTCGCTTCATGGGCAGTGAGCAGGGCGGTAAATTGGATCCTTTCGACATGCGCCGCAAATGGCGTGATGCCAGTCTGAGCGGTAGCTACCGCAAGATCTTCAGCCGCATGGGTGCCGACTACTCCTTTGATGTCAAGCTGTACTCCAAGGACGATCAGCAGTTCGTGCCAACTGACATGGACAAGTTGAAGCAAAGGGATGCCGATATCACCATCGCCACAGACGACCAGCCAGATAAGTTGGCTGTCATCCTGAAGTTCCAGCTGGGATCCAGTCAATACGCCACTATGGCTCTTCGCGAGTTGACAAAGGGCAAGATGACTGCCTACAAAGCTGACTTTGGGGGTGGAAGATAAACGATGAACATGATTATGGACTGTACATCGCCTTACCGAGGCCTCTACGTGAGATAGCACTGACCAGATTGATGTTCTGATGTTCTGGTCAAGTTGATGTACTCCAACACAAACAGTGGATATTGAATATCTATTCTTGAAGTAATTCTCTGTCCAAGCCGTAGATCCCCCTACCAATAGACACGGTCCTCGCTATCTCTGAAGGGGAGATGCGGGGAACGAATTCCGGTATGACCCGCCTATTCTTAACGTTAGCGATCGTCGCGCATCCCAGCAGCTTCCGGCTATTCTTATACCTTAGCGAATATCGCGCAGATACCCCGGCAAGTCTTAACCTTAGCGAACATTCGGCATCCACCGAGGACTCTCCAAGAACTTGATTCCGGCTTTTCCTTACCGCAAATATCGCAGCGGCCTTTCCAGTACAGATTTTAAGGCGTGACAAAATACTCTCCCGTTCCATTCTAGCTATATAAATAGCGCTGCATTTCGCACATATCATAGCACTTCGCCGTTTGCAAGAAATCTGCGTTCTTCGGTCTCTATCTTTTATTCCCGATCTTGCATTGCCTCTTTCCTTTTCTAAGACTCCCCCATATCGCATATCTGGGAGCTCACACTTATCATGGCCGCCGTCCACCCCTTTGACCCCCTATCCCCTCGGGAAATCGCAAAGGTTAGCGTCTCTTATTCAAGTTCTACGAGCTTCGTTGCTTATATGATGTGGAAAAAAATAGGCTGCCGAGATCGTTCGCGGAGCATTCGATGGACATCATCTCAATTTCAGGGTGATCACTCTCCAAGAGCCGCCTAAGCAGCAGATGGTCGCTTTCCTTGAGAAAGAGCGTCTTAGAGAGGCCCAAACATCGCGACCTCCCCGAGCTGCGAGAGTCCAAGTCACTGTTCCATCTACGTCGAGATCGTATGAGTTAGTTGAGCTTCTCGTGGATCTCGATTCCACGAAGCTCATAAAACAGGAACACTTAACGGGGAAGCACCCTTACATTGACAGCGCGTACATGCAAGCCGTTGAGAAAGCTTGCAGAGAGAATGCAAGAGTCCAAGCGGAGATTCAAAAGCTCAAATTACCAGCGGGCGCCTCTGTCGTTATTGAACCTTGGGCTTATGCTACCGATGGTATGAAGGATATGTCCGAGCGGACAACCATGGTATGTGCATCACCTCAGGATTCCTAGCTATTATATCTAATGTTATATACCAGTGTTGGTTCTATATGCGTCTTCTTGACCACCCCGATGCGAACTTCTATGCATACCCACTCGATCTCTGTGCTGAAGTATCGGAGAAACTTGAAGTTACTCAAATCTACCACTTACCATCCTCCGAAAAAGAGTGCATTCGTGGACATGCACGCCCCTACGACCATAGCAAAGTTCACTCTCCTGAACTGAGCGAGTACCATCCTGATTTGCGACCCGCGCCGCGCACAACTACAAAGCCCTTCCAGGTTATCCAGCCAGAAGGTCCGTCGTTTCAAATTACCGGAAACCTGCTCAGCTGGGAAAAGTGGACCATGCGCGTGGGTTTCAATTACCGCGAGGGCTTGACACTCCATGATATTCGCTATGAGGACCGAAGTTTATTTTACCGTCTATCTTTGTCGGAGATGTTTGTACCGTACGGTGATCCACGATCTCCGTATCCCCGTAAAGCAGCATTTGATCTTGGGAATGATGGTGCTGGTCTCAATGCAAACAATTTACGCCTTGGCTGTGACTGCCTTGGTCTGATCAAGTACTTCGACGGTTGGCACAACACTGCCTCCGGTGAGCCGCTGAAGCTTCCGAATGTGGTCTGCTGCCATGAACAGGATGACGGTATTATGTGGAAGCATACAAATCACCGGACACAGAACGCCGTGGTAACTCGCTCGCGGATCCTCGTGCTGCAGACGATCATTACGGTCAGCAACTACGAATATATATTTGCATTCCACTTCGGCCAAGACGCTTCGATCCATTATGAAGTGCGAGCCACCGGCATTCTGTCAACCTGCCCAATCAACACCAATGACAAGGTTGGCTATGGCACGATCGTTGCACCCGGTGTCCTTGCACCATACCACCAGCATCTCTTCTCTCTACGAATCGATCCTGCAATTGATGGAAATGAGAACTCGTTACAGGTCGAGGAATCTCACCCTATACCGAATGATGACCCGAACGTCAACAATCCTTTCGGTGTTGGCTATACAACAAAGTCGAAGATCATAACCGAAGAGGGTGGCCACGATCTGGATTTTGCGACAAACCGCACTTTCAAAATTGTCAACGAAAACAAGGTCAACCCCATCACCGGAACACCAGTCGGGTTCAAGCTATTCCCCTGCTACAGCCAGATGTTACTCGCCCACCCGCAATCATACCATTCCAAGCGATCTGAATTTGGTAGTCATGCCGTCTGGGTGACTCGTTACCAGGATGACGAGCTCTTCCCAGCTGGTCGGCACACAATGCAATCACTAGGCGGCGAAGGAATCAAGTCTATGATTGAACAGCGCAAGGAAGATCCCAACGGCAATTCAAATGTGCGCAAGGAGGATATTGTCGTCTGGCACACATTCGGGTCTACGCATAACCCTCGCATCGAGGATTGGCCCGTCATGCCCTCCGAGAAGATGGTCGTTGGCTTGAAACCTATCAACTTCTTCACAGGAAACCCCAGTCTGGATGTCGCAGTCTCAAGTCAAGAGAAGAACCGAAGTGTCTTGGTTGAGGATGCTCCAGCATGCAAGTCGGTTGCTTGCTCGCGTTTGTAGACCTTCTAGGAGACAGTCACTTCGTTAGATCGACAAACATTGCTTTTATTCTACCCTTTCCAGAACACCATTGTTCAGTTGTGGGTTCAAGACTTGCCCGTGTGCAATGAACACTACTGATTGCTTTGATCGACATCTTGGCGCGCAATAAATTCCTGATCAGGCCTATATTGCATATCACTAAAACGGAAATCATTCAATGGGACGATAGCTCAGCCGGGAGAAAGCGTATGACTGACGATTAGCATTAGGCTTCGTAAGGTCTCCAGTTCAATCCGGGCTTGTGCTCTCCCATCATGTTTTCAGTGTTTTTGGCCCTAAATGCATGATAGAATACGGGCATTTGACAGAGGGAAAGTATAGCCATGTGATCCATAATTACATTTTGTATCACCTTTGATTAGCCAAGTCAATTACTAGCCATAAATTTATCCTTAGCATTTCACTCTTGAAACCCTCATGTTTTCCGGCGACAAAGGGACCGGTGGATGGACAGTGGTTTTATAAGGTATGATAATTAACGTTGTAGGCAGTACTAGGCTCCTTCGAATGTTTGGGCATATTAACATTCCAACGTGTATGAGCTATGCCCGGCATAGTTAGAAATTTGAAGTCTGCCCATATGGTGCCTAGAAGCGCCTGGTTAGTTAAAAGTAACAAATTGCGGTCTTATACATAACAATCCTTATTTAACGGTCGATGGAGACACGTCGGGGAAGATGAAGAGCGTATATGCGGAGAGCTACATCATATCGTTCAAGAATAGGGCCACTCTAGCACGAAGCAAATAATATGTTTGAGCGTTCAACTATACAGCAAGTACCCGGTCGCAGTGAAATCCTAGTATTACCAGCTGTAATATCATTTAAATACCAGGCTAAAGAAACTACATGCAATATCCCTGCTCCCAACGCCTCGTTATGGTCATCCTATCAACTAAACCTCCGAGACCCTCCCCAATGATCATCGATACTGTCTCCTTCCCCCATCCCAGGTCGGTGAAAATGCACTAAAGGACGAGACATCTGAAATCTCATCAAATTCTCTATCCCGCCTCCTCCCATCCGAATCTGAGGCTTCAGAGACAGCGTCGTCTTCCGGGTCATAAGAATTATCGAATGGCATTCTTGCCAACCGCACCGTTCCCCGTGACGGCGACCTTAGTTCCTGCTCTGTAGCACTCCTCCTGTGGTCCAATGAAACAGCAACGGCAAGCCCAATCTCCGTACTAGAGTCATTTGGTCCTGGGCCCTGAGATACCGGCATACGGCGCGTAGAGCTGGGACTAGGACTTGGATCACGACTTTGTCCATCTATAGAAGGCGGAACATTGAGCACTGGCGTCCTTGATAGAGGGACTGCTGCTGTTGTTGTTTGTGGCCCCGGGGATAGCGCTGCATGTATGGGCGAGACCACTAGCTCTTGGGTTGAGACGGCTGTTGTTTGACTTGTTGCCATGTCGTAAGGGGTTGGCATGTTGTGGCGTTCTTTTGCACGACGGCGGCGTCGTGTGAGGAATATTATCAATGCTATTATTAAGGCTATGCCTACTATCGATATCGGGACTGCGATTGCAATTTTCGTCTTTGTTGAGGTGCCACCTGAGTAGGAGCCAGGCTCGGTTGTTACTGAGTTTGATTTTGTCTGTTCGGTTGTTTGTTCGGACGCTGAAGAAGTCGTGGCGGAGAACACAGCGGTGGTTGATAATGTCGATGTAGAAGATGCGATAGAGATCAAAGATGAAGTTGTTGAAGTCGTTGAAGTTGTTGGCTGAGATGTAGTTGAAGTTGATGTTGCCCATGATGTATTTGTAGGCTCTGTTGGAGTACTAGTCTCCGTGTTGGTCTCCATGGTTGAGGTCACGCTGGCTGGAAGTGCAGTTACAGGCTCACCAGGAGAAAAAGGCTGCGAGCTTGCTAGCAGGACACTGTTGGGTAATGCGTTCTCCGTTGTCGTAGTCTCCGATGATGCGGCTATGTCGGCAGTTTGACCGATTGATGGAGTGACCGCTAAGTCCGCCAAAGAACTCACATATTGTCTGGCGAAGTCCTCCTGCTTGAATAAGTCTTCCATCCTAGGCTCCAAAAATATGGGGAAGGGTCCCACCATAGTTGAAGATAGTATAGCAAGTTGGGCAGCGCGATTTCCCCGGCACAGTGGTTTTATGTGAGGGCTCGAAGGCGAATCGGACAAAGAACCACCAGAAAGAAGACGAAAGGCGAGCAGCACTGGAAATATCCCATTCACCACCACTTTGAATAATGTCAGCTGATCTTTGAAGCCGTCAAGGAAATGATTTTCAAATCAGATGCGAAAGAGTACGAGTGCGAGATCATGTATGGGAGAAAATGTAGATTGTAAATCGTCACAGAGTCGTCCACAGTCCACGTACGGTCCCCCAAGGCCCCAAGGCGGGGTTTTACAGGAAGCACTGCCCTCAAGCAAACTGGGGTCCAACAAAGAAGCGCTACGAGGCGCTGCGGTCGGCGTCAATGGAAATCACATACTCGAGACTTTTTGGGTGTAAGCTCTAATTTATCGCTCTATAGAAGAACATTTGAAATATCTATGAATGAACACTTGCATCCTCGAGCGCACTGAAGCAATGATTCTGTTCATGAGGCTCAGGTGCAAATGCTATTTTTAATGACGTTCGCGCGCTAAGATGAGGCCACGTAGGATCGGCGTTAGCCCTAACTGTTTTGCGTTTAGCGGCCAGTTGGAGCGCAAAGTACATGTAAGGCATACGAAGTTGATGTTATTATTGGATTGTGACTGCTTTGACGATGACGGGTATACGAATGTACAAAAAGCCAATGTATAATTCTGTTTTATGAAAGGCCACGCTCTCTTAGATAAATTCTTAGTTCCTGGGCCATTATCACAACCCCGCCATAGCCCTCCCTTCATTCACGGGCTTTGTTGGATCGGAGTTGTACTCTAGATTTTTCCTTCTATTCTCAGACAAAATTATCAAAATCGTCACCAATTTCAAGGAGCATCCTGCATAACAACGGGCAAAGATGTGATTTTCCGACTAGCCCTCAACTAAGCCCATTCTCAGAGCTATGGGTCCGATAAAACTTAAGCACTAGTACCTCAGAGTTAACATAGGCTTTCAGATCGCTGCTCTTATACAGCCCACGCCGGAAGTTCTCCGTAAAGAAATTCGCAAATGCGGCTTCTTGTTGGACGCCCTTTGGTATGAATATAACTCTATCTCCGACCCTTATTAATAGCCTCCACCAGACTACGGGGACATTGATGGTTTTAAATGCAGGGCGTTATCTCGTGAATTTCCTCTGAGAAATTGTATGATTTGATTATGTGCCCTATATTAGGGCGAAGTCAAGCCTTGCTAACCATGTTCCTCGCTCAGGTAACAACTGGTACTGAGTCGTTGAGAATGATGACTGCGCTAATATTGCTAGCAAGTTCGGCATTACCAAGGAAAATTGCTATCAGATGAACCCTGCCACAGGATCAACCTGCTCGAGCCTGTCGTTATTAAAATTATGACTACGTCGGCGTATCAGGTCGGTACATCTTATTCAACCCGCAGGCCCGAACATCAACCCGATATGCCTAACAACCACCAAGTCTCACTGTCTTATCCTCTTCGCCGTGATGACTGTACCAAGACCATGATACAAAAACATCGACATGGACATGGACAGCATCTACTACATCAACCACATCCGGGGGCGCCTCCAACAGGAAGCAGAACCGTACCTGACTGCGTTGAGTACTACGAAGCCCAGTCCGGGGACAGCTGCTAGTCCATCGTCAAGGAAAATATACGTATCTGACCCATACGCTATTCACCGATTGGAATCCCTCTCTTGGCGAGGCATGTAACTTTCTCCATGATCAATACTAGTGTGTTGCTTGGTTAGTGAGTTCAAGACGGAATTGGCCCCCAAATCTAGGCTTCACTGATCTGTTTAGCGCATGCAGATCTTCGGTCTTGCGGGGCCGAAGGTTTGCAGGTGCAGCCTGAATCCTCTACTGCACTTGCGAGTAAAAGAGTGGGAGTCGATACGTGTATTGACTCGTAAAATCTTGATTTAGCTCAGTAACTTCAATTCTCGAGACCGCGGGGTTGGGGGCCGTACTTTGGCCATGGCGGGCAGAGAAAGTTTGATCCCTGTCCATATCTAGCGTTTGCCTGGCGTACAAAGTGAATAGCAGAACGATAGGAGTAGGACCCTTCAGAAGACTAAAAGTTAATGGAGCATAAAGAACAATTGGTGCTGTGTCTATCAAGGCTTGTGCCAAGGACTTTCTCTCACCGTCTTGGTATAGTAAGTCATGTGTCGCGTCGAGGTTCACACCGACGATCTATAAACGATAAACGAGAAACGAGTACCCAGTCGTTTCAAGTTGATTGGTCTCTTTTCCAACCCCTGCTAGCGTGCGATGCGCATGTAACAGTAGTAAGACAATATGCTTAGCAAATAACAGACCAAACAAGAGAAAAGGCAAATTGTTGTGGGGCGTAGAGATCGATTAGTAGGCTTTTCGCCTGATATGCCACCCCCAGTGCCCGTTCAAAAGGACCTTCGTCCCCTGCACCCTCTGCCTTTCTTGGGAACTATCCCCATTTCCATCCCCTGCCTACCATTCTTTTTAAGTTTCTTACCAGCAATATGGTTGAAGTCCACGATTACACCAAGGCTCTGGAGGTGCTCAAAGAGTATCCTTCTGGAGATGGCCTCCACGTCGATACCCTTCTCGACTCGGACAGCCATGGAGCCTTGACTTATAATGACTTCCTCGTCCTCCCCGGCTCTATCAGTAAGGCAATAAATTGCATTACTTTGGTCACTAGCTCTAACCCCGCCCACAGCTTTCCCAGTGTCGGAGGTTTCTTTGGATACCAAAGTAACCAGGCGGTTCACCATCAAGGCTCCCCTCTTGTCTTCTCCTATGGACACCGTCACTGAGCACAAAATGGCTATCCATATGGCTCTTTTGGGTGGTCTGGGCGTTATTCACAATAACTGCCCGCCAGATGAGCAAGCTGAAATGGTGAGAAAGGTGAAACGCTATGAAAATGGCTTCATCTTGGACCCTGTTGTTCTGTCTCCAACGACGACTGTCGAAGAGGCAAAAGAGCTAAAGGTCAAATGGGGATTTGGCGGGTTCCCGGTGACTGGTTAGTTAAGTATTTTTGTTTTGTTGTTTTTTTTTTTTTTTTTTCCAGTGATCCTTACTTCGATATAATCACAGAAAAGGGAACCCTCCACTCGAAGCTTCTTGGAATTGTCACCAATAGAGACATCCAGTTCCACAAGACGCCCGGGGAACCCGTCACAGCCGTTATGACAACCGACCTCGTCACTGCGCCGGCAGGCACCACACTTTCCGAAGCCAACGAGGTTCTCCGGAGCTCGAAGAAAGGCAAGCTGCCAATTGTGGACAAGCACGGATGCTTGATTTCACTGCTCTCCCGGAGTGACTTGAGGAAAAACATTCATTTCCCCCTGGCATCAAAACTGCCATCCAAGCAGCTACTCTGCGCAGCAGCCGTGAGCACCCATGACGCGGACAAGGTCCGACTTCAAAAGCTCGTCGAAGCGGGACTGGACATTGTCGTTGTGGACAGTAGCCAGGGACACAGCACGTACCAGATCAACATGGTTAAATACATCAAGGAGACCTTCCCCAATATTGACGTTATCGCGGGTAATATCGTCACCCGGGAGCAAGCCGCGGCGTTGATTGCTGCGGGTGCAGATGGTCTGCGCATTGGTATGGGCAGTGGTTCCGCTTGCATCACGCAGGAGGTTATGGCCGTTGGACGTCCCCAGGCTGCAGCTGTTCGCAGTGTGTCTGTCTTTGCTGCCCGATTTGGCGTTCCTACTATTGCGGATGGTGGTGTCCAGAACCTGGGCCATATTGTGAAAGGGCTTGCCTTAGGCGCCTCGGCTGTGATGATGGGAAGTCTGCTCGCTGGTACCACAGAGTCTCCTGGTGAATACTTTGTGAGCAATGAAGGTCAGCTGGTTAAGGCTTTCCGTGGTATGGGTAGTATTGCGGTCATGGAGGACAAGAGCAAGAGTGCCGGCGGCAAGAACGCCGGTGCTTCGCGTTACTTCTCCGAGAATGATAAGGTTAAGGTTGCACAGGGTGTTGCGGGCTCTGTTATCGATCGTGGCTCTATCACTCAGTACGTCCCTTACCTTATTGCTGGTGTGCAGCATTCTCTCCAGGATATCGGAGTCCAGAACCTTTATGCCTTGCGTGATGGCGTGAACAAGGGATCGGTTCGCTTTGAGATGAGAAGTGCTAGTGCGCAGACCGAGGGCAATGTGCATGGCTTGCACAGCCACGAGAAGAAGCTATGCTCTTCTTAAAAGGCGGCTGTCTGTTGTCCCCGTATCTTGTCCAGAGTTCAATTCGTTCTGTATGCAAAAAGCAACAACAAAGTTAGTTAATACACTCATACAACTCTCTTGTCGGTCTACCAAACTAGACATACTATGTACTATATGAGCTATTTACCAAGCAACTGTGAGTGCAGTGAGAGTAGCCTTGCTCCTTTGTACTCCGGAAGAGCCTAGTGAGGGTTATATTGCATCACGTCGATCGGAAACGACCTCGTAAACTAGACGCCAAAAACAGTGTCGTACGTAGCTATCTTTGTTTAATATTGATTCAGATAGTGATAATGGACCGACTACATTCGAGCAGAAGGTAATATGCACTCTGAGCAGACAAACTGTGGCCTGAAAATGTGGAGCATTTCTAAATTTGAGCTTAGTATACAATAGTGTCGAAGATATATCCAATCAGATTCCAATGATTGTAGGGTTGACAGCTTTCCCCACTGCTTTCTTTGCAACTGCTATACGGAGTACTCCTTACTGAGATTTCTATCTGCTCAGTTGCAAATAAGATTAGATCGCCTTCTTCCATCTCTTTCCATCTGAATATCTTGCCCAATTGGGGCACCACGTGACCGAGTGGGGATATATCGTCACAGCTGCGCGGCCGCTTGGAGACTGTCACCCCGCACTCTGCAGCACAATGAGTGGCTTTCGCAATGTTATGAAGGATGGCTGGCATCCAAAAGGCAAGGAAGGAGGTAAAGAGAGCTGGCGCGGTGATTTCAAGGGAATTAACCAAGTGGTAAGCCAACCCCTCTTTTGCTCACTTCTCGGCCATTGACGTTTGCTAGGCTGGATGGATGGGAAAGGGCAGAGACCCTGACTCTGATCGCTCTGAACATGTCTCTCAACCTCTGTCCTCTCTGAAAGACCCCTCGTCATTCGGACCACCCCCAAAGCATATCAATTACCACGGCGCTGCCGCAGTGCCGAACCAGACTACACCCGATCATCGGGGGATTGGAGCTCCGCTGTCCCAGGATCAGATTAACGCCCAGAATGCCCACCAACAGCAGCTAGCCCAAGAAGAGGAGGAAGAGGCCCAGAAGCCCGCACCTCCTCCAGTTCCATACCGCGTCAACACCACCGGCCTCTCTACGGACAATCTCCCTCCACCGCCCGTGCGGCGAATGGACTCACCCGCCGGCTCGACTACGAGTTCAGCCTCGAAGCCGAAAGCACCCCCAAAGCCACCGCCCCGACTTCCCGCTCGCAACGGTTCCCCCGCGTCCCAGAGCTCCGACCCACCCCCAGCTTATTCCCCCACACAGCAGCCGCTTTCACATGATTACATCAACCAAGATGCTACATCCCGCCTCGCAAACGCTGGCGTTTCAGTTCCCGGGTTTGGAATTGGAGGGCAGGGTGCTCAGCAATCTCAAGCGCCTGTCAATGAGCTGCAATCGAGGTTCTCCCAGATGAAAACGAACTCGGGATCTCCCGGGCCTGCGCCGCCGCCTCGGGCATCGACGAATCCTGAATCACCCGCAGGTGGTAGCTCTTCGATTCAGAATTTCCGCGATCGCCATGCGGGCAAGATTGATGCTGGCAAGCAGAAGTATACTAACTTCCGCGAGCAGCATGCCGATAGTATCGATTCAGGGAAACAGAAAGTGGGCGATTTCCGTGAGCGCCATGCTGATACCATCGACTCTGGCAAGCAGAAGTACGGTGATTTCCGGGAACGCCATGCCGACAAGTTCGACGCTGGCAAGCAGAAGTACGGCGATTTCCGTGAACGTCACGCCGACTCCATCGACGCTGGCAAGCAGAAGATGAGCGGTGCCGCGTCGAGTCTCAGTTCCCGCTTTAGTGGCTCTTCCGCACCTCCCCCGTCGGCCCGGGCCTCGACGGATCAGAGCATGAACCTGGAGCCGGCAGAGCCCGCGCGGGGTACCTCTTCTGTGCAGAGTTTCCGTGAACGCCACGCAGACAAGATCGACATGGGTAAAGAGAAGTGGGGGGTGTCACTTCGCGGTTCAACACATTTGTCGAGGATCGCAAGTTCGATGCCAGTGCTAATAGGCGTGTCCCTCGACCGCCTTCCCACTCTATGGCCCAGTCGCCTTCCCCTGCGCCATCGCCTACAGATCCGGATATTCAAAGTCAGGCCCAGCGCAAGAAGGCCCCTCCCCCGCCTCCACCGAAGCGGGCGGAAATTCGTGCGCCAGCCGTGGACTCCCCTTCATCTCCGGCGCCTCCTCCCATTCCTCATGGCACCAAGCCCCGCTGAGGAGTTTGTACTTTTAGCTGTAAATACTTGGCACCCAAATCTTAGATAGGAGGTATCATGCAAAGACGAATTTGTCAGACATATCCCAGGCTCTCACGTTCGTAGTTCACGCAGCCCTATCTTGGAAGTATGACCGAGGCTACATGTGATGATCCGCGCCTCCGATCTCATATTGATCAAGCTGTTGGGGGATGGCCAAGACAATCCCAACAAGATGATCCTGACCGGCCTATGCAGTTGCATTGACTTCTGAGACCGCTTCTCCAAGTGTATCTACATACACGTACTGTACTGCAGGGCTGTGTTGCCTGCACGAGGAGATGAGTCAGCAACTCTCCCCACCTGCACCTGCTGGTGGGCAAATTCTTATTGTGTGACTGTCTATTCCGATCATCTGGAGGTACGGAACATCTGAGATTGGTGGCTCTGTGCATTGCACGGATGGTTTATGCTACATCCCTTGAATCATCGGTGTGGTTGACCATGGCAATGCCTGATTCAGATGTTGGTTGAGTCGCGTGGATCTGGGGAATGCGGAGAGAAGAGGTTATTCACCAGAGTACGCCACAGTCAGAGAGACGAGAGCCGAGATATCAGACACGAGATTCCAGGTTTCCAGGTTTCCAGGTTTCCAGGATCACATAAATGCTACATGGCACATTGTTGACGTACGATGACATCTACTCTACGATTGAGACCTCGGCTCACCCAAAATCCCAACAAACTCGGGGCTCCACCGGGATCGGCCGCAGCTTGCCTTGTTGAGAATTTAAACATGGCAGTTTGGCTGGTGGATCCTTGGGAACGCTTTCTTTGGTCTTTTGGTCTTCCGCTTCCTGGCTTTTTTTTCTCTTTCTTATATCTCCGTGCAGCTCTCCTCCTTCTGAATCTCTATACGCGCGAAAAGCTCCGGAGAGGGCACCATGCACGACTTCAACGTCCCCACCGAGATGGGCCAGGCCACTGTTCGCATCGGCCTCCCACCTGCCTCCCTCCTCAACTTTCCTCCCAACGAGCTCCCAGTGACAATCCCCGCGCCTCACGTCGCTACGCCGACGTGGAAGCAACCCTTCAACATTCCCAATGACCTCTACAACCAAGTTTTGGACGTCCGGGTACCAATCACAATTGCCACCGTTTATGCCCTGACCGTGGTTTTGGTCAATCGCATCAACAAGAGCCGCGGGTACAAGCCCTATGCGTTCAGCAACACCCGCTTGTTCAAGCTGTTCGTTATCCTACACAATGTCTTCCTGGCTGTATACTCCGCATGGACCTTCGCAGGCATGCTCCAGGCCTTCAGAAGCTCCTTCCCCGACAGCGATGATCCCCACGGCCTTGTCGGTGTCGTAGACTCGCTCTGCAAGATCAATGGTCCCCGCGGTTACGGCAATGCGGCTACCTACAGCCCCATCACCAACGAGTGGTCTATCCCCAACCCGGCTTACCACTTGACCAACGGTATGCCCGACTCTACTGATATTGGTCGCCTGTGGAACCAGGGTCTTGCTTACTTCGGCTGGCTCTTCTACCTGTCCAAGTTTTACGAGGTTGTTGATACGGTGATCATTCTGGCCAAGGGCAAGAAGAGCTCCACCCTGCAGACCTATCACCACGCCGGCGCGATGATGTGCATGTGGGCCGGTATCCGTTACATGGCACCTCCGATCTGGATCTTCTGTCTGGTCAACTCGGCCATTCACGCGATGATGGTAAGTCGGGCAATTGTCGATTCTAGCGGTAAGATTGTATACTGACTTTTCTTTAGTACACCTACTATACCATTACGGCCCTGCGCATTCGCGTCCCCAACCCCATCAAGCGCAGCTTGACCACTATGCAGATCACCCAGTTCGTTTTCGGAACTAACATGGCTGCTGCCTACCTCTTCGTCCATTACACTATTCCCTACCCCTCTGGCAGCCCTGCCCTGAGCCACCTGACTCAGGCAGCCGCCTCCGCCGCCGCTTCCCCCGTCGAGGCTGGCATGGTTCCCTGGCTCAAGAAGCTGGCCTTCCGTGCTGCTGGTGCCGAAGGTCTCGCTGAGAACGTAGGCACCACTGGCACCGCACCCATCCAGGAGTCTGGATACTCCCACGAGATGGTGACCTGCATGGACACTACCGGCCAGGCCTTCGCGATCTGGCTTAATGTCTCCTATCTTCTACCCCTGACATACCTCTTCGCGCGCTTCTTTGTCCGCTCCTACTTGAACCGCAAGGACCCTGGTGTGAAGCAGCCCACGCATATGGAAGCCGCCGAGAAGGCCGGAATGGACGCACTGAAGAGCCTCAGTCGTGAAATCCGCAGGGCCGCCATTGAGGGCGAGAACAGTGAAGTCACCACCGACGACGAGGTCCTCAAGGCCCAAGTCCAGAAGATCGTGGAGAAGACCGGCACCGCGGACTCGCCAGTCCGCACGCGCTCCACTGCTGCGACCAAGGCAAAGTCTTCCTCGACTTCTTCTAGCCGATCGGAGTCTGAAGAGGGGTTTTCCACCGTCCCCGCCAAGAAGGGGGCTAAGAAGCAGAAGTCTGAGAAGTCATCTGCTCCCAGTGCCCCCGAGACCAAGGGTGAGAACCCCTTCGGTGTTCTTGGTAACGATGCTTAAATGCTTTTTGGCAAAGCATTGCTTTTCCTTGCCGCATAACTTTGGAGTTTTGGGGGTTAAAAAAAATTCACGATCTGATGCCCAGCATGGTGGGAATATAATCCCATCGCTTGCTTGTGCTTTCGGCACGCCGTTCAGCTTTTTCCGGCAGGTGTATGGGTCTCGCTGCGTTGTGTTTTGCCAATGGCACGCCCGGAAACTGGTTAGTGTCTAGGCAATATACGGGGCAATGTCTTCTCCCGGGACTAGCTCATCTCCGGGCTGTTAGACTTGCCAACGGCTTTTTGGAGGAATTGATTGTTTTTCCAGCGTGCTCTGTCTTTGTTATTTGGACATATTTGTAGTTTTTTCTATTAGCAAAGGATCTGGGTTGTATATTATAGCAAAAGACCAAAAGTGATTCTCACCAACTTACCCCAACCTCCGCATTGATCCACCAGGGGCAGTTAGCTGCTTCGAAATCGCGCAACCTGAATGGAGGAAAAACCCCGGGATTAACACCGGAAATTCGACAAATGCAGCACAAGAGGGGAAGCCATCTTGACTCTAAAATCAAGTGGCTGTTTGTGCATATACCCCTCGACCTGAGGCGAAATCTCCCTTCCAAATCCCGGAGTATAAATTAAGCCAGCATGGTCGCCTCAATTCCACTCGCCATCGCAATTCCAGCGGTGCATTGTCCACCATGGCACGCATCATCAATTGCCTGCTTCTCCTCCTGGCCTGCCTTGGCACCTCAATCCAAGCAAACGATCAAGCCGTCACCCAATGGCCCCTGCAAGATGACGGACTAAACACAGTCGTCCAATGGGACCACTATAGTTTCCAAATCAACAGCCAACGCATCTTCATCTTCTCCGGCGAATTCCACTACTGGCGCATCCCAGTTCCAGATCTATGGCGCGACATCCTGGAAAAGATCAAAGCAGCAGGCTTCACAGCCTTCGCCTTCTACTCTAGCTGGGCTTACCATGCTCCAAACAACGCAACCATCGACTTCACAACCGGCGCTCACGATATCACTCCCATCTTCGAGCTCGCCAAGGAACTCGGTCTCTACATCATCGTCCGGCCAGGTCCCTATGTCAACGCCGAAGCCAGTGCTGGCGGTTACCCCTTGTGGTTGACTACCGGCGAATATGGGACCCTGCGCAATAATGATACTCGCTATACAAAGGCGTGGACGCCGTATTTCACTAAGATGTCTCAGATCACTAGCCGCTACCAGGTTACTGATGGGCATAACTCCATTGTTTATCAGATCGAGAATGAGTATGGGAATCAGTGGGAAGGTAGTGCTTCTCTGCGTGTGCCCAATGAAACCGCTATTCATTATATGGAGTTGTTGGAGGCTAATGCCCGTGCTAATGGCATTACCGTGCCTCTCACGGCCAATGATCCCAATATGAATTCTCACTCGTGGGGAAGTGACTGGTCGAATGAGGGAGGGAACGTCGATGTTGCAGGTGTTGATTCTTATCCTTCGGTATGTATATGTATCGTGCCAGCTACCGGAAAGAAAGAAAGAGAATGGATAGTCAACTAACACTCCGCAGTGCTGGACGTGCGATCTCAGCCAATGCACCTCCACCAACGGCGCCTACGTCCCCTTCCAAGTAATGGACTACTACAGCTACTTCGAAGAATCCCAACCCAACATGCCAGGCTTCATGCCCGAATTCCAAGGCGGCTCCTACAACCCCTGGGGCGGACCTGAGGGCGGCTGTCCAGAAGATATCGGCGACGACTTCGCCAACCTCTTCTACCGCTGGAACATCGGCCAACGCGTCACAGCCATGAGTCTGTACATGCTCTTCGGAGGAACGAACTGGGGAGCCATTGCTGCGCCTGTCACTGCCAGCAGTTACGACTATTCCGCTCCTATCTCTGAGGACCGCTCTATTGGCTCGAAGTACCATGAGACCAAACTGCTGGCTCTGTTCACGCGCTCTGCGCGCGATCTAACTATGACTGATCTTGTGGGGAATGGGACGCAGTACACGGATAATGTTGCTGTTAAGGCCTTTGAGCTGAGGAATCCTGAGACGAACGCTGGTTTCTATGCTACCTTCCATACTAATACTTCCATCTCCACGAATGAGGCTTTCCATTTGAAGGTTAATACTTCGGTTGGGTTGTTGACTATCCCGAAACATGCTAGCACTCTTCGTTTGAATGGGCATCAGTCGAAGATTATCGTTACGGATTTCACATTCGGGTCGAAGAAGCTGCTTTACTCTACCGCTGAGGTCTTGACATATGCTGTCTTCGATAAGACACCTACTCTTGTGCTTTGGGTTCCTACCGGCGAGTTGGCTGAGTTCTCTATCAAGGGTGCAAAGAGCGGATCTGTGAAAAAGTGCCAGGGTTGCTCGAGTGTCCAGTTCTACAAGGAGAATGGTGGCTTGACAGCTGCGCTCGCGCAGGGCAAGGGATCAACTGTTTTGGACATAGATGGTATTCGGGTTGTCGTGCTTGATCGGTCGTCTGCTTATGAGTTCTGGGCTCCTGCTCTAACTGATGATCCGTTTGTCCCGGAAACGGAAGCTGGTATGTATTTGGCATGTCAATTGCGATATTCGAATGCTGATCTTTTGGTATAGTTCTTGTTCAAGGCCCTTACCTTGTTCGTGGAGCCAAGTTGAATGGTTCCAAGCTTGCTATCACTGGTGACATTGTTAATGCGACTACGCTGGAAGTGTTTGCGCCGAAGGCTGTCAAGTCCGTTACTTGGAATGGAAAGTCTATTAAGACTAAGTCTACTGAGTACGGAAGTCTCAAGGCCTCGCTTGATGCACCAAAGTCCATCAAGTTGCCGGCTTTCTCCTCGTGGAAGGCAAAGGACAGCCTGCCTGAACGATTCGCTGATTATGATGATTCTGGTGTCGCTTGGGTTGGTAAGTTACTCTTTTCAACGCGGAAGTCGCAGGCCAAATTATTCATAACTAATAACTCACAGATGCCAACCATATGACCACGCTGAACCCTCGAATCCCGACATATTTGCCTGTTCTATACGCAGACCAATACGGCTTCCACAATGGTGTCCGTCTGTGGCGCGGATACTTCAACGGAACAGCAACAGGAGCATTCATCAACGTGCAAGGAGGATCCGCCTTGTAAGTTCCATCTCCCTCCTAAAGGCCAATATAAAACCCCACTAACATCTCAACAGCGGCTGGTCCGCCTGGCTAAACGGCGCCTTTTTGGGCTCCTACCTCGGTGACGCCAACACCGCCCAAGCAAACCTAACCCTCTCGTTCGCCAATGCAACCCTAAGCACTACAACCCCCAACGTCCTCCTCATCGTCCACGATGACACAGGCCACGACCAAACAACAGGGGCCCTCAATCCGCGCGGTATCTTCGACGCCAGCCTCCTCAACTCCACATCCGGCTTCACGCACTGGCGTCTGGCCGGTACAGCCGGCGGCGAATCAAACCTCGACCCAGTCCGCGGCGTCTGGAACGAAGACGGTCTCTACGGCGAACGTGTTGGATGGCATTTACCCGGATTCGATGATTCAGCTTGGAAAACCACCTCCAGCAAGAGTAACAGCAAGGGAAAGAGTATCCTGTCCTTCGAAGGCGCAACAGTCCGCTTCTTCCGAACAACAATCGACCTCTCACTCCCCTCTGAACACGATATCTCCATTTCATTCGTTCTCTCCACGCCAGCTGGAACGACGAATGCCTACCGTGCTCAGTTGTTTGTTAATGGGTATCAGTATGGTCGTTATAACCCCTTCATTGGGAATCAGGTTGTTTACCCCGTTCCTGTGGGCATTTTGGATTATAATGGGGAGAATACTATTGCTATTGCGGTTTGGGCGCAGAGTGACGAGGGTGCTAGTATTGGTGTTGAGTGGCGGGTTGATTATTTGGCGGATAGTTCGTTGGATGTTGCTTCGTTTGAGACCGGGGGTTGAGGCCTGGGTGGGATAAGGGGAGGGTTAAGTATGCTTGATTTGTAGATGGTTGGGTTAAAAATAAGGTAATGAGCGTGAATTATCTCTCATAGTGGAATAATATATTAGTATAATATGCATACAGCATCTTTCGATTGTATAAGTAGTGCGACTCATAATTTGTGAAGACAAACAGAAGAGGATTATCATCGCCCAAGTCTAAGAAGGGAACAGTTCCATTCTATCTAGATACTCTAATCCTCCGTATTCTGGGCATTGTATAATAGACTCCGCATAGCCTTCCCCTCGTTGCTAGAGACTACATTTCCCGTAGACTAGAGTAAGAGATCCACCTTATACCAAGAACCGGAACCCACGACGACTTCCCTCGCCAGGGACCGCCCCCTCAACCTCCTCGCCACGATCAAGCTTGTTATTAAGACGAACCAGCATGAACCGCAGAACGGTAGCCGCAACAATCGCAATAAAAGCCGTCGCACAATTAACAGACATAGCAGGCACTGGAATAGAAGTTAGCAGGCAATCATCCAAGACAATCCAAATAGCAAAACTTACCAAAACGCGGCTTATCACTATTGGGATACATATAGCTAGCATAAATACTGCTAGCATTACTAACGCAGTTAATAGCAGCGAGCGCAGCAGCACGTTTCGCCGCTGGACGAGGCAAAGTATTCGAAATCCAACCCAGCGCAACAACATAACCGGAATAGAACGATGGAACCATAAGCATCATCGAAACATAGCGCGGCGCCGTACCGGTCGTTGTAGCTGCGATGATGAATGCCACGACGGAGAGGTATAGAGGCAATGTAACATGGAAATAGCGCTCGCCGGTCCGATCCGCATGCCAGGCATTAGCGAACGCGCAGAAGACAGCGAGACAGTATGGCGGGGCTGTGAGGAGGAGGGTCTCGATTTTTCCGTAATTTAGTGTCTCGACGACAGTCGGGAAGAAGTTTGTTACTGAGGCTGAGGAGACGATGCACAGGATCATCAGCATCAAGACCCAGGTTTTGATATCCGCGAAGGCGAGTTTGGCGCCGTGGAGGAAGGTTTGTTGTTCGCTATCGACCCAGTCGTCTTCACCGATATCTTCTTCCAAGCGCCAGACGGCGAGTTCTTTTTCTTCTTCCGTGAGCCAGCCTGTTGTGCGTGGGAAATTTGGGAGGACGAAGACGGCGGCGACGGCGACGACGATTGTGATTGCGCCTTCAATTATAAAGAGCCAGCGCCAGGCGCGTAGGCCGAGCACGTTGTCCATGTTTCTTGTTATTCCTGCTGCTATCAGGCCAGAGAATGCACCTGAGAGCAGGGAACCGGAGTATAGGGCTGCTGTGCGGAATCCTAGTTCTTTGCGGGTGTACCAGGCACTTAAGAAGTAGAGACAGCCTGGGAAGTAGGCTGCTTCGACGAAACCGAGGAAGAATCGGATTACGACGAGGCCCGCGTAGCTTGAGGCTGCTGCTGTGGCTGTTGAGATTATTCCCCAGAGCACCATTGCGGCGGGTAGGTAGAGGGCTGGTTTGCCGAATTTGTTTAGCATTAGGTTGGAGGGGATCTGCATTAGCAGGTATCCGACAAAGAGGATGCTGACACAGGTTGCGAATTGGTTTCCAACTAGTCCTAGGTCTTCTTCGAGGCCTGCTAGGCGGGCTGAGGCGATGTTGTTTCGGTCGAGGTAGTTGAGGATGTACATGAGGATGATCATAGGTAAGAGGCGGATGTCAATCTTGCGGACGAGGGCTTTTTCTGCCTTCGTGCGTTCTTCGGGCGTGAGAGTGGCCACCGACGCTGGGGCTTCTTTCTGGGCGTTTGGCTTGTCGGCATTGGCGATGACTTCGATATTGTTGATGTTTGCTTTGTCGATATCGCCGGCTTCGATGTCTGAAGTTCTGGGAGACATCTTGTACGAATGATGCTCCAAAGAGCAGAAAGATGGCGGAAGAGAAGGATATAAGTATTGAACCACCGAGCTAACTCGAAAGTATGGACAGAGAAGATAGTCAGATACCAGAGAAAGCAAGGGGTATAAGAATGGAAGAAAAAGCCGCAAGACGAACACAATCTCGGCAACAACTCGGGGTGACCTGCACTCTCAGACTACTTATACTCCGGAAATATCAAGACATGTGGCGCGCAAGGCCAATGGCCCGAGGGGAAACCCCGGGTTTGGGAGGGACTGAGATGCAACCCTCGGTCTTAATAGTACCCCAGGCCGGGCTCCATTCGCTCCGCGGACAGACAAACTAGTCCGTTGGGGATGGGGTCATGCAAGGCAGGGCCAATGGTGGCCATGATACCCCGGGATAGAGCGGGATGCAAAGACCGGGGAAATGCAGACCCCAGACATGTCCCGATTTCAGTGTACTTTTGGTGGTGCTGGAAGTAGAGAGAATTGTACACTTGCGTTGATGAAGGCAAGATCGCCCCGCGTGGGGGTCACCGCTTGTCTTCGTATCGAAGCGTTTTGTTTTGAGGCTTGACCTGAAATAGGTAGCATTTCACCCAGCGTGGGGGTCCTGGGCCCTGCTGACAACTATTTTCTCATCAGGCTTTTTTCATTACTGGAAGTTCAAGGCGATGGAGATGATTGGTTTTGTTTAGGTTAGGAATGTTGGCATGGTGGCAACCATGATTATTTGGAGGAAGTATAGACCGATGGGCAACACAGACGTCTCCAGACTGAGATTGAAAACATGCTTTTACGATCTAGGTACGTACATTTGCATTTGTCATACCTTTCTCATTGCCAGTAGTTGGCCGACATGTTTCGGAAGATGTATGTGTGAAAAAATGGTGTTTGTAGACATTTAGATACTAACATATTCCCATCTAGCTATATCAAAGCCAGCTCAACAAAAGACCTACAATTTACTACGCAACACTAGAATGCCAGACAAATATATCCATCCCACTATCAAACCTCATAGAATTCCACAGGCACCACCCCGAATCCAACAACCCCCACGCATTCTAATAGAAGTATGCAAGTACACATATCAAATAAAGGATCAACCTGTCGATCACGTCAGTCAATGGCATGAATGACAGATCCCACTCCCGATGTTTTACCGATATTTCGGTTTCCCGATTCCTCATTCCTTTCGGGTCCTCTCATCATAGCATCTCGCTCCGGTGTCTCGGCATGTTCTTTGCCGATGATATTGGAATTGAGATCAGTAGAGGATTAGATTGGAACGCGGCATTTCTTATTTCTGCTTGTATTTGGATTCGCCTTCTGGGGGTTATGCGTCAAACTTTGTTGCTGAGGGTATTGTTATGGGATAGAGGTCGTGGAGATGGGTCAGCGCACACTTGCCAACAGTATAGGAGTATCTACAGTACCTCTCAACTCGAACTATACAGTACAGCTAGACAGATGAAGAACAACAAGATCCATTGTGTCAGTACTGACACATCCACCTATTAACCACAATTACGAAACAAACGAAAGATACAGAACGATGCAAACGAAATGCAAGAAAGGCTCAAGTGTGTATTTCAAAGTAGAGCTCGGAGATAGATATGAAAGGGCCCAGACATGACCATGACAGGAGAAACGATGTGCTAGAAGACAAGAGAAGATAGAAAGAGGATGAAAAACGAAAAAAAGGGAAAGAACTGCCCAGTACCCACGCTCCCAATATTCAATGACAATGATTCAGATGCACGATGCAGGAAAGAGAGGAATGAAATGAAACAGAAAAGGAAACAGAGAGGAACAAGGACTGCCACACCGATTAGACGGCAAGAACTTTCATTAGATCAAGATCAACCAAGACATGGAGCTCGAAGTGAACAGTCCTGATTGTTTTGGTGCTGGTACATGCAGGAGAGACCATTAAGATTTCGAGAAAGCCGCACCGTTTTTTGTTTTGTTTGGTACTTTTGCCGCCGGAAGCACGAATGTTATGGTCAAATCGCTGGAGTGTATGGATCCTTGATATCAATTAAGGCCCGCTCAGATGCCATATCTTATGTTTGCGAGGAAGAAATCATCAAACACCAGTCGCCGGAATTGATGCATGTCTATGGACAGAATGTGAGCTCGATCACTGCCCTGAAATCGCTTGCTGATGGACAAGTACCGAGCCATGCAAAGAAACTCCCGCCCAGAACTTAAATGAAGTGCGTGTAGATCTTGGAATTCTCATGAACTTCCATCTCCTGCGAGATTGTTAGTATGCGATTACACTATGAGCAATGCCTGTACTCACCATTTTGAAGTTGTTGATCTCCTCCCGAATCTGCTGAGCAAGCAGCGGAGTGAGACGGTTGCAGGTCGCAATCTCTCCACGTCGGTCGTACTCGCCGCTAGGCCAGGTTTCGTGGAACTGAATGCGAGGGCTGAAGACGATATTTCTACCGGCAACAGCTTGCGGGGTGATAGGCGCACTCTTGGCCTCGGAGGACGTGAACCGTCCTGCGTTCGAAAGGAAGTAATCCTCTCCGGCGATCTTGACGGAGTCGTTCTGGTGAGCTGGGGATCGCGCCGCCTCGTCGGGTGTCGGGGGAGCACTGGAGTGCGGTGAGTCACCACCGTTAACTGCATATGCAGGCGACGAGAAACCGAGGTCAGAGTGAGTTTCTATTGAGACATGTCAGTATATCATTCAGGTGTTTAGCGTTGAAACACATACTCTTCAGGATACCCTTTCGAATTCCTGCCAGGATCTCCGCACGCTCGCGGTCTCCTCCCACAATGCTCTTACGCGATTGGGAGTTCTCGGATGCGGCTCTTTCCCGAACCGAAGTAGACCGCCTGACCTCAGAAGCGCCCTCCACCCTGGGGAAGACTGTACCCCCACGGGGCATTTCCTGGGGGTCTGGATTGACAGCGACGCTCTCCCTCTCCGCCTCAACGTTCACCACGGTGATCTGTGGGGGTGGAGTCTCAACGGCCGGACCCTCGACGGAACCGATACTGGCGACTGATTTCGGTCGGAACATGCCAACCAATGAGCGAGTTGACCGTTTCATTCCCTTGCCCATTTTGCGAAGCATCATGGAAGCAGACGAGGCGGTGGATGAGACTGAGAGATTGTCGGTAGATCCAGTGAAGAAATGGCCTTGGTTGGAGTAGATGCTGTTACCCAGTCCACTCAGTTCCTGTTGCTCGGCAATTGCGGCCTGTTCGGGTCCCAGCTCCTCCTTCAAGGCTTCACGACGTTCTTTCTCGAGCGCAATGGCTTCTCGCTTGGCAGCGTTGGTTTGTGCGGAGTTCTTAAGAAGCTCAGAGGCACTACCAAAAGAGAAGGCCCGTCTCAGGCGTGATTTCCCGGGGCGTTTCGATTCATTTTTCAAATCATTGAGACGCTTTGCAGCTGGGGAATCAAGTGGAGATGGAGTTTTGCGTGTGTCGGATTGGGGAGTAGTTTTAGGGGTTTCGGGTTCGGTAGAGACAGGTTGTGACAAGGGCGATGGCTTAGTCGTTCTTTTGTCATCGGACTTTCCGGTCTTGCTCGTCGCAGAGCTGGAATCTGGGGTGCCTTCACGTGTCTATAAAAAAACGTTAGTTCGGTGTGTTTACATCTGCGGTCGGAAATCCCTACCGAAGAAGTCGATGACTGGGCCGAGTGATTACTACCGAGGCTGTCCCGGTGAGAGTGTGAAGACACAGGCCGTTGGTTGGTGTCAAAAGCAATGAAATCGTAGGGTCCCGATGCAGGTCCGAATGCAGGAGTAGACTGGAGATCCAGTTGCAGATTGGGATACGCGGAGGCGTCTATGTTGCCCACGCTTCGGCGCCGATAACGCTCAGGTTGTGCTCTCTCCGCATGTGACGAATCATCCACACTCGCAACCCGATTGTGCATGTTCGGTCGAGGCACTGTTGGAGTGCTGTGATCATCGACCACCACGGTCGGAACTGGAGCAGGAGTTGCAGGCAGTGCTGCGGCTTCCGCCCGTTGATTGCCACGTCGATAACGGTTTGGAGAGGGCTTGGGGGAGTTTATGTTCATAACGGAAGGGGGAGGAAGGTTGGCGGTAGATAGGGGGCGGAGCGGCTGATCGCTCCTCGGTTGCCTCGAGGGAAGTGCACTGTCGTCCTTGGAAACATGGGAACGGAAGGAAGAATTGGAGGAAGAAGAATTCGATACAGAACCAGCTGCAGTATGGGGGTTTCGGGGGGTGGCAGCGTATGCCGGATTCCCGGGAAGTTGGGGAGCGGTAGGGGCGGAAAAGGTGCGGTGTTCTGGGCGGAGATGAGGAGACCACGACTGGCGATTTTGGGAAGATTGACTCAGGTTCGGATTGTAGGCGTAAGGAGCCACTACCGGATGTCCTGATCGATAGTTCCCAGAATTGCCATTGAATGAAGTCCAAGACATACTCTGAATGTGCGAGGTCTGGTTTTGGGGGGCGCTGAAAGTGCCGGAAGAGGAGGAAGGACGCGTCTGGAGCACAGGTACCGTACTACTTTGCGGGATCGTTTGAACCAACGCGGCCATATTGTTCTCTCCACCAGTATGTCAAGAAGCCACGTCCGGGAGGCGTGATCGGGAAGACAGGAAAAGAACCGAGGAAGTGTGTTCGCGTCAAAGGGGGGATCCGAAGAAACAGGATGCTGTCACCAGGAGAGCTGTCAGATTTGGAAAAAACGAGTTGACAGGTGGAGTTCAAAGGGAAAAGGGATGCTGGAGACCGCGTCAGCCAAGGGGCATACCTGTTCTAAGTAACGTGGACATAAACTATAGTGGTACAACGATTAAAAAAAGGACGCTCGATGCGAGAGATGCAGAAGGAAACTCGAAACCAGGCGAGGAAGAAACGAAAGTAAGGACACAGGCCAGGAGATGTCTCTAGAAGACAGCCATGTACAAGAAGAGAAGGGGAAAAGAGAGCCCTCGGAGAGGAATGCGTTTTGGAGAGAAGGGGGAAGGGGGAAAGAGGAAAATAGGAGGGGTCTGAGGTTGAAGATTAGGGGGATCGGGGATTACGGGCAAAACAGAGATGCATGACACTTGTTTAGTACTGTTGATATCCGATATTATTATATTATTACTACTTACTACTGTAGTACTGTAGTATTTACTACAAGTGTATTTACTACTCTCTTTTCCCTCTTTCCTGTTCTTTGAGCTCAGGGGCCAAATTTTCGTGCCAATCAGATATACGGGTTATCCCCTTAACATACTCCATAGTGTATTCTTAGACATAAAGTCACTTGAGTCAGGTTGTGCACTACACAGTGTACTGCACAGTATACTGTGCACACATGCACATACTCCGTGCACGCTGATATCAGTCAAAGAACGTGGAGTTAGAAGATTCCGATCGGGCTAACACTGCATCGCGCGATTTGCGCAAGTGCGACTCGCTTTCCACGTTCTACGTCTATACCTACATATACCCAAGGGAATATAGATGTGCATATAGTATATATATAACTTATACACAGAGTACTCGTACATAGAACATCTGGAGATCCGAGATGAACCTTTGGAATTAGGGCACGAGCTGAACCACGGTTGAGTCAATCTATGCATCTGAGACAAATAACTATCCCGACCAACCATGTTGCACCGATGAGGCTGATAAATATACTACTGTAGTATGATATCTGACCGGTATATGTATGGATATTCTCGGACCTGAGCTTACACCCCTTTCTAGCGTTATCATATGTACAATGACGAGTCGCTAACATTTTCCTTGACGTGAGTTCGTGCAGGTCACAGGGCCTTATCGGCGCCATCCGAGGGATCCTCGTACTTTCTATCTACACCTAAGCACCCTACTGTAGGCGTAGCATGCACTGCACTGTATGCATTGTACTGTACGTAGTATTCTTATCTATCTCCACGTCCCCTCACTCCAAGTTGATCCACAGAGTTCCCGCGTGATCGACATGCGCCAAACCCGTTCAGCAGGCTGTGCTTCACATATAACAGTTATATCTCGCATCCATATCCAATTAAGGAACTATCCAAGTTTGCTGATCACGGCAGGCTTTTACACGTTTACTAAATGTATTTCGGTTTCTTGAATATCATACCATATCCCGACCTACGGAAACTACGGAGCTACTTAATATCAACTTGTCCGGGATTGACTTAGCGCGCCTGTTAGATTGCATAATGCATATGGGCAAAGCAAATCATCGCGCATCAAGCATGCCCATTCTTAGCGTGTGTTTTCATTTACCCCAGTGCCAGTATTCGTGCCTGTGCGCATATTACATATTAACGTTTCCAATTTCCCTCCCCTTTTTTTTCCTGGGCGTGTGCACGGTGCTATGTGGCTGATCCAGGGGCTTCCTCGGATGTCCATAAAGAAAGAAAAAAAAAAAGTTGGAATTGCGGAGAAGTTGGCGGCTTGCGTTCCCACACGTGGAGCTCTTGAATGTGCGCTGATCCTGTCAATCCACTGGTTGCGACGGTTTTGATTGCCTTTTATGGATTCGCGTCCAAATCCCGAGGTTTGTACATGTGTATGGTTTGATCTGATTCTTGCCGTCTCTGTTCTGTTTGCTTATTCGTGCGGACCTTGCTCCCGGCTTGACAGTTAATACTTACATGGTCAAAAGTACGAAGCTTGGGATTTTCACAGGCAATTGTGCATAAGTACTAGCATTGGCACAGACACACTAAATTTTAGAGCGTACATTTCTCTGGGGAAGCCAATGTGGAGCCTCGTCTTCGCTTGTGTGATCATACCCAGGTAGTCAGCTAAGTTTCAACAGGCTTTTAGGCAGATCTCTTTTTCTGCTACCATGAATGTAATGAGCGTGGTTCAGAAACTGTTTTGGCCAAGTTTCGGGTTTGAGATGCAAATTCCTGGATCGGAGATATCTGATACACTTCAGCCGCGGTGGATATATCTTTCTCCTTCCCGTTTGAAACAGCTCCCCACCAGCTCTTCATGATCGATCTCTACACTACATGTAGTTCGAAGTGGTATTATTTGATAAATGCCAGGCTTCTAAGGTATATAGGGTAGAGTGCACAGACAGGCGCATAGGTAACCGTGGGGGTCGGTCATATATGGGCATACTGGCCAGATTTTTATTCAGCCCTCAAAAGAAGGTCCTGGTGGATACGAAACTTGAAACTTTGATACGAAGTGCTGACCATCAAAGTATGCGAATTATTCGTATCACACACCAATTGGCAATGGCCCTACCTATGTATCGGTGAAGGCACTACAAAACACAACCTAAAAGGCTACACCGGTCACAATGGCAGACAGACACAGGGGTATAAATGATTCTATTCTTTTTTCCTTGTCATGAACACATATCGAAAGACCAACAAAGAAGGTACAAGGAAGCCACTAGGAGACATCTACTGTAGTCAGTAATCATAACTCATCCTGCTCATCCTCGAAATCCTCATCCATGTCATCGTCAAGACCCTCGAACACCATGAACTTTTCGTTCTTAGCGTCTGTCTCATCAGGAACAACATTTCCATCCTGAACCTCGCAGTCCTTCAATACACATTCACTGCCGATCTTGGCTCGTCGGCCAATGATGCACCCTGTGAGAACTGCCCTGGGTCCAACGACGACTCCATCCATCACGACGCAGCGGGTCAACCGGGCACCGCTGGAGATGTGGGAGTTTGCTCCAATCACACTCTCTTTGACTACGCACTTCTCTTCGATCGTGACGTTCATGTCGAGAAGGCAGTCGCTCTTTGTAACAGTGCAGCGCTGGGCTACGCCGGCTGGGTAGGACACCTTCTGGTTGTGGGCGAAAGCAGAGGCGGCGGAACGACCAACTTCCTCGATAGACTCCAGCTTCGCAAGACGAAGAGAAGTGGATAGGAGCATAGCTGACGAATCGACACGCCTAACAAAAGGCGCTGAGCCTCTTTGGACGTACGCAAGCATAGGTGGCAAAGAGCCAGACTTCAGGCTCTCGGATACTGAGCTCGGAGCCTTGACGCGAGAAGCAAATTGGGGTTCTGTGGCGCTGCGTGCCGACTCGGCGATGGCCGATGTGGCCTTGGTGGTGCTCATGCTCTGTAGATCAATTTCCTCCTCGAGTGATTCGCCGTCGTGACTTGCATCCTCGCCGGAGGGTAGAGAATGGCCCTGTCGCTGGAAAATCTCATTCATCTTCAGTTTATTGCCTAGGCCTTCTTGCCACTCGGCCTTGGCCCACCAACCAACCAAATCCTCACTGACGGACTGGAACTTGTCATTCAGGCGGGCGAAATCCTTGACCCAGTAGGGCAGGACATAGAGGTGGGCATCACGGTAGCTCGACAACATCTTAACCTGTGCGTGCTTATCCACGAGGGAATGGCGCACAAGAAATCCTTTGTCGTGTTCCATCTTTTCCTTCAGTGTCGACATCGGCATAGACAGGACCAGCTTGGAAAGGTCTGTAGTGTGTCCGGCGGGGGCCTCGTCCTGCTCGAATGGTGCGAGAGCCACAAAGTCGGTGGCCTCGCCCTTGACGCTCTCTTCCCGGCCTTGCGTCTGATAGAAGACACTTAGACCACCCCGGCGACCACCCTGTTCGCCGCCAGGCCCCGAGCTCGTGGGGCCATGCGCATTGCGCCCCTCCCGAACTGTGCTGCTGCCGCCGAGAGCGCTCTGGAAGATCATCCACGACTCCAACAAGGACTCACCGGGGATTTCGCAAATAAGATCACAAGGAAGAAGTAGGAAGTCGGACTTGATGCAGTTTTGAACCTCGGGGAGGCGGAGCAGTTCTGCGGTTCCAGTTGTCATGTCTAGGTCCCGTGGGGCGATGACTGAGGGCGAGGGCGAGGGGATCGAGGTTAAGTGCGGGTTTTGTCGCAGGGCAGCTTGGAGAGGTGCGAGAGACGATGGAGGAGTGACCAATGTGATATCTATTAAGGTTAGTCTTTCGTCGCCCCGCGATCAACTGAAGGGCTCACCAGTGATTCCCATTCTTTTGCAGAAGTCGATAGTGTAGAAGATCATGGGCCGATTGGCAACTGGGATAAGACATTTTGGGTACCTTTACCACCGTGTGTTAGTGAGAGCTGTGCGATATAGGCAAAATCTTTGGGATACTGACTCCTCTGGATTTGAAGTGAAAGTGTTGAGCGAGACACCCGGACCACAAAGGACCAGGGCCTGAAACCCGGTATGGGGAACTGGAAGAGGCATTGCTTTGAAGTTCAGACCATGCACTCGCGGTCTCGAGGTGTTATGAGGGAAAGCTATGAGAAGTGTTGATGTGTGAATCACAGTGGGACAAATTATCTGCCCGGTTGACCCGCCTTTGAATTCTGCCGGTACTATCAGACAAAGAAGTATTTACTTTGATGGAAAGATGTATTTACTCAATGTAAGATATTTGTGTCTAGCTTGAACTTACTGGTTATTATCTGTTCATCAAAATAACTCAAGCCAAGGGAAAACAGGTTTTGCAGCGGTATTTAACCCGTGAAAATGAGGCTGTTATAGTACGTCTGTAGTAGGCGGTGTGGGCAAATCTGAAAGCGGTGACTTGTGTAGGCAAACTCGAGTATTCTCCCAAGAGCCGTCTGATGATACCGGATAATAAAGACGAGAGAAAGCTACATAGTAGATTGCTCGATTGGTCTTTGTACCTGTATCATATACTGTATAGTCGCACCTCCAGGGCTGAGATTACATAATACCAGCCCCCGGTCAGCCCCCAGATTTATGGGACGCAAACAGAACAAACAGGAGTAAACACCGCGGTTATGCTCACCAGCCACATGTTTCTGGGCTCCGAGGGCCAGGGACACTTCCTCTTTCCATCCCCTTTCCCCACCCTCTTCTTTTACCGGAGACAAATGATATGCGACCTGCAAGTCGTTGCGATCGCGATTGATTGATAAATGTGCCATCTCTAATCTACACCGCAATGTCTTTCCCCCAGGATCCTCGGCGCCGCCGCGGCGGCGCCGGGACAGGCTTCAGCTCAACAGGCGGACGAACGGCCATGGGA